TCAATTCCCGGTAACTTTACCATTTTATCTCGGTAATTCTACCACAGTCGATCAAAAATATTGGTGTTTTTACCAAGGTCCAGTAAAATAACCGAGAAAGTTCATAATTTTACCGAGATTTCTCGGTAAAATTACCAATTCCATTGATGGTAATTTTACCAAGAAAAAACTGGGATCAAATAGAACTCCGAATTCTTGGTAATTTTACCATTTTCTTAGTAAATACACTGAGATTTTTGTTTCAGTGCGCGCCAGTCGCTTGGTCGGAGAGTTTCTGCATACCCTCGCCGAACACCGAGCTCAGTGGCGATTCTCGTACGTTGACGCAGTTTTCCCGCCATTCGAATCCATTATCCCAGTTGATTATATGCAAGGCAGCCTGCCTCGACGGATATCGATCCTTTCACATGCATTTAAATGGACAAGATCTGGTGCAAGAATCGTGGCGGTGGGGCAACGTAGGAATGGGAGAAGGAATGGTAATGCCCCTCGCCGGACCGCGTCGCGCCGCACAGGGGATCGAGTCAATTAGAGAGGTCGGACACGAAATGTTTTACTAAAATTGCAAATTTTGATGTGCATTTCGTCACGTTTTAAACTTTAAGGGATGCTTCCAGGAGAAAATTTCTCGGGGAAACCCAAGGTAGATTTACACAGGTATGGAAAAGTTGAAAATTTCCCATGAGCCTCAGTACGTGTCACATGACCTCGTGACGTAGGTTAAGGGGCCCGTTTTTTAATTAAATTACAATCAAATTAACATTCAAACGTTTGTGCGTTTAAACGCTAAAATTAATATCGTATAACCAAAATTGTGCAAAAAATCCCACAAAATTTTGACAAACGATAAACCGAACATAATAAAGCAAAATAATCAAAACATCCAAAATGGCTGACGTTAAGGGGCCGCTGGAGCGCCAATCAGAGGCCAGTTGTTTAGTTCTGTCCATACCTGTGTAAATCTACCTTGGGGGAAACCAATGGAACCACTTTTAGAACCTCAAAGTTTTGTATAAACGGAGTTATAAGCGTTTGGAGTTTTTAGATCATGTGCAACCTCTCCTATAGACTCGAACCACTGTGCGTCGCGGCGAAAGGGACTCCGAATGAGTCACCCGTGACGCTCCGCCGCGACGACGCGCGACCAACCGACGCGACGACGCGTCGGCGTCTCGTAGCTGCACCGGTTGCGCTTGCACCGAGGAGATGGACGCAACGCCAACGGCTCGTCGATCACGTCGGCATATTGCCGCCCTGAAGAGTGAAATTTCATTCAATTCATTCGTAGGTATCAAAGAACCCTGCATGGAAAACCAAGGAAATTGTATAAAAGTCGTTTTCATTGACTATGATGTTTCCACTTGAGTCCCTTCCCTGGCAAAAATTGGCGATAGGAGCTGCGTTTCAAAATACCATAGGAGTTCTTATAGCCGACTAAAGAAGGCTATTGAAAATCATATAGCTGGCTGTAGAAAGCGGAGCAAATCATATAGCCGAGCTATACGAAGCTATAAAAAAGTATACAGTCGGGCTTTAGTTCCTATCGCCGGGCTTTACACTTTATCGCCATTGGCTATAAAAGGCTATAAGAAATTATGTAGAAATTCGTGTGCTTTGGAAATCATTAAGTTTACTACGGAACTACCTTGGTATTTACAAAACACATATTATACTTTCCTTTAAAACATATTTTTTTCATCAATTGAAATGAGAATTATCCATGAGTGTGCAAACATTTCAAAATCATGAGTTGAAAAACGCTGACTCCGCAATATCAAATGTTAGAGCCTAACACAAAGCGGAGCGGCGACGCACTGGCGCCTACAAACCTAACAGGGATACATCACGCATTGCGCAATGCGTGAAGTATCCCTGTTAGGTTTGTAGGCGCCAATGCGCGTTTAGCGCTCTCTGCCCGCCCGCCGCGCCGCAGCGTGCCACGGCGTCTGAAGCAACAATTCACACCAGAGGTATTGCATAGTATCATAAGAAATTGAAAAAGCGCTCCAACAAATTAAGAATGACAGGCATCCTTCAAAAGTACGGAGCATTCCTCGCAAATAAATCGAAACCAAGCAATATTGGTTCGGTATAAATACGTTTTGCGGAGGACATCGAATGGTTGGATGCCGAAAAAAGTGTTCAACTGGGTTTCTTCCGGAAGAAGGCGGTGTGGATGTCCATTGAAAGATTAGAAAAATATTGTAGCGTCAAGGGGTGGAGGAAGAGAAGAAGGTGTTATCAGAGTGATGGTCTGGAGGATAAGTTTTGATAGGGATTGGGAGTCGCAGAGCGCTCTGAAGCGCTGGTTTGACTGTTTATACATTTATTAGGGTGGTTGGTTGAAGATCGGGGAAAAAGCTCCTCTTTTCTCGAAGATAATTATTACAAGATTGTAAAATCTCAGCTTCCACCACTGTTTTGAGCCTTCGCCGGCGCATGGCGTGATCCGAAGGACAAAACTGCCATGTTCAGGAAAAACGCCGTATGAACATTCGATGTTGCTGAATACTCCCGATGATAACTTTATTTCTTTAGAATATTCATGTATATTTCTTCCCAAAAGTTGCATAAATCCTGACTTTAATTACGAAGAAACTTGGATGAAAAATTCGAGGATTAAAATTCACTTTCCACGGAACGTATTTCGTCAGGAGAAGTTTGACGATGCCCGAATGTTCACGCGGCGTATTTCTTTCGAACGGCAAAAGACGGGAGCTGCGAACGTCTTCTATGCGGTGAATAGCGGCGGCTTGAAATTCGGGATTCCGCAGGGCGCTAACGAAATTAGTGAGTCACCTGAACTCGTTTCCTTCGATCCCGTCGCCATGGCTCCCGACGGCGGCGTCGCCAGATTGCCAGATAATGCGCCATCTTCCACCTCGTCAAACTGGCAACGCTGTGACTTAAGCAACGATGGCTGCCTATACTCTAGGAGTTTTGGGCCAACGGTAATAATGAAAATCTCAACCTCTTGGGATGCAGCTTTGAGTGAAATTTGAGGCTACGGACAGATACAGACACCGACCGCCGCACAATGGATAAAGTTAAAGGGGGAGGTCGGACAAAATTTGGAAACCTAAAAAGCTCATGACTCCGTTCATACAAAACTTTGAGGTTTTAAAAGTGGCCCCATTGGTTTCCTGGTGAAATTCTCTTCTAAAATTTAAAATGTGACGAATTAGACATCAAAATTTGCAGTTAAAAATTTCATATCCGTCCTTTCTGATTGACTCGATCCACTGTGCCCCGCTCGCCGCGATCCGGTAAATTTAACTCATCAAAAGCGGACCGAATTTTCCGAATTTTTGCATTAAGTATCAGGAGCATTTTCCTTTATCTTGTATACAGAAAAACCCCTTCACTACAAAATAAAGGCAACCAGTTTTACCTAGTATGAGATTGGCATTCTATCTCTGGAAAACAGGAGATTGAAGGCTTTACCAAAGTCTATAGACACTATTAGTGGCAACATCATCGTAGGGATTCTCCATTATATCGAATTGGATCCAAACAATAACATTGGCATAACCTCTTTCAACGCTATCAATGCGGAAAAATCGATATATCGCTTTTCTGTGATGTAGCACTAATAGCGTCCATAGAAAAATATACAAGTAACATCACGCCTTACATATCGATGGACAAAGTACCAAACCATGTATCTCCATATCAATGTTTCGACATTTCCGCTCCTATTTTATTTTTTCGAAGAGAAATACACCAACTTTATAGCTTGGAATTCATACAGAATATTCCGATAACAGAGAAGAAAAATCAAGGAAGTTTTCAGGAAATTATGTTGACTTGTTTCCCGAGGAAGAAATAAAATGTGACAGGAAGTCTACAAAGTCACAAACGAAGATGGTTTCGCACTTTGACTTTAGCCATCGATTTGCCTCTGCTCCAAAAAAGTATCAATTTTTGTCCTACTAGCCTACTTCATCTACTAGAAGCAAATTCATTGACTTCATATTATGTGGTGATTAGGAAGGACAGTGCCATGGATTAAATTTGTGATTACGAATCAAGACTGAGAAACCCAACGGGGGAGATTTCTTTCCTTTCAAAAACCATGAAAACCAACGAAAACTACACGAGACAGATCAAATGTATCACACAAAAATAAGGCAGAAAAAATAATAAATAGGTAGGACAGGAAGTCTGCAAACTTTGTATAAGTTCTTTAGCCTTGAACTTCCTCCCCCTAAAAATTAGAGGGCCCAATTTTTTTTCGGCTCTGACCGCGGATGACTCCTATGTGAAACTCCTAATGTAAACTGTATTAGTTTTATACCATACGATGCAAACTAGAGACGAAAGCCATTTTTTTCCTATGAAGTGAGAAAATGGCCAAATTCCATTTGTTTTAAAGGGAGTCATACAATTTTTAAAACTTCTTGTCAATTTTCTGTTGTTCAGGATTCAAAAACATTAGAAAGTGGAAGTATATATGTGCTTGAATTCCCTTCATACTCTGACTGAATTCTTGACTAAATCTTTAGACAGTATGAAAACACAGCGATTTTTGCATCATTTAAAATGTTGCAGAGATTTTTAATTCAATCGTAAAGTGAGTCCAACTTCTTTCAACTCTAGCCTTCACATTATCTCTTCATACTAATTTTTTGCCACTAGAGTTTTATGAAATATTCAGGAAACGAAAGAGAATACAATCTCTTTCCCTAAGTAACCAATGTTACAGTTTCCTGAATATTTTTCATTTTCGAACCTGCCATGTTTTTGTATTGAACAAATCAGTTACACGAGTGGAAAATTAATGAATTCATTTCCACAACAAGTTGAGGAAGAAATTTAATTTTGTAGATTTGATATTAATGTAAATTTTCTTATACCACCACCAATTTTTTGTTTTTCTCTTGCGTAATCCCTTCAAGTACTACAGTGCAACCTCTCTTGATTGACGTCGAAAAATCAGAATTCATAACAGCCAATACTATTCTACTGTAAAAATTTCAATACAGGGGCATGCATCTTACCTTTTCCATTAAGCAGATCAATAAGGATGTTTTTGACTGCAACATCTGGAGACAGAGCATCCCATAGCCCATCAGAGCCCAAAATCAGGAATTCTTCGGTCCCATCCAATGCGACGGAATTAAAATCAGGATCGGCACATACGTGAGGCTTACAAGACTTGTCCCCTGAAAGCAAAGGAGTCTCATAATGATCTAACACAGTGAGAATGATTTAGCGCATGCCGATTCAAAAATACTGAGACTTGCAGAGACCAAACATAAATATTGCTAAGCAGTATTGATTTGATAGCTTTTAAATACCACCCTGTCTAGATCAACTTTATACTAGAACTTCAAATAAGATGAAAATTTGGCTACAGCAAAATTTTAGGAGAAGGAAGGTAACAATTGCCTCATACACCGCAGGGCAAGCCAATTTGTGATACTGCTTTATTCCACCCAGCGGGTTAGGAACATTAGTTTTCCTTCATTGAAAACTGTGTTGAAAAAATCAATTTTCGTTGGAGCATGTGGCGGCTCTGCAAATCAATAATTTCCATCGGTTTAAATAGGGAGATTACTGTTGCAAACTTGCTGGATCAACTAATGCCATCCATGTGCCTTTAATCAATTGCAGGCAGCAATGGCATTGGGAAAAACTGAGATCTAAAAAATTGCAAATTCCTCAATCACACAGACTAAGCAAAAAAGGTAGGTACAAAATTTCCAAACTGAATGAGCCTTTTGCAAACTTTTACATGAGCAAAAATAGGAGTTGTCCCTCATAGATAATGTCTCAAAAATCACAATGAGCGCATTGGCAAACTCTGAAATGCACTCCTAACTTCAGAATCTGCGTGAGAAATTTGTGTTTTTCAAAACTTCCCGCTTTAGGATACTACAGCACAGACGAACATTTAATTAGAGGAGTCGTTCCATTTAATCCCTGCTCAACATGGCCGACGCTTCCGCGCGCAAGTTGAGGAAAGCACGAGGTCAATCAAGGCGGATATCTATCAACGCAAGAAAAATGTGAATGTACGCCAATCGTTATTAGGCTGTTATAATAATCGTCCCGTCACAAGTGTTTTGGCGGATTGGTGTCGGCTATATTATATATTGCATAGTATCCTTGTGAGCAGGGGGTATACTTGTGGGTTGGATGGAATGACTCCTCTAACGAAATGTTCACATGTGCCGTGGGATCGTTCTTGATGCAGGAAGCTCGAAAGAAATGCAGATTTTTTATGCAAATTGTGAAGTAAGGAGTGCATTTCAAACTTGGCTGATGCGCTCATCGTGATTTTTGAGATACTTTCTATGAGTAACAACTCTTACTTATGCTCTAGCAAAAGTTTGCAACAGGCCCATTGCTAGGATCCGCTAAACTACTCAAATCCACTTAAAACTAGTTTTGTGAGATCCCACAGTTCTTGTGTTTTTCTTCTGTCATCTTGTGCTTTCAGCAAAAAGAACGTACCGATTGCTCGAGAAACTGCCAGCCTTCCTTTGATGCGCCAACACATGTCATAGTATAAGACCTCACCACCAGCTTTTGTCACTCTTTCCACTTCATCCTGGAAAAAAAAGAATACATGTTCGTTATATGAGCACACCTCCTACAATTTAGAAGTCTATCTCCATTTCCTAACAGTATATCTTTTGCACACATCCTTTTTTTCTTCTTCTTCTTTTTTAAAATAATTTCAAAAGTTAGAATGGATAAGATTCTGGAACATTTTTTTAGATAAACACCGAGGGTTTTAGATTCTTGAATTGTATGTTTTAATTTGCCAATACGTCTGGTACCTTGCAATAAAGTGTTCAAAGGCATGGCTTTAATACATAACTTTTTGTGTGGTTTACAGATATGAGAGTTGTCAAGCAAGTTGTTTGACCGGTTTTTTTAACTCTCAAACAGATAGAGACAATCGATTAAAAAAACATTGTTGCAAGGGCACAGAATATATAATTTGTTTTAAAAATAGATCATTCAGTAGCAATAAAATATCAAGGGCTATTGAAAACATTTGAATTTGGTATTTTGGAGGAGTCTCTCTTGGGAGTTTCCCTAATGAAAAAAATTGAATGTACATTAATACAGATAAATACTTACAGGCCTGCTTGCTCTGTGAGGGTTGACGAGTTGCATAGCTTTTCCATTCATAGAAATAACAGCCTCTGAGTCACCAGCCCATGCAACATGCAGCATGCTGTCTTGATGGTCCACAACAGCACAAACTGCAGTAGTACCACTACTCCTCTGCACAAGGAACAAAAAGGTCAGTGAAAATGTAAAAAAAGTAAATGTAATGTAGTGTAAGTAAATGTAATGTAAATGTAAAAAGTAAATGTAATGTCAGTGAAAAGGTCAATCAAGAGGTACTAAAAGGAACTACAAATAAAAAACTAAGTGAGATAAGCTTTTGCAGCATACCTTAAGAGTTTAGGAAAAAATTCTGGGTCTTTTCTTGACTTTTTAGACCATTGGATCAATGTTGCTGGGTCAGTTAAGACTTTTTCCAGTACATATTGAACACTCGTTAATAATAGACTACTAAACAAGATGAGAATTAAAGTATCCTAAAACAATTTTCCTCATCAAACTTTTTTGCATTAAACATATTGGAAAGGAAGGGTATTGTTGAAACCTGAACTCTGCCCCATCCTGGATTTTCATAATCAATGCCTCAAGCGTTTTTTGACAGTAGAAAATCTGTATTTTTAACAAAAATTTTTGCTTTTAGAAAATCATCACATCTCTCCAGTGAGATATTATACTGTAAACATGGGTCTGAAAACCAAAAATGACCATTCTACAAGATTTATCAAAATCCCTGGAGTTGGAGCAATTCTAGGTTGGGCCAATTTCACGTCTCAATGATGTCTCTCTTTTAAATCATGTTTCATCCCTTGAGCTAAAATAAAATAATCGTTATTTTAAAATATAAATAAATAGCGAGGGTGGAGAACACACTGATTTGTCAGACAATTAAAATGTTTCAAAAAATATTTATTGATGTGCATGAAAATGTTTAGTTTCCAGACATGTTTTAGCCATCACCAGCAACGTCACCGCCATCAGTTCCACTCTCCGCTTGCCATCATTATCAGTCCCTAATGATGGCCTATGGTGAACAGCCAAAATACGCCCAGAAACTCTATCTTTTAATGCCAGTAAGTGAAAATCTATTCAAATTGTTTAATTATCTGATGTAAAATCATTATTTTGAAGTCTGAATATGTGTGTTTCTCTTTTATGATGATCCAAGAAATGAAATATAGAGCTGTTCCACTGGGATTTTTCCTCATACCTATTCTGCAAGACATTGGTTGGGTAAAATAATGGGGAGGCCGGCTCCCATTAGCGAAATTGCAGAAGTTTATACATGAATAGCAAGAAAAGAGAAAAAAAGGCCATTCCCTTGAAAATTTTACATAAAACTAGAGGTTTTAAATGGGAAGGTTAGAAACTTTATGCATCCTTGGTCTCCAAAAATTTAGAACCGTTTTTTGGAAACTCATCGCAGATCAATATTGTGTCAGGAGCCTAAAAATTCTGATTCAACTAAAATATAATAAAAATAATTGAAAAAGAGGAATAAGAAGAAAAAACTTACAGGAATCTGAAGGACACATTCATCTGTTTTCAGGAAAGCATCTCGCAGTGCTGCCTTCAGATCATGAGGATAATTTGGACTTTCCGTTAAATACTGATGAAGATAGGCTGCAGAGTACTCTGCAGCATCGATTCCAGCGTGACCATCATAAACAGCATAAAAACTTATGCTCCCTGGATCCTGGGATCAGACAAAAACAGCTTTTGGATTCGGTACTAAATATGTGGCACTTTGAATGTAATGCCATGTTAACGTTCACTGATAAACTGCTTCACTAGAGTTCGCACCGGATAAGTTTACGCACTTTCAGACTGTAGCAGAAGATCTGTCATCTTACTTCCAATGCTAAACTGACATTGTGCAATCTTCTGTCGCAGTTAAAAGTGCGTAAACTTATTCCGCAAGGACTCCAGGAAGTTATGAATTCCTGCTGATTCTTCACTGGCCCCTCAAAACACTACCCGATAACTCATCAAAGGTCTGGCTTCTGCAGTTGAATGAATTTTTTTACGAGATTGGGCCATGGTATCTCTACAGTCCAAATACAGTTGCCTAATGTTCACCAAGTGGAAATGCTGTGAAATAGCCACCGGGCGTTTTTAGAGGTGAGTTTTTGTGCAAAAATTCTTTCTTTGTCATAAGAATGATCCAAAAAGGTAAAAATCTCCATTGCATATGATTCCCATCATGGATTTTTGTTAATCTGTATGAACTGAATTATTTCTTAAATGAGATTGAGAGCATTGGTGGAATGGAAGGGAATTTTTCAAGGTTGATTGAAAGAAGGTGAAGTAGTACATTAGCCGATTTTTACGCCATGTTGATGACGCACTAGTGGGAACTTGAATAGCCCAGTTTGAATTGACGTGTCTCGTGGGAGTTATGCGAAAGCGGACTGACGTCATTACTAACAATTCCTTACCCACACATTATTTATTGTAACAAAATATGAACATGTACATTAATTCAACACATTTGAAACATTTTTTCAGATATTTTTTGTTATTATTAAAGTATTTTAAATTGTTCTCTTATTTAGTCAAGCATAATGTCCTTTCTACCACATCTGAAGGAAAAAAAAGTAAGTATGTCCTCTGAATCTGTGGTAGTCATGGTTATTGTCAAGCTACAGATCCAGTATCCATTTAATTTTCAGGATTTGACAAGATCTTAACACTGACACGTTTGCCTTTGTTTATCTATAAGCAACATATCAAAACAAGCAGTTAGAATTGCGCACCAGATCAAGTTTCAACCAGTATGTCATCAATATGGCAGAAAGTTCCGAACTCCTTTCAATCAGATTTGGGAATTTTTTACAGAATTAAGACACTTTGCCCACAGAAAGTTAGTATTGACTGAAAATTGCTCCTCATCGGTCAAAAAATAAAATCACATGATAATAAAAAAGCTAAAAACTGAGCTTCATGAATCAGCCGATAATATTTCAAGGCAATGGGCCTGTTGCAAACTTTTGCTAGAGCAGAATGAAGAGTTTGTTTCCTACAGATAATGTCTCAAAAATCACGATGAGCGCATCGGCAAAGTCTGAAATGCTTTCATAACTTCACAATCTGCGTGAGAAATTTGCGGTTTTTTAAGGTTCCAGCTTCGAAAACGATACTACTGCACAGGTGAACATTTTGTTAGGGAGTCGCTCCATCGTCGGCAATATTCATCATGGCCGACGCTTGCGCAGTTCCTCGCGTAATTCGAGGAGAGTTCAAGGTCAATTAAGGCGGGCGAGGAAAATATGAACGTAAACACGCCGATTGTTATCTGGTTTAATCCTGTTCAGGTGTTACCTCGTCCCATCACACGTGTTTTGGTGGACTGGCGTCGGCCATGATGAGTATTGCCACCAATGGAACGACTCCTGCAACAAAATGTTCACCTGTACCGTAGTATCGTTTTCGAAGCTGGAACCTTAAAAAACCGCAAATTTCTCACGCAGATTGTGAAGTTATGAAAGCATTTCAGACTTTGCCGATGCGCTCATCGTGATTTTTGAGGCATTATCTGTAAGAAACAACTCTTAGTTTTGCTCTGGCAAAAGTTTGCAACAGGCCCATTCAGCCTATAATCGATAGGAATTAAGGACATACGCACTTTGAGACCAAATAATCCATTCAAATCTTCGACAACGCAAAATCGATCCTCCATAGTTCGTCTGCTGTTTTTGAATGCATGTTTCGAGACTGGAAAAGACAGCTCAGCAGGCGGAGGCAGCTCTCGTAAAAGATCATCGTTCAATGAATATTCCTCGCACACTTTAACAAGCTGCTTGATAACACTCTGGCTAAACTTGATTGCTGGAAAAGAAAATATAAAAATCATAGCTAGAGAATAGGGTCACCTATCAGTTGGGCAGTATTTAACAGAACAAGGACATCTCATTTTAATTTCAATAATTTAGAGGTTATTTTTCCTTACATTTAGAGGCAAAAAAACTTAGTTGAGTCGGAGAATGATTGGGTATTTAAAAGTTAGTGTTCCTTAAGTTTGTTTCTTTCTGTTTATTAGGAAGAGAACTAAGTAAATCATGGAGAATCAAGGAGGGGAATCAAGCGATCACGAGTCGAATAAGTTCACTACATGACTGTATACATTGTTTGCCTAATATTTTAACTTTTTTCAGCCTTTTCATGTTTTCGACGATCTTGGTTGAGGAGTAATCAGGAACGACAGAGAATGAAATGGCTGGAAAAATTTAAAATATTGATCAATCGAGTGATCAAATCTTTATGAAACCAGACCAAGTAAAAATCAATTTACATCGTTCCTCGAGGCTAATTCTGTCAACCAACTGATCAGTAGACCCCTAGTTCCCCAAAACACTCACTTCCTTTTTGCTAAACTATGCTCAAGACCAATCCACACAGGTCAGTCATTGTGAATCTTTTTGAAATCCACTCCCTCGCCCGTCCCTAACTCTGCGGTACTCAATGCTATGTCACAATGGGTGCTCCCATGAAAAATACAGTGCAGACACTCAATACCACGTCACTGCGCAGTAGAGTTCCAAAACTCGTCCTCGGGAATGACTGACCTGTGTAGATTGGTCTTGAATATGCCTAGTTATCCTGTGTTCTATTTTCATTTTACATGCAAGAGACAAGCGTATAAATTAACTTTTAACTGCAGTAAATGCTTCTTAATATCATCTAATGATCTTGTGACTACATTGTCTGAGTTGACTGCACAAAAATTGAATTTGGGAAATGTTTTGCAGGACCTGAGTAAAAGCCACAGAGTGGACCACCAGACAAACCACAAATCTATGCATTCTGATATATGATTACTCTTAAAAATTTCACATTAAACTAAATTCGCACGACGAAAATTACTAAAATTGACTCACTAATCAGGCCATTGACGAGTTTTTACTGAATAAGTACTAGTTACAAAAAATTTGAATTTTTTGCTGACAAGAAACCAGAATCTATATGGATCAAGTAGCCCACTATGTACAACAGTTTTGGCAAAGTTCTTAATCGAGCGTGTTTCTCCCTTGCCCTGTATTCTTCAGAGTGTTGAAAATTTGCAACAGCCGAGCCAAAGCACCAAGATTGAAGTTGTCACATTTTCATACCTGCTACGCAATGTATAGTGAGTGATTTAACTCAAGTGAATTGTGGTTTGTTTAGGGGTGGGGAATTTGGATTTAAACATTGAAAGGCCTTGGCTGGGAGTTAATTTCAATAAATTTTGTTGAGCAAATCGTTTCCTACATGAAATTCTGATGAGATAACATGAATTATAGTGTTTGGATTCACATCTTGTCAAGTAGTCCAACCTGTTTTTTTTTAGATTCCATATCAATAGAAATCTGATGAGCAATAAAGTCAGAGACAATTACAGAAAAAATTTAAACCAGTTCTTACAGTTGAGAGGTTGCGATGCATCTACAACATCTTCTGATGATTCAAAAACACTCTTGAATACTTTCCGAATTAAAGGTGTTAGAATGGCAGCTGGACAGTTCCTGAAAGGTTTTGGTCAAAATAATGAATACATTTAAAAATACTAGAGCTTCTTACTTGTTATTTAGTCGAGCTGTAAGATAAAAAAGAGAATTCCTAGGTTCAAATTACAAAATTAAAAAGGCAATCGCAAAAATCATCTGAAATTTTTATCAATTAGGTGGGCATACATCAACAAGAGTAAAAGACTAAACACCTGCTATGCATAAAAGACCCACTTATTGGATTAATGTTGAATTTTATTCCAGTAAGATTATTGATAGCCTTGCTGTTAAAAAAGAATTTTAAGTCTGACATTCTGGCCTGCACAATGAAAAACTTGGAGTTAATCCATTCCTTGACTTCCATTTAACCACTGGACACATTTTAGCAGAAAAAAATTTAAGACAAAAAATTTTTGTCTCAGTTATGTTTCTCTCACTGGTTGTAAGAGAATATTTTTAACTTAATTTTGATAAACAAGGGGAAATTTTGATGAGTGAGAAATTTTTTAAAAAAAATGACAAAATTTCAGTCTAGCTAACAAAAAAAATGTTATTTCAGTTTTCCTTCATAAAACAACATAATTGCCCACTAAAAACTGTGCACTCTTGGCAATATTTCCTTGAGGCTTTTAATGCATACGTTATTTCATAGCTTGGAGAATTCACGCAAACATTATTACTGAGGAATTATAGTTTCTTCATGGAATAAAAGATCGCATGAAGAGATACTGAAACTTTGAACAAAGAAATTCGTCCCTTTTGCTTGTGCAGCAGCATAATAAGATTACCGAACAAAAATTTGTTAAAATTGAAGCCTCATATAAGATTTCGAACGGTTTTCTAAAATGATTACTAGCTGTGAATAAAAGATGTTTTGTCAAAACTATTTCATTTTGAATGGAACACTCAAGCTAAATGCTTAGATGAAGGGAAAGATAATAATCCGTTGAGTACATGAGTGAATAATTATTAAATTCTGTTCTCCTTACCTGGCTTCCAAATACTGCTTGGCCCAATTGATGACTGCTCCAGGAATCTCCAAAGAAGAGAAACGAAATGGCGGAACTCTAACAGGCAGCTCATCTGTTGGGTCGGCTGACTCCACCAAGTTTTGTAAGAAAGCTTTATATTCCGTTATGTGTTCATCTTGCTGAGTTTCAACATGACCGAAGTACTTTTTCAGCAAAAATAGCTCATTCATTTGGGCCATAATGAGACTTAAGGGTGCAGATTTCAAATTTGTCAAAAATCAAACTTTAACCATTATAAAATCATGAATGGATAAGATATAAAAAAAGAAGAAAAACTTGGGTAAAATTTGAGTTAAAAAGTCTAAAATTTCATTACAGTCACTGATAAAATGTAATCCTCAGATAATAAATCTGATTTGTACTTTAACATAGGATAAAATATTGACAGAGGTTAAAATGTAAGAATGTACTTAATTGACTTTTTGCATAATGAGGGGAAGAATTTGTGAATTTAACTTCCAGCACAACCTGCAACAATCAAAAAGTAAAAGAGCCGTTAAAATAAACCAAGACAATAAAAAAAAGTCTGTCAATTCTTAAGATCACAAAGATACAAAGCCTCGGTTTTCAAACAGCTGTAATCCTGTGACTAGTGCAACTGACCCAATATAAAGAAGATTCAGTACCTAAATGTGTATTTGTTTGATTAAAATAACAGCTCAGCTATCTTTAATGTACCACAGTTCTGCAGATCAATTTAATTCAAGTGGTCTCTGGTAAGTCAACAAAGATTGACCCTGCAAAATCTCTGACATGACCACTGTTAAGATGCTCTGTTACTTCATGTGGCGCACTGAGGTGAATAAGGGGAACTATTGAAGGACTATAATTGCAGCAGGAGTTTAAAAATACAACTAATACATATTGCATTGTGCTGACATCATGAAACAAAAGTAATTACTTGGTTAAAACTGCATTTAAAGGATAAACTTGCTCCAACTTATTACCATGATAGTAAAGATAAACAAAAAACCTGTTCATACTAAAACCCAGTGGATGGAAACCGTCTGTTAGTGTAAGGTAAAGAAGTGAGCGATACAAAATTTATCCTTCGGCATTGGATAGTGAAAAAGAAATCCGTCTCACTTGCATCGTTTGACATACTATAAAACATCTCCGGAGAATATTAATTGCAGTTGAGGAAACAAAAAGCTGAGAAGAAGTAAGGTCCTCTGAGGATGGAATTATGGAGCGAGTGGAATAACACTTACAATGATCAGATTCACTGAAATTACTCGACGAAACCGTTAATAACAAAAAATAGATTAATCCTGCATAATAAGTAACTTAATACAACGACAAGGAGACAGCTAATAATTGAGATTAATTAAATTAAATCTCGGAACTTTCAGTTTATCTTAGGAACGCACAAACTAACCTCACTTTTTTTTGCGTTGCCTGTTTGAGTGTTTACCGTATTTACTGCGCAGAAGGCGCAGAATGGTCAAGTGCGCAGTTCTGTGACGTCATTTGACCGGGAAAATAGAAAAAAATTTAATGTAAACAATCAAACAAGTATGATGTAAACGTGATAACTACCAGTTTAATTAATTTTTCGCATATTTCTGTGATACATGGGGTATGTAAGTATTGAAATTGAACTTTTTAGCATTTCCAATTGATTGTTTCTTATGGTAAGATCTACCAGCTTCAAATCCCTGTTTAAACCAATCTAATCTTCCCTTCCCTCTTTCAGCCTTCTGCCTTATTCAGAAATGCAGGATATACAAACTTCAGTTCCCAATCATGAGTTCTGATTTTGTGATGAGTTTAATCCATTTAGAACCTCAGAGTAATTGAATATTGGTTCGAAAACGTTCATACTGGTCTGTAGTCCGCATACGATCCATACTGTTATGGTGAATGTCTTCACACTTACGAATATACCGTACACCTGGGATCACTGTCCAAATATTCATGCTTGATTTTTTGTGAAATTTTTCTTTCAAGATCCTCATCCATCAACTTCTCCTCCTTTTCTCTAGCAGATATTGAAAATATACTTCATAGCTTTGTCCAATAGGTGAAGAGATTGCTCATTCTCAGCGGTGCACCTGTGGATATGGGACACTGTTTTAACTTTTTTATGTCGGTATCAAGCTCCTACACCTGACATCTGATACTGAGATAAATTTTCAGCTAAAGATTGATATATCTAGCTGTCTACAAGTTTTAAAGTCATCAGTCTGTGTTATGTCTCAGTAACATATGTTCTAGCACTACTAGATCTGTTATGATAGATCTCAGATATCCATCCATAATAGTGAAAGAGAACACTTTCAGGCACTGCTGCCTGAGAGTGCACCCCTGTCCTGATTATTTTGGCCCAACAGCGTTCCTGTCACAGTCAAAAACTAAGGATAGGTCAATCCATTTTTCATCAATCTTACTCAACTCTAATGCAAGCCACCAAGAATTTGTATGTATATATATATCCAAAATTAAAATAATATAAAATTTGCCGAACCATAGATATTTGAATACTACTTCAATTGGTTCCCACTGGTTGCAATTTTTTTCACATTTTTAGAATCTTAAATGCAAGGATCTCAGATACTAACTTGTCATTTTTATTAGTTTCAGGGCTTCTTTCGGAAAACTTGCCTACTAAAACTTTCCCATCATGGTTCATGGATCCATGATGCCACTTCAGCTGATTCCAAAATGATGTGGCAACCTGAAATGGCTCCATAATGAATTTTCTTTCTGCAGATTTTGCAGTTTTTTACGGGTAATTGTTTTTCATATCCTCCTGCAACCTTTCAGTTCAAAATAATTAACGACCAAAGAACTTGGTGATTTTTTTTAACTTTTGATCTCCCACAGATGAATTAGCTAAAGGCTATGGTCTACATTTGATGCAGGATTGATGACTCTCTTGTTTTAACAACTGAAATGAATAGTTTTAATCTCTTTGTGTAAGGAAGTATAAATCTAATGATGAGCTCATATTTTCACTGATTCCTTGATCATGCAGTAGGTACCTACTGCTTTTGTTCCTCTTTGAGAAGATGAGGGATCCAGTTAAAGTCTCAACTAATTTAGGAAGAGTTAATAAGTTATCCAAGGTATCTCCAAAGTTTTCTCTCGATTTTCCCTTGTCTAAGAGAATATATGAGGGTATTTTTAGAAATAATATTTCCTATTTTATTTGTATGATTATAAAAGATGAGATCCAAGAGGTAGCCTTGGAGAAAAAGAAGGAGACACTCTCCATAGGTGAAGTACTACATCAAAACCTTTTCCTCTACCCAAACAACTTTTTTCTGTACAACGTATGGGAATCCTACAAGCTATAGTTGTTGCTTGGTTTTCGTAATTTACCTACCCAAAATTCCACTCCCAAGTTAAAGTAACTTATTCCTTGGTAATTTTTTGTCTTGTCTAATTTGTTTGTTTGTATTCATTTCAGTTTAAAGGTCTTTTGAATATGGATGTTCTGGAAAGGAAATTCAATGTTAAAAGTTTGCCAAATTTTGTAATGCAAAGAAGCTTCAGCTTAGAAGACGCAGCATTCATCCAAAAGTTTGCATTCTTTAAAGTGGCCACAACTCAAAGCATGAAAGTGCCTGATTCAAACGTCAGCACAGAGGTGATCATCTCTTGGGGTGACATGTGCTGTAAAACAGAACAGTATTTTCTGAGGAAGTTCATTTTTTTAAATGAAGACAAGAATAACCCATTTACTTTAAACAGTATCTTACAGGATAAAGAATGGGCAAAACTCCACTCCATCATCGGTACTACACTAATGGACTTTATTCTTACCAAAGCCATTCTCTTGCGATTCTCTGTGGAAAATAACATTTACTTTGTCATCAACAGAGACTATCACAGCTACCGCGATGAGTTGAGTAATTCACTCGTGAAAAGAAGTCTACCTAAATCTGTTTCCTCAGAATCTGTAGCAAATAGAAACTCAATAGTCCCTGCATTGTCAAAAACTGCATCAAATGGTGATGTCAAAACCAAGACAAACTTAACAGTTGCAAAACCATGCAACAGGGGCTTTTTTCTCAGCCTCAACTCTATTCTCTATTCAGAGTCAAATAATATCTGTTGGTCCAAGAAGTCATTTTTGTTTTCAAAAAAACCTCCAAAGATTCTGAAAGAATTGTTTAAGGTCAAAGATCATCATGATTTAAAGATTTCAGCTATTGAAGAAGATGATCCGCGGTTGGATGACTTAAAAACTCTGATGTCCAATGTGGTGTTGCTGCATAGAATGGGGCTTCCTGAGAAAATAGTTCGAAAATTCCACATATTTGATGTCAAAAAGTCTGTCACAGTAAGTATTTTTTATGGACTTCTTTTTATTTCTTATGGTTTTAGTTTCCTTATTTGGATCCATCGATAAGTAAGATTTCTAAGGCCTGTATCACTCTGCCCTTGTAAGCCTATCACAAAAGGGCATAAGAAATTAAAGATTGGCATTATGTGTAAAGAATCCTTTATTGATATTATCAGACTTATCAGTTACATAAGAAATTTAAATACCCTCTATTTCTCCCCGAATCAAGGATGCAGGAATTTCTGTAACCAGCAAATGCAAGTAGCAGCAGTTGCAATCGGTTGCATGTAAAAAATGGGAAGACTTTGAAAACAGGTTTTAAAAATGGAAAAGCTGAACGCATGAAAATTGTATATTTTCGGCAATATTGCTGCAATTTGTAAACCATGTTCTACCTTCCCCCTAAAATTTCAATAGTCACCTTGATCGCAAATACATGAAAGCCTCTCACAGTCTAAAATAAAATTAAAAATCTGGGCAGACATCTCTTTAATTCTCTATTCATAAAAATTGTTTGACGCGTAAGCTCACAATTGCTTGGTTTTGTTTCCACTTTTTAACCATCCTTTTTGTACCTCCTAACAGGCAATACGCAGAGAGAAGAGACAGCGAAAAGCCATCAAATTGAAGCCTTTTACCTCAAGAGAAGCTGGTGCAAAATTCTTGAAGAAAAAATTGCAAGGACTAAAGCAGACTCCAAAGAAAAAAGTCCTCGCAGTCTTAGCAAAACTGATCAGAAAGATTTACTACCAATTACTTTGTGGATCCAAAACAAACTTTGCAATTTTGAAAAAAAAACTTCGCTTTTTTTTAAATTTGGGGAAGATACAGTATGTGAGCGTCGACTATTTCATCAATGACTTCCGGCTTGGAGACATAAGTTGGCTCCGAGGTTTTCCCTGCATTACAGTGAAAAAGTTCCTATTTTCTCGAGTTTTCTACTGGTTCTTTCATCGTGGTATCCTGAAATTCCTCAAAATAAATTTTCATGTCACAGAAATCGACAATTCGAAAACATTCCTCGCATTTTTTGATAAATTCAGTTGGATTTTTATGAAAAAGATTTTCCGAATGTATCTTGTGAGAAGTAAAAAATTTCAGCAAGTGAGCAGAAAGAATGGTCGAACCATCAGAGAATCTGCTCCAGTGAAAACTGTGGCAAAATTTAGATTCACGCCGAAAGGCACAGGAGTGCGACCCCTTATCATTGCAAGGTAAAATATGTCATTTTCACCCAATATGATTCTATAGTTCAGAAGCAGGCGATTAAATCATGCCATGAGAAATGGGTATAATTGGAAGAGGAAAAATATGTAACTCACTTGCACAAAATATTTTAATTGCTTTTCACAACGCTGTCCACATCCTCAGTGCATTGATGACACTCATGGAGTCTTCAACAGTCTGCGTAAATGCGTCCACGATTTAAATATTTTGTTCAAGTGAGTTGTTTTTCCCTCTCTTTATTTCAAAATGATTTTATTTGCGATTTTTTTCAAGATAATTTTTTCTTTCGTACCTCATTTACAAGAAAGATTTGATTTTGATCTCAACAATTTCGATAAATTTTAATTTTCTTTCAGCCGTATAGCAACTTACATATTCCTCTTACATTTCATTTTGATGCTCAGATTGTGTGTGATGTTTAGTTTAATAACAATTTTCAAATTTCATCACATGGAAATAAATTTGACCCACCCATGCAAAATAAGTCCATCTACTGTGAAAGTTTTAAGTAGAATCTTCCTGCTTAAGAGAGCTAATTTGTTGATTTTTTCCCTCCCTAATATATGTTATTGTGATCCTCTCACATAAAAATTTTACAAATTGTTACTGAATGTCAAATAGAGTGAAATTATACAAGCTACCAAGAAACTTGTAACTTTTTACTCAATTTGTTGATGCGATTTTTTTTTCATCCATGCTCTCAGGAACAGGCCTAGTCCTGAAGAGGAAAATACTCTGAACTTGTACAAAGATGTGCTGAATCAATTGTTGTTGAACATAACAAATTTGCCCAAAGGTGAACTATTGGATTGCCTCAATTTGTATTACAAAAAACTGGAAAATCCAGGAGCAAATAAATTTTTTGTGAGAGTCGACATCTTTGATGCCTTTGGAAGCATCCTTCAGGTAAACCAAGACTCATTATTACTATCTACCTCATAACACTGCAGTGTGTTTTTAGTTAACTGTCATAGAGTCCGATGACGGTCAAATTACTCCAATTCGCTTGGTAATTTACATTGACTCCATAAAAAATTTTGCACACATTTTGAATTTGATGCTCTCCTCTCCCCTCCCAACAAAAAGAAAATTGATATCTCTTGCAAGTTTTTCTGCTGAATCATTTGAAGCAAATACAAATTTAAACCTACAAACATCCTAGAATTGGAAAACAAAAATAGCTAAATACTTTGCATTTAACATTGAAATGAATTGCCATTCTTAAAGCCACAATTTGTTTGAATTACCGTACATAAGTATCTTTGAAAGCATTTTTTCTGTTGCAATTCTCTTTTTCTTGGCTTGATGTTTTATTTTATTGATGCTGTATAACGAGTGCAGGAGGGAGTTGATGGATAATGAGACTTTGGGACAGACCACCTAAATTAAATCCCAATGATATTTTAATTTCACCTCAAAAATGTTACTCTGCTAATTATTTGGATAAATTTTAGGTGTGAGAAAAAATTACGCAAAACGTCCTTAGGGTAACTACTACTTAAATCTCAAAATTTTGAGTGACTCGAAAATATACTATCCTTGATTTTGCTCACAGTATCTTTTCATCAAAGCAACTATCCTCCAAGTCAGATATGGGAGTAATTACAAGTTTGAAGGCACAGGTTGTTGAGAAGAAATGTATAATCATATGATTGTAATTTTTTTGTTTAAATGGACACGGTATGTTAGTAATTTACCATCCATTTTTCCCCAGGATAAATTGATTGAAATTATCAAGCGAGGCCTGGATTCCCTCAACCTGACCAAATCTCTGTATCTACATGAAGTTTGTACAGTTGTCCTCAATGATAATAATACTTTTAGCTGTAGAAAACGCAATGTCATCAATTTTATAAGAGTAAAGGCTCCGCGTAATTCCATTAATATTTTTTCGAAGCAGGCAGCAACAGTTGTGAGTAAATTTTTGGTCCTAATTTTACATTTAATCAGAGTTTGTTTAGTTAGTTGTATCTAGTTCAAATCATCAACTTTTTTCTCTATCAAGTATCATTTCACCAGCCAATTTTGTTTGTACTTTGTACAGCAAAATTTTTCTCCATTTCTCTCCTACATTACAGCTCAAGATTATTTGGAAAACTTTATCAAATCAGACATACAGAAAACTTTCCTCTCCTGACACTTAAGATGATCAAAGAAGGAAAATAAAGTTTTACAGTTTAACTTTTTAAAAAAAATTAACTGTCGAAGCAAATTGGGAACATGCCGAGAAATGAGTAAAAATAGTGCTAATTGAATTGTAAAGTAGAAGGATATATGGATTACATTTTGCAATAATGAACCACTATTTCCGGCTCATTTTAGAAACAACACATATGCCATCGGTTTCCCCATACAGAAACGTGCTTTTATGAAAGAGCCAGACTTAGTGGTTCCTTATTGCAAAATATAATCCATGTTACCCCTGCCAAATTTTCAAAGAAAAAAGAAAATGTATGTTTTTCCCCTTAAATTGTATTATCAAATTCAAAATAGCAAAGTAATTCTTGATCTCCTTTCTAAAATAGAAGATTTCCAAAGTATATTTCAAAAGTATAGCTTTTTTTTTAAGTATTTCATTGCAGACATTGGCTCCTTTTGCTGCTCTGTCAGTGCTTGTTTCTGGAACACCTCTATTTTATATTGCATCGCATCTATTTCATACTTATGAAATGTTACCGTTCTTCTCTTTCCTTACAGAGGATCAAAGTACCTGAAATGTTGGATTTTCTGGAGAGATTTATAAAGAAGCAAGTTTTTACAGAAGGATCTTTTTATTTCCACCAAATTATCGGAGTACCCCAAAGTAAGTACCAATGCAAATGAAAAAAATTTGCTTAGGCAAATAAGCTTCTCCATTATATCTTCCTCTTTCTCAGAGATCTCTTTCTACTTATTGTTAGTTGCTTCTTCAGGAGTATATTTCTCTAGCCGTAGTCAGATTAAGGAGTCATGTCATTTAATAATATTCCATTATGAACTCATAACAAATGACTTGTTATAATTTTATCCATTCTACTGTTTGAAAGAAAAAACTCAATGTTGCCTTACCAAAGGATGCTGTTATTGAATGAAGCTGTAAAAATTGGTAAATTTGGTTTGAGAGTACCAGCTTTCACTGCCAAAAATGATCAGATTTAATTTGCCAAGATCCTCTTGGAAACATACCTAAAACCCTTTTCAACGTAATGGACCACCAAACAAGGTAGAAATTTAAGCAATCTGATACATGTTTCTTAACCAGAATTTCACGTAGAACACGATTCACACTACGAAAATTACCGAAATCAACTTCTAACGAAGATATTAACGTTTTTATCTCGCACTGATTACGAGGAATTTGAACTGCCCGCTCACAAGAAACTGAAAGCTCTACGTGAGTCAAATCGCGCACTACAACGGTTTCAGCAAGCTTCTCAATCGAGGAATGTTCATTTTCCACCATGTGTTGTTCAAACTATTGGTAATTTGCTATAGCTGAGCCAAAGTGTCAAGATTGAAGTTGAAGATTTTTATATCGCAGAGACTGTCATGATAAACATTTAGCGCGATGTGAATCACGTAGAGCATTGAGTTTTCATGAGCGGGTGGTTTGAATTCACGCATCAAGAATCATCAAATATCTTCGTCAGGAGGTGATTTTGGTAATTTTCGTTGTGCGTATCGTGTTCTACGTGAAATTTTGGTTGAGAAACATGTATTAGAATGCTGAAATTCGTACCTTGTCTAGTGGTCCATTCCTTCATACCTATTATGTTTTAAAACATTGCATGTTTTTCTGAATACTTAATCGTTCTTACCGTTTCTCAACATGCCTAGAAAACTGAAAATCCTGCGTCTGTGTTCATTTTTTTTTAATATTATAGTGAATTATATCAGCCGTACCATTAGCGTGGCGTGCTTTGCGATATATCGATTGTTCTGCAATTAAACCTATGGTAGAGAATCGATTATTAAGGTGTTCGTTGCAAACACCCTGTCTATCGATCCATTGCCTAAAATTTTTCATCAAAATAAAGTATGATTAGAGGTATGAAACGTGGTTTGAAAAAGTATCTACAGAGCGTCCCATTTTTATAATGGATTTTTAAAAAAAAAAAAACATATTCTTGCTTTTTTACAGGCCATAAGTTGTCTGCCGTTTTTTCAGACCTTTACTACAATGATCTCACAGGGGAGCACCTAAAACGTTTTATTAAAGAGGAAAATTTTCTGTATCGTGTAACTGATGACTTCATCTTTATTTCACCAAATCAGAGGGATGCTGAAGAGTATGTAATGCATTATCTTTTATTTCATTCTTAAGGTGATTCGTCAAGCTCAAAAGAAGTGGTTGAACTGGCATGCGATATATCGCAGCTTTTAGGTCAAAAATCTCGGCAGATTTTGAATTCTCAGTAAATAAAAGGACGATAGCCCCTGCGCATGAGCCTAAAGAATCATTCTAAACCCAAAAATCGGCAAAATTCAGAGAAATGAAAGCAGGATAGTGTTTGGAAAAAAACCTCGCATTCGATACCGAAATCGATAGCTGAATCGAATGCGATGTTTTTTTCCAAACACTATCCTGCTTTCATTTCTCTGAATTTTGCCGATTTTTGAGTTTAGAATGATTCTTCAGGCTCATGCGCAGGGGCTATCGTCCTTTTGTTTGCTGAAAATTCAAAATCTGCCGAGATTTTTGACCTAAAAGATGCGATATATCGCATGCCAGTTCGACCACGTCACTTGAGCTTGACGAATCACCTTAATGCAAAAAGTTCCTCAGTAACAAGTTCTCAAAAGGATATACTATCGAAAGAAATTCAAACTTAATTTTTCAAAATTTCCATGAATTTTTATGAGTTTCTGTTCAGACCTTCGCAAGTGGAGGCCCTCAGCGAGGGTGAGGTCCAAACGTGTGTAGAATTCATGGCAAAAGCCTGATGAGAGAAGTTTATTGAAAATGTGAGCTGTGATAAGGCGAGTATCGAAAAAAAATAGAGGGGGCAAAAAAACCACACAGGAATGATGAAAATTCAGGGAAAGATGGAAGATATTGACAGAGGAGAGGATTAACAATGATTTGATAGGCATGATATTGCATGGAAAAAAAGACAAAAACACACACAGAAATGATGATATAATTGAGAAAGATGGAAAGAATTTGAGGAAATGGAGGAATGAGATCGGCATCAGCAAGAATTTTCGAAGGGTGGGGCAAGGGGTTGTGGCAAACTTCTAATTAATGAAAAGCAGTTCCCTATAATGAAAAACTTTCATGGGCTTAGACCAATTATAAAAGCACCTTGCTATTTTACAGGAGCTAAAATGTAACTAATCATTGTTTTATCTTACTTTTCTTAGGTTTTATAATATGGCTTCAGGCAGTTTCCCAGACTACAATTGCTCAATTAATAGAAAGAAGATACAAACCAATTTGCCGCGGTCAGGTTCTTCTGCCATTTTACATTTTTTTGGATTCAGCATTGATGTTTGCAGCACTGCAATAACTGTGGATTACTCTTCCTTCAATAAGATGAACACTCTCTCCTCCATTACACTACCTCGTTGGGAGCATAGAGTCACAAAGTAATTTGTTTGAATTTTTGCATCATTTTTTTTTTTTTTTTTTTTTTTACATTTTTATGATTTTTCCCGTGACAAGTAATACCCTGGGATTTTCTGATTGTTGAAAACCATGCTACCTTCTTATCTGTTTTTATCACCATCATTCCATACTTAATTCGTTAATTTTGTTTCTTTTTCATTCTTCATTCTTGTATGATCATTGCACAAAATCCATTGCACAGCCCTATTCCAGGAACAATTTCTGTTAAATGATATTAAACATCTATTGATATATCTATCAATTTCCTCAAAGAGTTTACCAGCAGTTGTAGGGTTACAATACTTTTTGTTCACTTGTAATCTGTGTACCATCAAATATCATAATTCCTTTTTTAATCCCCTCACTATATTTCTGATTTCAGGATGGTGGAGTATCACTTTCGAGACTTGTACATTTGTGCCAACTTGTTTTACAAATTAACCCTGAAATACAAGTTTAACTCCTTGAAGACCACTCAAATAAATTTTTATGAGGCAGCTGTGATGGTAGCCACCAAGTTCAGAATTCTAGTCGACACTCTTCTCTCGCATAAAAACGACAGATATTTAGTGCAAGTTGTTCTGAGGATCGTCGCTCTATTTGAGAACCATAATAAAGATTTGAGAAAATTCAAAAGTGAGTGTTTACCCCGTTTTGTTTCTTGAATAATGATTGTTAAAAGCATGTATCAATGTTTGTTGTGGGTGACTGGATGATCCAAGTGTACTTCTTCAAAACATATGCTCCGACTATTATAACCATTGCACTGTTTGTAATGAATGTATGATCTGCACAATCATCCACAATAATTTTTATTAAGAAATTGAAATTTATTTATTTGCTCTTGTTTTTAATTATATGTTTATTTTTCAGAGTTTTCTCTTGCCCAGAATGTTGTCAGAGCTACAGTCATCGTTGGTTTTACTAAGTATCTTCATGAATTTCCCTCTTGGCATCAAGTTTGTCTTGAATTATATTTTATTTATCAGGAAACTTACCAAAAACTCTCTCTCATAGAACGAAATCATTTACATGCGTTTCATTTTTCTCTCTAGGAAGAAGTTTTCAAGAATGTACCAAAGTGGTACCAATTTTAATGTTTTATTTCTTTCAAAATTAGGTCTTTGGATTTTTTGACAGACCAGCCCTTTTACTATTGTTTAGGTCTTTTATCCTGAAATAAGCTCTTTGCAGTTTTCTTTGAGACCAACTATTTTTACGATTTTTATGTATTAGCCTAATAAATTATTAACTCTCTGTGTCTTCGGCAAAAATGTCTTAACGTATATTTGAGCTATGGAGGATTCTCCCTGTGCAGCTATTTTTGCTCATCTATGAATAGCTGTTGTTTTAAGGTCTTTTTGGGGGTGTTTGTCATCATGATGTTTTATCTGTTTTTAAATTTTCTGTGATTTCAATATAGTTCTTGTTTTTATGAAATAAACTTTTTACAGTTCAGCCAATGAATTTTTATTCCAAATTCACAAAATAATTTATTATTTACACAAGGCTGTATTTATATGATGTCAGGAAACTTTTAAAGGAATTTGGATTTGCCTAAAATACTGGTACGCAGGAGATGGAATAAGACCGAATCTTAAAAAATATAATTTTTATTCCAATAACATGAGCCATAGCATAAAATTTGGTAAAGTATTTAACACAAAATCTAAACTTTTACAACAGAGTTAATTTGAGTAAAAGCTCAAAGGAAGCTTACACTTTTGAGGGCGAGTTTACAAATGTTCGTCAGATCTGAAATTTTCCAAAGCAAGTAATTAACATTAAGTAAACACAAAATAGAGGTTCCTCCAACCCAACTTTAACAAAAGAAAAGAAAAAAGATAGAGGGGAAAACAGGCGATTTTAACTGTTAACATTAAATGTCTAGATGTTTCCGAGTCATATGTGTGATCTAGAAACTCTAAAAACGAGCAGAACTGAAAATTTTGGGACTTATAGACTCCCCCTCTGTGAGCTCAGAGATAAAATTCAGCAAAAATCTAAATTTTTCGGTCCAACCAATTTTGACGTAAAGATGGAATGCTACTAGGGTTTCTTGAGGCTTTTCTTAGCACTTGTTTTAAGGAGTATTAAAACTGAACAGCATTAAGAAGGAATTTACAAATGGACCACTAGACAAGGTACGAATTTCAGCATTCTGATACATGTTTCTTCACCAAAATTTAACGTAGAACACGATGCGCACAACGAAAATTACCGAAATCAACTCCTTACGAAGATATTTAATGATTCTTGATGCGTGAATTCAAACCACCCGCTCATGAAAACTCAATGCTCTACGTAATTCACATCGTGCGCTAAACGTTATATCATGACAGTCTCTGCAATATAAAAATCTGGCAACCTCAATCTTGACGCTTTGGCTCAGCTATAGCACATTGCTGATAGTTTGAACAATACATGGTGGGAAATGAACATTGCTCGATTGAGAAGCTTGCTGAAACCGTTGTAGTGCTCGATTTGACTCATGTAGAGCTTTGAGTTTCTTGTGAGCGGGCAGTTCAAATTCCTCGTAACCAATGTGAAATAAAAACGGTAATATCTTCGTTAGGAGTTGGTTTCAGTAATTTTCGTTGTATGAATCGTGTTCTACATGAAATTCTGGTTAAGAAACATGTATCAGATCGCTTAAATTCGTACCTTGTCTAGTGGTCCATTGCCCGATTGAAACCAATTGACACTGGTTGTTCGCTCCTTACTTTGTAGTAGATGAAATTTTACATAAATTCTTATGAGGGATTCTGCCCACTGCTGATTAATGTGTATACATAATCTGTTTGAGTGTGTAATCCTGGAAAAAGGAGCAATGCTAGCACTTAATCATAAAATTGACCTAAGAGTTCTTGAAATCTTGTATTGCATGTGTAATTTCTAGACACCTCTTTCTCGGAACTTGTGAGACTCAAAATATAAAAGAAAAATACAGAAAGAAGAAAATTGTATGTTATCTGTGGCACTTTGAAGTAAAATCTCTTCTCCTTCCAGATTTTTAAACCTCCAGACTTTTTGGATATGTCGGAGGTAATTCGTCAGATTAGACATTTTATCAAATGCCTAGGCCAATAGTCAAATAATCTTTCTCAGGTTGAAATTCTGATTCTCTCACTAATTTTAAACAAAATAATTGTTGCCTTCATGAATAGACTTTATTTTTTAAATTTGGATCATTTCATGGTTGATGTAATGATTTCCAGCCCTGAAATCAGCGTTCATGTTACAAGATGCAGTATTTTTGAAAACAAAGAGTTTCCGCAAATTTGTCTGTTAAAAGTATATGAGAAACATTTTGTAAAAAAAATTCAATGACGGTTTGTAGTTTGATGAAATTCTCACGTTCAAACATCTAAAATCCAAGAGCTCTTCGTGAAAACATACACATTCGTCATTTTTCAAAATTTGACCATCTGCCGAGGCATTTGATAAAATTTTAGGGCATATTGATTTCATCAAATGCCTGATTCGACTATTGGTTTACAGCAGCTATGATCAACTTTTGGAATTGAGGTTTCCATGTATCAAGTTTGAAAAAATTAGGACTGAAGAGAAAAAATTTCAAATGAGAGAATTTTTAATTGGTTCAGCACACGTGCAGTCGGGGCAGCTTTGTCATGTAAGCAACTCAGTAGCCCTTTTCTATTCCCTTGTGGACCGAGCTTAAAACTACAAACTTACAAGAACAATCGCTTCAAAACATCAGGATGGAAGTCACGAGAGAAGATTTGAGTGCTCATGAAGGAGCACTGCTGAATATTATTGGTAAATTTGTAAATAAATGCACCTAGCAGCTTCACTTATTGGAAAAAGGCCATTTTAAAGACTGATCATGCTAGGCAGCTCTTAAACAAAATCACACTTGAGTTCCTCCGAACAGAAGAATTAACCAAAGCTACATTGTGACACTTCAAGCGCTCTCTTTCTATCTGTTACTGATCATAGCCTCTCATGGGCTGATAGTTCAACTCTACTTTTAAATAAAATTGGGCTTGTAAACTTAACTGAGAATTTTCAGCTTAACTTTTGTGAAATCAATTTAAGGATTCAAAATGAATCATGAAAAAAATTGTTACACTGAATGGGTCAGAACAATACCACCTAATCATACCTTCCAGCGCAGAGAGAGGTTAGCAACCCGTGGTAAAGAACAAAATACGTGGCATCTTATGGGGACTGCTGAAACGAGTGAATCTTCGAAAAGAAAATTACGTGCAAAAATTTCACCACAGCTTTAATTTCAAATGCGCACTTGAGAATGAAGGACTTAAAAGCGTTAAAATTGCGTAAAAGAGAAACAAAGCTTCACTTAACTGGAAGCTGGCCCAGGTGAGAAAGTCCGACTTTAATTATACTTTGGATGCTTGATTTACTTAAATTTCCCACGGTACTCTCATTTAGGACAATTAATTACTACAATAAACACTTACCTCTGCACAGAACGAGTATTTCCAAAAAAATTACTTGCATCTTAACATTGGAGGAATAGCAGTTATTTTTACCAAGGTTACCTAACCGCCTAGCTTTTTTTCGGCGGTGAAAGGTATGAGTAGGTGGTATTGGTCAGAATCTTATACACAGTTGTATAATTCGTCGCTTCCTTTGCAAGAAGGAACGCCTCTCAATTGCGCTGTTTCAGTACTCTATACATACAGATTTACGATTCCTTTTTCAAAAGGAATCGTCACTTGATTTTGCCTGAGATTATCAGTGATTCTTCTTTACTTTGGTGAGAGAGGCCACTAAAATTTTCGTGGTATGGTTCTCCAATGAAAAAATAAATTCTTGTATGATGAAACAATGCAGAGGAGATATGTTTGGGAGATGATACATTGTGAACTTTCTTGACTCTGATTGGTTGAGAATCAATCAAACATTGTCATCACTCGTCACTCATCAACATAAGGCGAGTCATATTCAATCTAATCATTTTCTTCATCATTCATCACTGGTTAAGAACACTAAATCAAATGATAGTGTCATATTTACTATCCTGTGGCATCTTTCAAGGGTGAAATATTCAGTAATATCGAAAACAGAAACTTGACATTCTGAACAATCTAATGATTTCCAACTATTTTTCAAGTATCATCCGCCGTAATACCGTCTGATAACTTGCTCACTAGCCCAATATGTTATGGTAAATTGATCAGCACCATTGTCAAGAGAGCATGTTGAATGTAAATCGCTTGCCTAAAATTTGATCACTTGTGTCTCTCTTCCTCTTGTTTATAGACCAATTTTTGAGTAAGAAACACAAGTCAAAATCATTGATATTAGTACAAGGGTCTAAAGATTCTTAGAAGCTTCTGCATGTTATACTCGCAGATTAAAAACGGTGCAACAGTTCCTAGAGACAATTTGGAGAGATTTTAATTTAGATAATGTCCAATGTCTAAAGCACTTGAGAAAGATTTGTGCTCCTTGTAAATCGTAGACAAATCCATTAAAGAGACTCAGCGATTCAAAGTTTGAAAGTCTCTTGGTGGGAGGATACCATTCATAGACAGCTCATGCTCAAACCCCCTTAACTTGTCCTTTACGCTGAGACTGAATATTATTCACCAATGACTAGATTACAATCCTGTAAGTGATGGCCTCCAATTGTCATGAAAAATCATCTTCTAGTCCTCCCATTGTAACACTTGTGACATCTTTCACGATCATTTCTGCGACTCGCCAAGCCATTTCTTCTTGAACCTGAAAAATAATTTAACCGTTCAAAAAAGTGTACCTCTTTCTTTATTTTTTCAAATGCAAGGATCATTTAGCATGGTGTCCAAAGAGTTAGCATCAAAAAAATTGAGGGTCATCTCTAGAAGTCAAAATAAGAATTGTTTGTTCTTAGAGGACTAGTTGTGAAAACAAACTCCTCCAAGCTACAAAGATCTTAAACTTTTCCAACTTTTAATGTTAACCAACTATTCCTGTTTGATAAAATCAACTAGATTTTATAGCTGATTGGTAAGGAATTTATTTTGGACTATATTCAGAAATATGTGGAGTTTTTTATTAAGTTCTACAAATATAAATATTCTTTGAGTATTTTTAGAAGCCTGATTTGCTTAAAAAAATAAGTATTTTTTCCAAACGAGCTGACAAGTCTGATTTTGGATTCTTTGCTACATAATTATTGCAAACATTGGTTTAAATGTTAGTAGTTTGATAAACATAGAGGCCAATTACCTTGTCTTCACCTTTGTTGACTAATTTCCTAACTACCCGTGAAATTTTGGACTCTGATTTCTTGTCTGGTTCTGGTTCGATGGTTGTTTCAAAGCGGCCTAACTGATCAATATGCCCCAAGCTCAAACCACTAGAAAGACGACACAACAAACAAAATAAAATAAAGTCAATGATTTGGAAATGGGAAAAGGAAAAAAGAGACGCATACTGATTGATAACTAACTGTGAGTAAAAAGTACTTACGACTGATTTATGATATGCTGTCATTTTTTTAAGGCTTGAATGAGACTTGAAAGTCCAGGTTTGATATTCACTTATAATTATTTTTATTTGGTCCTGAGATAACCTGGCGCTTGTCAGGTAATTATGTTGTCCCTCCTTCTTGCTTCTCTTTTTGGTAGTAATTTAAGGTAAGGATGGTCAAAATGTTGGATATGATTCCATGAAAATGCAAATATTTAGATTGGACAATAGCACTCGGATACTGGTATCCTTTAAGATATTTCAATAGAGAGCGTTATTAACAACACAAGTTACTTAAATTGACTCTCAACTCTAGTTTTTAATGACTATGATTATGAAAAATTTTAAAGTCCCGTTCACGAGAAAAGCTTAAGCCTACTTGAATCAAATTGCACAATAAAACGGTTTTGGTAGGCTTCTCAATGAATAGTGTTCCTTCTGCATTCTGTGTTGTTTAAAGTGAAAGCAAGAAGTAATAGCTGAGCCTAAGTACCAATATTGAGGTTGTCATATTATCATACAGCAAAGGCTATCATTGTAACATTCAGCGTGCGATTTAACTCAAGTTCAATATGGTTTTTTCCATGAATGGGAAGTTTGAATTCATACATAAAAAATGATGAATCTTTATTGTGAGTGACTTTCAGTAATTTTTGTCGTAAAAACAGGAAATATTGATAAAGAAACCTACTTAATAATACTTTTATTCACAGCTTGTCTACTGGTAAATTTTTATTGGTGAGTGTGATATAGCACTAGAACCTGTATATGTAAATACAGGCATCAGAAGTTTTACCTGATAAACAAGTTTGACTTGTCATGTAACTTAATAAATGATGCTCATGGCCGTGCATGCTGCGAAGCATTGGTGATTTTCTTGAAAACCGATGAATATTACAATATTTATGAGTTGTAAAATTGTTCCAAACGACTTTAGCTCCAAAACTTGAATGAAATTTGTTAGTGATTTTGGGCTGAAAATACGTAAGATTTCTATTGATCCAACTCAAAGCCATGTAGCTTACCATTGTTGTCTTTTCCTATAGATAAAGTCAGGATCAATTTTGGAGCTAATAGAGGACAATCTGGAATCCGTGCTGAATTCACTGACTGAAGAGGTGGGGGAGTTGCTTTTGTAAGCGCTGTTTTTGATCATGTCTGAGAGAAGCCGAACATAATGCTGAGAAGAAAAGAAAGCAGGAAGACTATGTGTTTTCAGGTAGGACAGAGCCACGTTTAAAGCAGGCTCAAAACAATTTGGCAGCGGTAACTCATTTTCACGACAAATGGCCAGTTCCACAGCACAACGCACTGTGTCCGAAAATCCTAAAGGTGTTGTAGCCTGCAGTGATAAATACCTAACAGAGAGAAAAAGTACAAATTAATTTCAGCATTCTTGTCACACTAAGCTGTGAGGCTTCAGAAATTTTAAGGATTGATACAACTTTCTAAATGGTCAGAGATTGGAAAATAATAATTGGAAACTTTGGAAAATAAGGAAAGCTGAAAAGTTCAGTGACTGGTACATAAAGGTATGATACAGGAAGATTATAGCCCTCATAGCCTTTTTCATAAGAAAAGTTGTAATTTTATTGCCATTTATTGCAATAAAATTTAAAGGATCATTTTTTTTAGTAATTTCAACAGATTTTATCATAAATAAGTAGCAATTTTTACCTATTTGTAAAATCTCTGTTTAATTACAATAAAATTGTGATTTTATTTGAATTAATCCCAAATTTCTCAACAAACAATCCACATAAATAAGAAAATATGAAGCTTACAACATGATTGAACTTCGACTAAAATGTTGACACAAAAAAGTTATCTGCAGTTATCAACTTTTCGATTTTGCAGTTTCTACATAAATTCTTTAGTATATTGAAAAACTACATGTGGCATTCAAATAATCAATAGATTAAGGAATTTGCATCTCTCATTAAAAAAAAAAAAAAAATCAAGAAAAATAGTTGAATATACTTACTTATCATAAATAATAACAGCATCTTCTTGTGCCTGTTCTGCATTGTATTCAGATCCACAATTTTGTAAGAACCTTTGAAAATGGGAGGCGGCGAGCCAAAACTCGACAATGGATTGGCAGCCTTCACCCTCCAAAAACTGTGAATGATGGTAGTTTATAGATTAGATGATTTTCATGGAGAAAAAAATGAGAAACAATCAAAACTTCAGATCCATTGTAAAAGGATCATGTCATGGAATTAAGAACCAGTTGAATTTTGTTATGGCGTGATGTTACATTTTTTATGACCACCCTAGCACGATAAAAGTAAAAAATCGAATTTTCTCCGTGCCAAGTTTAAGAAAAGCTGGGCTAAAAAGCGAATTTTTTTTAGCATAGTGACATAATTTGTTCCTTTAGAGTGATAAGGGTATCAGTAAAAGAAACGATCCAATTTGCGTGGGTACTCATTTGGTTTTCCTTTAATCAAAAGGTTCATTGCTTGAATGAAACATTGCAAAACAACTTTCTTGAAGTTCTAGAAGTATTACAAAAATTGAAAGGGTACTAAATATTGAAAAATAATTACCTCCATAAAATAGCTGAGTGAAGTCTCATGATTCAAAATATCACAAAGGTCTACGGAGCCATTTGTAAGGATCTCAACTTGATACTTGTAAAAAAATTCGCTGTTGATAAATTCTGACCAGCACCTGAAAAGTACAAGTAATTATTGGTTACGGATGTTGGTACATATCAGATTGACAAGAAAAAACATTATTCATGTAGAAAAATCAGTTTAAAATAAATTGGGAACTGTAAGTTTAATGAGGAGGAATTTTCTCTCTCAAGCTTGAAAAAATTAAATGGACAAGATACAGTAAAAAGTATAAGGAAATCAATCCTTCTCACGTAGAAATTACAGTCGCAAAGTTTGTCTCACACGTCCAATGAAAAAGACTCCGCAGGTTGATCTCCAGTATTATATGTATTGTTATGCTGATTGAGAAACATTTTATCATAATTTCCACAAGTGATAAAGATTACCTAAAACATTTTTCTCTTTTAAAATTTGTTATCCTACTATCAAAAACTTACTCTTGTAGGCACTGAAAAAGGACAGATTTTAACTGAAAAAGCTCGATGGACATTTCTTCTGTTACTTCTCCTTGGCTCATGATTGCTTCAAACTTGGAGTAATATGCGTCGATGTCCTTGAACCTGGCACCAGGCTCCGCTCCAAACCCCTGTTGCTTTGATTTCGATGGGGAGACTTTACTAGAATCACGATCACCGGGAGAAAAGTCCGATGAGCTGGGTGTTCTCCTATGTTTTTCTAGCTTATCACAATGGCCGGATGAGTCGTTAAACGAGTCGCTGAAGCTATTCCTCAGGACTTTTCTACTAATTTGATCAAATCTACTCGTGTTCACTGGCGTTTTTGGCGACGCAGGACCACTTTTTTCATTGGCAAAGTCACTATCACAATTTCTTTTATCACATGTCAATCTGCCATCAGCATTAGACGAACATTCAAAATTGATGCCTTCGGATTGCATCTGAAGTGGATCAGATGGTGGCAGTTTCTCAATCGAGTTCTTTTCTGATCGTGCCACCTCATTTTGGAGGATATTCCGAGAACAAATGAGGTCGACATCAAAATACAACTGAAGAGTTTTCACCAGGTCTCGTGATTCCAAAAACTGCGTGAAATACGCTTGGGCTGTCTTGTCATTCAAGCAACCCCGAAGATCTAATTGAAGGTGGGATTGATCCGACACTCGAACTTCTGAAACATAAAATATGCACTTTGCAAGAATCCACACCGATCAATGAAAAAGTTGTTTCAAGATAAATCATCAACAATAAATCACTCAGCCTTTTCAAAAGCTCATCATGCTACGTAAATAAACTGTAAAGTATTTCATACTTCAAGGTGATTTGTATCCAGTTCTTAGTGTACTACTAACACGCAATATACTGCATCAACTAGGTGAAAAATCTCAGAAGAATTAGATTTAATAACTTAACAAAGGATGATACAGTGCCTGCGCATGAGCCATTAGGGTCTTACTCAACCAAAAAGTAGCAGAATTCAGAGAAATGAAGGCAGAAGTCTCTTTTGAGACCTTTGAGAAATCCTCACATCCCATACAGAGTTCGATTACTGTGTGCATGAACTTTGTTACAACTTTTCTCCAGTCTAGAACCGCTTCCAACGGCTTTCAATGCAATACAGATCCTTCACAACATCAGATTATCAATTATAGCAGATACATGCACAGAGAGAGGGGAAAATAACCATGTCAATCTGCGTGTCGCAACAAAGTGACTAATTTACTTATCAATGTGCATGTTGAAAAAGAAACTTAGAGGGCTTTTTTTTTATCCGAACTGCAGAGGATCGCAACAGGACATATCACGTTTTTATCCCACTTCACTAGCGCGTTCCATGTGTTCCAAAGGAACCGCAAACATTCTGATCCATCGCATTCCATGGATGAAAAAAAGCCCTCTGGGAGGCCTACGGAGCTGACTTCCTTCCGAGGCGCTTCACCTATATTCCAAACATGATCTGTTAGAGCATCTGAGCTCAATTAAAATTTTCTCATCTTAAAAGGTACTGAATCGGTGGTTACCAATGCCTGAGGGATCAAAAGAGGACAGAGGTCCTACGCGCCCTGGCTCAAAATCCTTTGAAGCCGCGAAGGAGCCATTTCTTGATTTGACTGCAGTTGACGGAGAAGGTGCTTTCGCACTGTTATTTTTCTTCCAGAAGCTGAGCATGCTATCATATTTCTAACCAACTTGACATCTATCACTAACATCTACAACTGATTTTGAAAATTAAGAATCCACAGGTTACAATCAGAGATTTGATTGAAACGGAACAGTCAATCCACGACTTAGTATTGTTAGGGTATGAATTCGTAGATAATGAGCGACATAGCGGATGGGCTGAAGTAAAGAAAATTATCAAATTTCGTCGCGAAAAGTCAAAAACCGCACAGATTTAGGGGATGCAAATTGTAAAACGTCGCAAAATTCTGAAAAATGTCACTGCGAAAATTGTTGACACACAGATGTTAGTTTGTAAATTAACCGCCATGTAGCGCTGTACAACAACTTTTCATGTTTGCAACATTTATATGGTGACCGAAAAAAGGAACTAATCCTAATGTTCCTAATGTTACAGTGTCATTTTATTGATATATGATAATACGACCATTATTGTTTGTAATGCAAGGAAAAATTATGAACATATCTTTATAATGTGTTCGGTGTTTACTAAATATTAATAAATGTATTAAAACTCTTATATTGCATCATGCATTTTTCTTAGTGAAAACTGCTTGTGTTGTCAACTTGTTACAAAGAAGTCGGAGGAAGAAGAAGAAAAACAAACAACACGAGCCGAACACTGAAAAAAACTTGTTTTTAGTGTAGTGACCAAGTGGATGCCGAATATTTATCTTGGAAGCTTATTTCTGTGAATTGTTCATTTTATCTCTCATCAGGACAAAACTTACTACCATGAGTCGAAGGCGAGCGCACGATAATGATGATGGTTACGGTAAGATTTTTAAAGTTTCATCTCCATTGGGCCCCATCGCTTCCTCTGGATCGCTTATTGATTGGGGTGATTGTAAGAGGATGAAAACTCTCTCCGTCTCATCATCTATGTATGCGGACAGTATTCCCAAGCTTCGTCTGCATGATAGTTTACATGGATGTACTCACTGCTGATTTTCTTGCCATCAGCTTGTCTATTACACAACCTCCAACCTCTGATGTGGCCAGTACCGACACAACATGGGGGATCCCGACATCCAAAATAATGTATTCGCCCTCAGGACAAATAGTTATAAGTGAACTGACAAATATGCTAATACTTTTAATCAACACCTCTTCAGTCCATAGTTTTTCTAATCCTTTCCCGGAATGAACCAAGGCTGCTGGCCCTTAGTCGCAGATTTCAGAGGGCGAAGGGGATGACATATTTTTTAAATGAAAAGAAGATTTAGCTAGCGATTACCTCCCTTTTTGGTAGTTTCCCTAATGCCAAACAGTAAATCCAGCCTGGAAAAAGTCAAGTTTCAAAGAGCCCAGACTGTGGGTGAAACTTGAGTTGGGTAAGGTGGCAGACATTTAGTTCAACTTCCTTTGCCATAGACCCATTTACGTCTCTCCGCACAGTGTCGTCACGGCCTGCGGTCCACACTCCATTACTTCTGTTTGATGGCAGCATAGTTGTTTTCAAACGGGAAGTCAGCCACCGCAAACTTATCTCACGCAAGTTATACCCCATCCCAAGTATAAGTATTGCTATTTACATTCCAGTGCTAGGTGCCGAAGCTAAATTGATCCTTTCCATGAAAATCTGTCTACTTAGTAGCCTTGAAAATCTGTGACTAATATTTTGAAACTGGGTCATATATTTGCAACACAGCTTAAGCAGTCATAAATTCAGTCACATTCAGGACTCGTGAAAAGAAGTCACCAGGAGAGTGTTTACAGCTGGGATGCAAAAAATGCTTGATCTTGCGATCTAAAAGCACTGCAAATGTGAGCTAAATCGTGGGATGTGAGAAACATCTTTACCCTCCAAAAGGAGGCAAATCCTCGATTTTATAAGGAGACAGAAATAGTAGATAGCAAGAAAATTTCAGAAATTCTTCCATCCTCGGTGTATTGTGGGTCGCGGCCTTTCATCTCATGAGTCCAGACAAAAGTGGACAAATGAGAAATCTATGAAGAGATAGAAGCTTTATTTTTGAATGATATCAAGGATGATGAAGGATATATGAGGATTAATGTTCAACCCAATTTTTTCATTAATTCTACCCATTTTTTTCAGACCGAGCATACAGGAAACGGCGCCGTGTATCAGAAAACCAGGAAATTGAAGATCGTCTGGAATCTCTAATTTTACGAGTCGGAGAGAAGGTATGCTTCGCTTCAATCTTAAACTTTCTGTCTAATATCCGTGTTGAATATCCTTGTATTCAATGAATTTTTTATTATTTTCTCCAAGTTTTAAGAGCCAGCATTAATCTGACTTAGTGTTGGATTGGAACAAGTCTGGAATCATTATTTTTTTTTCTTTGTTATTTAAATTGATAGCAAAATCTTATTCAGTGAATTTCTCTTCCAGGTTAAAAAAAAGCTAATGGATTGGTTGCACCACTCCTAAATATGATTAACTATTGAATCTCTTTGATCTGGAAAATTGAAAAGTGAGATTCGCTTAAATGCATTCCCACTTTGTCTCAAAGTCAAATATCAATAGAAATACTGACATGATGCTTGAAATCATCTACCACCAGGAAGAAATCCATGGGTTTTTTTACCTAGGAATTATCAATCAAGAATGCATGCGTCCGCATTGGTTACTTCTTATACATCACTGATAAAACCAGGATATGCACTGACTGGAGTGGATATTTTTTGCAGAGAAGAAGTTCAACATATTGCACTTAGAAATTTTGTATGTTGTCGGATCTCAATAATTTTTGCTAATCCATATGATTTGATTACCAAATTTCTCAATTTTGTGGCCCTCCCAGAACAACTGACGTATTGTAGAGCAAGTGTCACACATTCAAATCGAGCCATCAAATTTTCAAGTTCCGAAATACCATTCAAATACCAGCAGCCTGCAGGCATTTGATGGAATGATCACTAGCTAAGTTGGCTAATCAGAGCTCACCTACCCCATCAAATACCTGCTGGCCACTGATATTTGAATAGAAAGTGTCTGACCTTAAAAATTTGATGGCTCGATTTGACTGTGTGACACTAGCTTATTGATGAACACTGAACCAAAAAATAACCAAAATTCTTGTGAAATGATACAACTAAAGTTTGATTGAACCCTCCGCCCTCTTTTTACCCTGAAGCTGATTGCAATATTTCTTAAGTGTGGAGAAACTTATTCATCTGTGATTCTTTAATTTTTATATGTACAGCTGTTTCACCTCATCTTGGAGCATTCTAGAAAATCACTAACTGCTCACTGCTTTTTTTTACAGAGCACTGCTTCCATTGAAAGTAACTTAGAAGGTTTGGCCAGTGTCTTAGAAGCGGATTTATCAACATTCAGAGCTAAAGTGCTACGCATTCTGACAGACTGCGCCATAAAAATGCCTGAAAAATGCACCATTTATACAACTCTTGTGGGACTTCTTAACACCAAGAACTATAACTTCGGTGGTGAGGTGAGGAACTTTTATGCTCATATCCTGTCAATCATACCACTGTGAAATGAGGCATTTCGGACTCAACGCAAAAAAAAATGATGACAAAAACTGAGTTTTGGACTTGTCCCAATTTTGATTACAGTAATGACTAATTACACTTGATTGATTTTTCTTGGGTAAATTCACAGAACCGGTGGAAAAATCAAGTTTACCCCTTTTTTTACTTATGGGTAATCTGACTTGAGAGCCGTTACATAAAGCTCTTGGGGGCAGGGGGGTTGGGGAGAGCAATACACCATTTTGTTTTTATGTTTCAGAGGAGAGGAACCTACGTCCTAAAATCGTTTCGAAGGGGGGGGGGGTCATAACATATTAAATTTGGCATCATGTATTTTATGAATGACCCCTTATCAAGATTCCTCTACAGTGGGTAGGGTTCCATTTATGGGGTACAATTCTTCCAGTGCACTCACTAACTTGATCCAATAAAACCTGACTCAATTTGCGAAGATACGTCAAACATCATACATGGAAATTTGAAAGATTTCTCTCTGTAAAAATCACAATAGTCACATAATAATTTAACCCTTAAGAAAAAATAAACTGTACCAAACCTCAAAACCTAATACTTAGACCTCATTTTACTCACAAGTGGCTAACAATTTTAATTCACATACTAATCTTTTTGGGTACCTTTCATGTTATAGTTCGTGGAGCACATGGTTCGCACGCTGAAAGAGTCATTGAAAGCCTGCAACTGGGATGCATCGCGCTATGCCCTTCGTTTCCTTGCTGACCTGGTGAACTGTCATGTCATCTCAGCGAATTCTCTGATACAGCTCCTTGACAACATGCTAGATGCTGCCAAAGAAGATGGAGTTCCCAACGTATGTTTTAGACTTTCAACAGTGTTTCTTACTCTGCTTTTTATTGTTGAATAATTTGGATCTCTCAGGTGTTATTTTTGAATCTTTCAATTGGATGCATTCCAACCAAAAAAAGTCTTTCCTCATTGAGAACTCAGAAAAAGATACATGGAAGATAGTTTCAGTCTGGTAATATTTGTTGTTGCATACTAAATTGGAAGATCGAATGCTAGGCAGTAAGGAAACTAACCACTCAAGATTTTGTCTCAAACCCCAGCCAGTTGGGGTTTTTAACTCTCCTACAGGTTAGACTTGTTTTGCGTAATATAATTGCCACTTGAAATGTATGAAACAAAACAAGTCTCTTTATGAAAACAGCCAAAACAACCCCTCCACCTTCACTAAGCTGTGTCTTATTTCTTAGTCGCTCAGTAATCCTTTCATGACTGGGCTTAAGGATCAAACTTCACCCAAATTAGCCTATAAATTACAATTGATAACAATTCCTCCCTAAATCCTAATGAAGAACCTCTTTAGGTTTTAGGAAGATATTGTTATTAATTGTAATCTAGAGGCTTCTAGAGATAGACTTCTCTTGTACAAATGTATTCAATGAAAGATTAATGCTTGTTATCTGCCTTTTTGAAAAATGCTGTCAGGATAGAACAATGTAAGATAACTCCAGATCAAATTTTAGAAGCAGTGCCTTTTTCCATGTCTTGACAAAATTTCATTTGACAACTGGTTTTGAGCTGTGACATCCTGAAGTGGGAGTATGATTGAAAATAGTGAATGTAACAAAGAAATGGGTCTGTACTTTTCTTGAATAATCATGATAAAGTCATGTTGAAACCATTTAATATAATCTTCAGTTTCTCCTCATGTCATGACTTTTCCAGTGACTTAATTACAAATCATCTTAGAAGGGCTAAGAACTTAAATATATTGGATTATTGTGGGAAATGAACTGAAAAATGCATGCTAGTTTCCATTTAAATAGTATTTTAAAAACGAAATTTTGAACTTTGTAATTGACCGATAACTCCCTTGCATGTTGTACTACTATCCATGCAGTGGAAGATAAAAGAGAATAATTCATTGCAAAGTTTTACTTTCAATCTACATCACCGAATCTGTTGATGTACTTTTTTCACTGACTCTTCACGGCTCATTGTTTCTTTTTATCAGGTGCGGAAGGGGTGGTATGTGTTTGCAGTTTTGTCTTGCCTACCTTGGGTTGGCCGTGAGCTGTATGAGAAGAAGGAACAAGCCTTGGAGATGCTCTTAATGAACATTGATGTTTACTTGAACAAGAGGCCGAAGAAGCACGTGCCAGCTCTGAGAGTCTGGGCTGTTGATGAACCACATCCTCAGGAAGAAGTAAGTCATACTTCAAGGAAGGAATCCCAATGAAATTACCGCTAGTTGCATGTTAAACCCTTACAAAGTCATCGAACATCTAGAAAAGTTTTTAACTATTACGCCAATATGGAAAATCTGAGAAACAGTGTGGAAATTTTGCTATCTAATGTTGTGTGTCCTTGTTTCGTTGACACTTTTCCATGATTTTAATCACATTCATGCCCATAGCAGAACCTAAATTTTGATCTTGTTTCGAATCGTGAGACATTCTTATTCCAAAAATCTGTGGAGAATCAGGAAAACAGTATTATATTCATTTATTATTTACTTATTTTATTATATTTTATGTTGATTTTTTTTTTGGTTGTTTCAAACTATATAACTGATTTCATATACCAAAATCTTGAATTGTCTGGAATTTTAGAAATTCAAGGAGACTTAGCACCCTGCGTGATTTATGAAACTTAAACTTCAACAAAGATGGCCTTTTTTCAGCAAAAATCCTCATTCAATCCAGTTACCATTTATTTTCTAAAAAGAAAATTAAATATTTGTGATCATGTCAATTGAGAAGGGATTGACAAACACCGACTTTAACAAATCTGAACTAACAGTTTAACTATGTGTATGAACTTACTCCGAAATATAACCATAGTAGTTCAGCAAAGGCATTTATTTCAGAGAAAATCGGTGGTAGAAACATGTCTCTCCAAAAATTTTGCATAGCAGTAGCTGAATGACCAAAAACTCCGAGCTGCATGCAAGTTTGTCATTATCTCCTGAAGTTAATATTCTAGCTCATAAAAGACTCACATGGTTTGTAATTATTTCTTTTCAGTATCTGGACTGTCTCTGGGCTCAGATAATGAAGCTAAAACAGGATAACTGGGCAGAAAAGCACATCCCTCGTCCTTACCTGGCATTTGACAGTATTCTTTGTGAAGCTCTGCAGCACAATTTACCAACTGTTCTTCCTCCGCCTCACCACGATAGCTATGAGTATCCAATGCCGTGGGTTGTTTTCCGAATGTTTGACTACACCGATTGTCCAGAGGTATGTTAGATTCAAGTTTATTTGTCCCAATCGAAGCATCTTCTCCCGATTTTCTGTCATTTTCTTCTGTAATTTTGAAGTGTTTTCCACGAATGGTAGTTAGAGTAAAAAGAGACTGACATTTTTTAAGTCCAACCCTTACTCCTGTCTTGTGATCCACCGTATCAAAGCAAGCGTGGAATCATCGAGTGCCAGTACCATTCTGAAAACAAGTAATCTTTGGTCCCATACTACTGCCTACTACAAATTTTGTCTATCTATGTCCCTTTTGTTTTTTTAGACACCAGTTTTACCCGGAGCGCACTCAATTGAACGGTTTTTGATTGAAGAGCATTTACATCAAATTGTCGAAACATATCACTGGGAAAGGAAAGACTGGTAAGTTATCAAAACTATATTGTCAGCTGTTGTTGGTATATTCTGAGCTTATTTGTTGCAATGGCTTAGAATCTTGGATTCCTCGTGTGTTCTATATATTTTTGCCTCCTTCTTCGTACAAATTTTGAAAATTACGCTGCAAGTTTCCAATGAAAAATGCACCATGGCTGCTCACAAAATTACTTACATCTCCGGTGGGGGGGGGAGGGGCATCCTGATAGAGGGTGGAAGAGGTGGGGCAAAGCTTGATATAAATAGATTTTTTAACAGTTTCGCTTTTGTTTCCACAAATATGTAGAGTAATTTTGTGCTAATTAATTCAGAGTCTTTTGTGATTTCTTTGTTCTTTTCTAATTCACAGCAATTTTACTTTTTCACATCTTAAGACGATAATCCTAGTAATTGATAAGTGTGTTATGCTTTTTAAATCAATTTTGAGATCGAAGAAGCATGAACATCATCATGCAAGAGCCACTCATCATCCGGAAGTATGTACCAAGAAGAGCTATCAGGAGGGGGTAGATCGTCGTAGAAAAGTAGATCAATTTAGTCTTGAGTATTTTCAGGACGTAGCCAAAGGAGGTAAGAAAGTACAGAGTAAAAGACTAACGAATGGGGTGGAAAACGTTTTATAACAAGCAGTTTTACTCAGCATGCTTTCATTAAAATTGATTATTATTTTTTCTCTGTTTTGTAGTGCTGCTCACTTATTGAATTTCACCCACAAACTAAAGATACCTTTGGAATATTGTATAGTAGAGATTCTTTTCGCCGAATTGTTCAATGTACCTGCGCCTCGTTACCTGGAAATATTTTATGGATCAACCCTAATCGAGCTGTGCAAACTGCAGCCTAGCACTCTACCTCAAGTAAGTCTCTATTACCGCACACAACTCTCCCCAGGGAAAGAGACCTTATTTCAGAGCCAAATTTTAAATGGAACAATTTTTGTTAAGTCAGGTCAAGAAATTTTTCTTCAAACTTTTAATCAATAATTCTAAAAAATATGTTAAAAAAATTAACTTGAAAATGGTTTATTCCTTCTTTTCTTTGTCAGAAGAACGTATTAAGTTGCGTTTTAATCCAATAATTTCCTTGAAAAAAATAAAAACAAGAAGTTCTCTTCAAAGTTTATTTCTGGATTCACTAGTTTTAAACTATCCCAAAACCTTGTTTTCGTTTTTTCACGCCAAAACGCTAAAAAACATCCTTCTTTTTAGTTGTACCAAATTGTGGCCTTTTTCCTGTATGGGTAGTTGCTTATTCATCACCATATTCATCAGGCGCCTTCTCCTTTTGGAAATGAATTATAAATGTTGTATTATACTCTGCTTAACACCTTAAGACCCATTTTACAACAGTTTGATGCTTCTGCTTGAGGTGCATTCATTGTGAAAAGTCCAGATCATTAAAGTGACTGGCTTAAAGTACTGGTAAGCCAGGCTGAATCATCATATTGTTAAATCAGTAACAGTGGTATTGTCTCTGGTCAATGTGTCAAACTGAAAGAATAACATAATTTTTCCTACTTTTTTTCTTCCTAATCATTATTCATTTGTAAATATTATCAATTCATGTTTTATGAAGATGGTAAAGAGTGTTTATAAAATCTGGCAAGAATTCAAAGACACTGTTGCAGCTTGTAATATTTTTCCTCTTAATTTTTTCAACAGGTTCTTGCTCAAGCAACTGAAATATTGTTTATGAGGATTGAAAGCATGAATGTCACCTGTTTTGACCGGTAAGTCTGTAAAAGTTTCTTTAGAATGCAGGTTGGTGGAATTGCTCATTTTCTAATGTAAATGAGTCAGAGGAAAGAATCATCTGTTTATATTTGAGGCCAATTTTACATTTTTAGCGCCCCAGACGAAACTTTAGTTGGTGCCCCCACCTAAGTTCTACGGTGGAGGGCCCTATACCCCCCATCTAATTAAATAAAGGATGTTCAGCTCTTAAAAAATTTATTCAGATTCAATACTTAGGCAGTCAGAAGCACCTATTTTTTTGTGTAAATTCCTAAAAATTTTCTGCCCCTTCGAACGTAGCTCCTTAGGCCGTAGCCCATGTAGCCTAACGGCCAATCTGGCCCTGATCATACTTTATTATTCCTATGCTGCATTCGAACTGTTTTATTTACGATACGTAATTGAAGGATTCCAATTCAGGACCGAACCTTTATCAAGTTTTTGTCAATCGTTTTTGCACGTCCATTTTCTATTTTCATTGAAGTATTCTGTGCTCTAGTTTCGAAATTTTCTGCAAATTAATATTCTCCATGTCTCATTGCTTAAGAGAAGAGCATTGTTCTGTTTTTGCCCTGGCACAAACATGGACCTCATTTCTGTCGTGTATTTGTGATTGTCTATAAGGAAAGATTTCAGCGTGGGACAACTTGAAATGAGTTTTGCCACAACCACTTTTAGGAGTGTTTAAAAAATATCATAAAACAAATAGTGGCCAAGAATACCAATCAAAGTCAAAGTCATGATGATTTGAAGTACGCAGTCCACAACAAAAAGTTTCAAGAAGAGGTCATTTTCAAAATGCAACTTAATGCGCCCTTTTGGTGTAGAAATGAACTAAGCCACTCGGAACTTATCCCATGGGATACCTGTGCAGGTTTCATGTAGGAAATATTCCAAGGTTCTGATCGAACTTGACCTAAATCGTTTTTCTGTTTACTAAGGTCCTTTTCCAAATTTACGTAATTATTTTTCAAAATGACGCAATTAATCACTGCAGCTCTCTAAAAAAAAAAAAACTATCCAGAGAAATGAAAAATAAAATAGTTATAACAGCATTGACCAGTAGTTTGTAATGACATGATTTTTACTTTCTTTTTGGCAGATTTGTGAACTGGTTTGCATACCATCTTAGTAATTTCCAGTTTCGATGGAGTTGGGAGGATTGGGATTGCTGTATCGAGAGAGATCCAGAACATCCGCAACCAAAATTCATTAGAGAAGTTCTATTGAAGTGTCTAAGGTTTGTATTTTTAGGGGGTTTTTTCTTTCTTTATTGTTGCAGTTTTTACTGGGATGGACAAAAGAAACGTTGGATATGCCATAACTTCTTCAATTATTGAGTTAAAATGTTCCAGTTTTGACTGTTGTCCCAGTCATTGGGGGAAACCTTTTGGTGGGTCACAACACAAAGACTGCTCCCAGGTGGCGCCCTCCTCTCCAAAAAATCTTCTGAAAGCGACCCCCCCCCCCCNCCCCCCCCCCCCCACTTGTGACACATTGTTGGATGACGTATTGAGTGTTCCTTTTGCCCATCCCAATGTGACTCCCTGTGTTAATGCTATTTTGTATACACTGCTGAAAACCAAAAATTTTTACTTTAGTCAAGCAAAAATAGTTAGAAGCTTTCCTGTAATTAGAATCATTCTACTGTCTCCCAGTGTAAGTCAGAACTATCAAAACAATGAGGAAACCGTTCCTAAAAAAAGGTCTGAATCACAGCATTGCTGCCGATCAAGTCATTATGAAGCAAAATTCAAATATTTATCAAAACGCAAGGCTTTAAATGTACATTTTTATTATGAGAGATGAAAATGTTTGAATTCTCAATCGTCAGATTGCCTATTGCGGGTCATTAAATTATAGGGGATGCTTTCTGCAATGGGCCAGTAGGCAGAGTAAAAGTTACAGTACTACAAGAAATGTTTTCTTGTCAGAATCTCAAGCAGAAACTAATGTACGTATAAAAAAAATCAGAACATTAGAGCAAAATTATCATTTGCAGTATACACTGGAGTCAGTTGATTCCAATTTTTACAGGCAAGAAGCACCGAAATTATCTAGGCTGAATTGGGATTTGAAAACATTGTAATTTGTTCAACAAAATTTCAAATGAACAGGATCCAACTGAGGAAAATTAATCACTTTCAAAGCGTCCACCCTATATTTTATACGAAATTTGTCCGAGAAACATGAATTGTGAAGCTGATTATTTTCCTAATCTATCTAGTCTGTCGGTTCAATACTCAAAGTCCAAATGATATAAATTAATATGTATCTAATATCTAATTAATTGTCTCTCAATTCTAATCACAAAACTTCAGTTATGAAGCTTGAAATTATGGGCTTTTTCATTCAATTGCCTCACTACGTTTCAATTCCTTTTTCAGGTTATCCTACCACCAGCGAATCACAGACATGGTTCCTCCATCATTCCAGAAATTCATCCCACCAGAGCCTGTTCCCAAGTACAAGTACCACGCAAATGAAGATACAAGTAAGTTATCCAGTTCTGATTTATTGTTTTCAGCAGAACGTTTTGTAACGGGACCAGTGGTGTAGTCAGAAGGGCCAAGGGGGTCTGAATCCCCCAGAAGAATATAATTTATTAGATTTTCTAAGAATTTTTTTACATTTGGACACCCCCCTCCCTCCTCTCATGAAACATTTCTGACTCCATTAATCGACTGGACAGTGTAGATTCTTTAGTTTTCCTGTGACAATGGAACACTATGAAGGTGATTCGTATGATGGATTTATTAGTTCATCTTCAGAACAGGCGGCCAACATTTTGAAAATTTTGTGAGGATTCGTATCACAAGTAAAAAAACGAATCATTATTAAAAATTTAAACATTTTAACCCAAAATGTCTGAAAAAAGTATTTATTTTTTTACTTAAGTTCAGAAGTATTTAAAGAGTACACAGATCACATTATATTGCACAAAAGTTTCGGAGTTTTTATTTTCCCTTTGTACACATTCAGTTACAGCATTTTGAACTTATCCGATTTGGCAAGTTATATATTCTACTATTCTCTTGAAAGAATGCTTGAAGTTAAAGAACCAGTAGAAAATGGTTGTGGTGATGCACTTAAGAAAGCATCTAGCTTTTTGCTGAATAGTGAGCTCTTTGGTTTTGCCAGTAGCAAAAAGTAGTGTTTAATAAGTATTCTACTTTTCCAAAAAAATCTCAGAATACACCCTGAAATGTTTCACTTGGAATTTCTGTCCTTATCTGATTTGAGATCCTGAAGTTTTTTTATGAGTATTTTTTTTCTGTAAATGGGTGCATTTCTTTTTCGCACTTCCATCGTCCCATTTTGCCTCTTTTCTGTAACTGATTTAGTTAATCTGCTCTCAATAATTGAAACTCTAGAGTTTTTACCAACTCCTAGAAATGTTTCCCTATTCTCCAACACATCTTCTTTTCTCTCTTTTTCTCCTTCTTCCTTTTCCATTTCAGTCTCATCAGATTTTGCTGCTGTTACCATTTTTTGTGTCACAGGAGAGAATTGCTCAATTTCCTCATCAAGTGTTCCATTCGTCACAATTTTATCTTCAGTAAAATTAGTAAATTTCTCAGTAGAATCCTCGTTGAATGCTTCAGTTTTGGGCTCTGTTCCATTGCCGCTCAAGCGATCTGAGTTGTTGTCCGTTGAATTCGCTTTTATCTTTGTCTCCTGGTCACTCTCCAATCGCCTATTTGCTCTTCCTTCAAGCGGTAATTCTGTCATGACCTGCTCAGTCCATGGATGATCGGTAGCTGCCTCTGTGTAATCTCCAAATGTTGCATACTCGGACCCCTCATAACCTCCCGTGGAGTAAAATTCTTGCAGTTCTTGTGTTTCATTGAAATAGTCAGTATTTTCTGCTTGAAAGTCTGTTGAAGGACTACTGCTGTGGAAACTCTCGTCCCATTTTTCATAGTCAGCGTACTCGCCCACAGTCGTTTGGTATTCGTATGAGTGATCTGTCGCACCTTCACTGTACTCGGACTGCCCATTTGCAAAATATCCCCCATCCTCTTGCCTTTTTCTAATTTTTCCAATTTTGGGTTTAAGGGAATTTTTTGTGGCTTTTTCAATATTGCATGGCTGCAGTTCATCTCTCTCTAAGGCAGTTTCCTCTTTGGCAGGCAGTAAATGAGTGTAAAATTGTCTGGACTCTGATGGGATCAGAAAATTTAGTTTTGGATGGTAAGTGGTTGGGCTGAGGTACTGGTCCTTCAGACCCAATCTGTCACTAATTGTAGGTTCTGGTGATTTTTGATCCTCAAGTTTCCTCACACTTAAAATTTTATCTTGTTTATATTTATTGCTTCGAACACGGGTCCTTTTTTTGAGCTGTGACATTGTTTTAAAATTTGAACTTCCTCTTCTTGTCGTTACTTTCCTCTGAGGTTTTTTACTTAGGATTTCAGGACTTTTTAACTTGGGCAATTCCAATTCAATTTTTGCCGGGCTTATATGAACATCTTTCACCTCTGACAAAACTTCAGGAAGAGGATTTACATAATCTTTTTGAACATCCTTCTGAGCCTCTGTAGGATTCAAAATGACAACAGGCCTCTCAGTTGTGTATTGAGGTTTTTCATTCTCCACATTCGAAAAGAGAGGGTCTGGCTCTGAATACGTAAAAATTTGCTGGGATGGTTTGAATGGCTTAGGAGTTATCAGAATTTCTTTAGGCTGGTTAACGGTAAAAATTGAGTCTCGGAAAGTGTCATAGTTGTTTTTGTAGACTTTTTTTCTCTCATCTGAAAAATTTCTGTATTGGCTAGGTGGCGAGAGCAGATCAAGTTGCCAATAAGGATTTGTATCCAAAAAAGTATCAAATGTTCGCCTGATTCCGCTACCTTTCATGTTATCAGCCAAGTTTGTTTGCTCAAGTTCTGTCGATAGGGGAGCATTAGTAGTAAGTTCAGGTTTTTGGTAGTATTGGAGTGTGAAATCATCATTCGCTTTGATAGGTGAATTGCTGGTATCACTGCCCAAATTTGGTTGACTGAAGTCGCGATCTGCACTGTAAGTGTCCCCAGTCTCTGTGGCCTCAGGAATACTATTTGTAGCTGTGACCTCTAAAGCAGTGGTGGGTGTAGCAGTTGGATAACTTGCGGTTGAGTATGTTGTAAATCGGGATGAAACGAATGGATATGGGTCATAAATAAGTTTGCCTGTCAACCTCTTAGAGCTATATTGTTGATATCTGAGTCGTTTCAGGCCTTTCTCAACAGTGTAAAGGTATATATCCTCTGTGGGCTCAAAGTGGTACAGGTAATTAGGTACCTTGACGCTGATGTAGAGAGTATATGGTTCGTTCATTTGCTGTACCCGCCAGACTGCCAGCAATACATTGTCAGAGCGACATTTTCGCCCAACACAATCATAAATCGAGTGGTCAGTCTGTCGAAACTCAAAGTCGCCTCGCTTTCCATGGACCAGTACTCCAGTACGCAGTCCTTCGCTAGCTTCTCCAACATCAAGGCGTTTCATAAAGCGTGCAACGCGAATCTTACCCCATAACATGCGGTCATACTCTTGCCGCTCATCAAGATTCTCACCACGGTAGACCCGATGCCGCGCGATGCTTTGGTAAACAGACTCTCGGAGCGGTGCTTGCCAAAATCGAATGTTGATGTTAGGCACTTCAAGTTTGTAGTCATCAGATAGTGCCCCAACCCTTGTAGAAATCACAACCTAAACAGGCAGAGAAAAGCCTCAAGTTAAAATGAGAAAGACTGGAAGGAGCAAATATACTTTTCGGAGAGGTTATTATCAAAAACCCTCCCTTAAGTTCTGAGAATGCCGTTCTTTTAACTACCAAGGAAGAAAAATACTCCAAAGTTTTGCATTTTGAATTAGCTTTATACACATATATTAAGTCGCTTTCACAGCTCAGCCTCGCGCTCTGCGACGCCCAATCGCCATTGCCCCCTCCCTATCCTCCCAGAGATCATCAGGTAATTGGCACCTTCTGATCTCCTCCACCAATTAGCTTTATTCAAGGTTAAAATCAGCAGCAAAAAGTGTCCTATGGAATGCACATTTTGGCATTACAGTTGTTGTATTCACAATAAATATGAAGTGTCCTAAGGTTTTTTTTTTTTTTTTTTTTTTTTTGAAGTTCCGTTTTTATAAAGTTTATGGAAGACTGATAGGTTTTTGTATCTTCCGTGTTTTTTTCTAAGATATCTTCAATTTTTTAATGTCATCCATTTCCCTGTCAGTATATAGGGAAAGAACAAAGTGAAATCAAAATGTCTCAAACTTGATGATATCTCAGCTTTTCCTTAGGTGAATTGGAAAGTCATGCCAGAAAAACTTGCTCAAATTTCATATTGAAAAATTCAATGGATGTATTGCATCTTTTGGTGGCCAGATTGAAAGTAAAAAATCTTTTTTCTTCCTAAAAACTAATCTCTTCAAGCTCCAAGTTTTTAATAATTTATTTTTCAAAACAAGAAGAAAGCCTAATTGCTGAGTTTCCATAATCAGGAGTCTCCTGTAATTCTTCATAAGTACTCTTAACTTTTCTATTGCACTTTTGGCTCCGTTCATTATGTTCGTTGACAATACCTCCCGCATAATTTGTCACTCCTTTAGTCTTGCATTGTACAATTGTACATAGTGAATGAAAGAAAACCACTACATGAGATCTGAATTTATCTTTCCATTAAAAAGTACTTTCAATTTTTTTCGTTTTGTGCATCCTTATGCACCTCTCATTCATTTTGTCATATTTTCTATTCCAATTTTAAGAATTAGTTTATTTCAAGAAGAATCATGATATGCAGTTCAATATTTATATGCATTCAATGATATCATTAATTACTGTCTGTTAACCATCCTAAAACGATTTTTGTTTTTGTGTAATTCAAAACATAGCTGTTATACACATGTTACCTGGAAGATTTTGACGAGAAGTAGCTTCTCAGCAGTAGTAAGCATTGTTGAACCGGAAAATTTCTTGAGCACTGTTTTCCATGTAATATCCAATGTTTGTTAACCGAAATGCACTACAATAATATTCATTCACGTCACCACACTCTCCTCCACAAAAAAAGAATTTTTCGCAATTCGTTTCATACCGAAACAAAAAATGGGAAGTCACTCAGCCACATTTCTTGTAATGTTTTCAGCTCCAACTTAAATCATTGCAAAATCTTGCAGAAGAAAATTTTAAATATGTGAAGCAGGATTCAACTAGAATAAAATTTGTGAAGAAAATTTCCTCTGCAATTTGGCGTTGTATTCTAAGTTTTAAAAAAAATCGAGAGTTCAAAAAAAATTGGTTGTTCCTTAGCGCTTTCTTAACGGAATGTCATAAATCACTTTCACTCGTTCATTTATCGCAAATGCGTTAACACAAACAAGTAGCTGTGGCTACAGAATGGCTTATTGTTTTGGAAAACTATTCTCAAGAAGGTATTCATTGAGACTGAAGACAACCACAGATCTGTGGAGGATGATGTGTCCACGGTTGGGTTCACATGAGTGAGCATGCATGTATCTTAACCGTGAATCAAATTGCCTAATATCCTCCTCTAGTAAAGCTTGGTGCTTTTATCTTGGTGTGGATCTTCCCCAAACTCTGTGTTGAATCTTCATCTCCTGAAACAGGTCAAGGGTCCAATCAGATGTTAACTTTTTAATTGTTCTATTAATATTTCTCACTTGTTGGGTTTCTGCTTGCTCATACATTTATGAGAATCCTATTTCTGGCTATGTTTTTAAAAAAATTTTCCCTCATATGTAGATTGATAAAACTGCCCTTTTTTTATCCCCTCCTTTGTTTCCCTATCTACCCCGTGGCTGACGTCCTTCTCCTCCTCTATTCCTCAATGAAATTGTATCACTTTTAAACATACCTAATGACATCATGCTGGCATTAGGACTTAGTGATTTTGAGTTTTGATGTAAATTTACATGAGTGATTCGGAAAATTATAATTTTCATTTATTTTTTAAAACAATGAGTTTAACCCTATGTTTTTGATCATACAGAGGTTTCCCTTGGATTAATTTTGGAAAATCGAAACTTAAGGAAGGTAAAAGAAGCTGTCCTAAATGTCAAAGAAAAGGCCAAATTCTTCAGTCATGGGATTGGGTGGCAATGTTTCCCTGTCCTCTTATATTCCACCCCCAACCTTTTGAGAGGCACGTTACTTTTCCTCAGGCTTAGCACCCCCCCCCTCCCCCCGTTTTCAAAAACAATAATATCAACTTTGTCTCATGACAAAATTTCTATCGTGAAAATACGAAATACCTAAATTTGGTTTAAAAAAAAATAAAATAAAATGAAAACAAAATTAAAAAAATTAAAACTGCAAATAATTAAAAATTGTATTGAAAATAAGTGGTGGTATTTTTATTCTCCCTCTGAATAAAATTATTGTTTGTAAATGATGGCTGACATGTTTTCCATCATTTGTGAAGAATGTTAATGTAGTGTGTAATGATTAAAAATGTCCATTTACATCATGATTAGTCGATCCTAAGTTCTAGCTTAATGAAAAACCAAAATCATTATAGATCCATTCAGCCATCAAAAACGAAATTATCATTCGGAATATAACCATGTTTTTTTCTTTAAAAAGAAAATAAACCCCCCTCTTCCTTTTACACTTATGAACGTGCCAAAAAAAATTCACTGTGAATTAACATAAAAACTTATACTCATGGAACCTCATGAAATCAGTTTTTTGTTCAATAAAAATTATGCAAACTTTAGCTTTTCCGGCAAGTAGAAATTTAGGACCATTTATAATTTATACAACGCGTGATTTCGGATTTTTTGACCCCCCCCTCCCCTCCCACCATTGGAAACGATCTCCTTGACATTCTTCCCCCATAAAACGTTTTGTATTTTATGAATGGCCCCTTGTTAACTTGAAAAACGCTAATTTTTCTTCTATGAATTGAATTTAAAATTGTTTAATATGTCCATATTGTTCTGCGTATACTTTTAATAAGAGAGCATGTTTTGTGATGCACAGGAACTTATCCTGTTTAGTGGTCCATTCCACTGCATGAAGTCATAGATTAAATCCAGAGGTAAAAACAAGTCAACCATCAGGTCAAAACTGAGAAAAATTAGTAAATGCTCCTCTTTCAATTATGCATTGTAGTGGGAATGTCAGGTAATTGAACGTGAATGGTGAGGCGGTCTTGTGTGAAGTTGAACGGCAACGAAAAGTAAAAGACTTTAGGCTCAATGTGATTGTGATTTTATGCTCAGTGAGCTCCTCTCAACCTTGACCAGTGGTGAGCAGATGCAGAAGGATGGCCCCTGGCTCCTCTTCTTTCACACCTTGCCTTCCTTTCCTCTTTCTCGTGCCCATCTTTCCGCTTGGCTGGGCGACTCATTAATTCACCCTCTCCTCCCAGCTTTTCTCCCACGCACCTCATTTGACCAATGTCAATATCAAATTAAACTTTCAAGCACACACCTGTAATTGAAATGAATGCTGTATGAGCATCCAAACGTTGTCAAATTTGTTTTGATGTAATTATCAATGATTTTCTACATAATTAATTTATCAAAACAGGAAACGTGGTTGCACTAAATTTTCATTTTCAACTGGTATCAATGAGGATTCCAGAAAGATCGTTTCATTACTTTTTGATGCAATCTTTTTTTTTCTTTTTTTTAAATTTTCAAACTTAGACTGAAATTGTTTAAAAATCCAATGGATCATATTTGGAAGCTTTCTTAAAAATGAATAATGCCTAGAATTAGAAATTTGGCCACTTTAAATGTTCATACATTTATAGCAGTCATCCTTTGGACTTCAGTATTGTAATCATTTTAAATTAGAATGTGAACTCAAAATTCTTTTATAACTGTGAGAAAGTTTGAGAATCAATTTTCTGAACAGCCCATTTTTCTACTCAATGTCAGCTTGTTGTCGAGTGGGACAATTTGATCAGAAAGCTCCCAAGAAATCTTGGTGGGTTCTAAACATAACTACAGCTGTACTGTTATTAATACAACATTTTAAACTTTTTTCACGGTTTAAACCCTTTTTAAGGGTGGTAAAAGGTTCTTTCAGAAAGAAAATGATCTCTAATTATAAAAATTGGAAACTTTCAGTGTAAGTCAAAATGGCATCTATCTCTGGTTTTTTTCCCTTGTGCCAGTTTTTTGCAGGTTTCCAGTGGAGTAACGGGTCTTTGTTTTTAATCTTCCATTCTGCTCATGGCCTTAAAAATTGTGTTCTCTTATGTATTGCAGTATATTTACCTGGCGTGCAAGTTGCAACGCAGTTGATGAAGGCAATCCGAGAGAAATGCACCCCGGAAGAAGCAGCTGCTCTGTTGGCGGAACTGCCCAATCCATTGCAAGATGAGGATGGAGATGCCCGACTGAACCCTCTGAAAATCGATGTCTTCGTCCAAACGCTATTGTTTCTAGCTTCAAAAAGTTTCTCGCATGCCTTCGCTGCAATTTCGAAGTTCCACATAGTTTTTAAGGTGAGGAAATAGTTTCAACCTGGCAGGAAAGAACTAACACGTATCAAGTATAAACTGGAAAAACTAGGATATCACATTTTACAAGTATTAAAGATAAAATTCAGGAGGGGGAAGGATACCGCAACACACATTTGAAATCAAATTTTATTTCATTTAATGAGTTTCGGGAACTTAGTCTATATCAAACCCTTTTAGATAAAGAGGTTCGAAGTGTAATGAACCCGTAAGACACAATGTTAAAACAAGTCTTCAGCCATATTTTCAAAAAATCAATACGAGATGTCGCTTTGTAATTGGGCTCTTATCTGCCCCAAGCAACTATTTTAGAAGAGCCAAAAAACAAAATTTTAGTTTCTATTACCAAATTTTTTGTATTAAAAAAATATATATACATGTATATTGAAACTTGGGGGCAATTTTTAGGCAATCTGTTTTGCATGAAGATTTATGAGTTTTCAATATTTTAAACTTGTATAACCTTAATTTTACTTAAAATGGCTGTAATCGATGCTTTCACTTACTATTGCTCTCATTCCATCCAATTTTTTTCTGCTTTTTTTCTTTCTCCTGAATTGGAAGCATCGTAATTGCAATTTTTTTTTTTTTTACTTTCGTCTAATATCAATAGCTAGTCTGAGACGAGATTGTCCTTTGATTTAGTTTTAACCCCATTTTTAATATAGTTGTTGCATAATCCCTCAATCTTTAGTCTTCCAGGGGTAGTGGCTAGGAATTTTTACAGGTTTATTATGTAGGTTCTCTTGAGTAAAATTTCGTGAAAAAACTGAAAAGTCCATCAAGAAGTCCAAAAAATATTTCTATGGAGGGATTAAGCTTTTCAAAATCCGACTAATCAAAAACCAACAGTCCAGTTGACACAACAAGGTGAGGCTCAAAGCTGAGTTCAGCCATTCAGCAAATGTTGTTTCCCCAGTCTGGCTACATCTCAACATTTTTTTTTTACATGTTGAACCTTTCAAAAGTGAGGTGAGAACTGTGGTAGAACACGATCTGTCGAAAAGGCTGAATGAAAATCGGAGTTTTTCGTACTTTCTTTGCTCGGAAATTTTCAAAGGTACAAGAATGACAGTTGTGATCCGTTGAACTTTTTCAGGCCCTTGCTGAGTCAGAAGAAGCCCAAATATGCATCTTGCGAAGTTTATTTGAGCTTTGGAGGAACCACCAACAAATGCTTTGTGTCTTGATCGATAAAATGCTCAAGTTGCAAATTGTCGAGTGCTCTGCAGTTGCTAATTGGATCTTCTCCAAAGAAATGTCCTCAGAATTCACGAAGTAAGTTCTCTGCTGTTCAAAATACCTATAGTTACTCTAAGTTTCCCTACGACATTTTTTCAACTTATCTATCCTTCTCAATTTGGTTGTTAAGTAGTAGTAGAGGTAGAACAACATTTTTCTCACTTTGAAAGGTACAGCCATGTACTAAGGTTTTAGATTTTTAAAATTTTTTACTGCTTTTATTCAACTGAGGAAGACTGAGTTTTCAGCTGAAACGTTTTGGTGGTATTTATGTGAAAATTCGCCTTGTTACCCGCTGTTTAAATTGTTATTATTGCAGTAGAGATAACACTTTCTTCATATAATAATTACTTTGAATTTATTTCCGTCCCTAACAAAAAGTGCAATTTCTGTCTTTTTAAAAATCGATCACTTAATATTTTCTGAATATTTTTTGTATTCCTGTTTATAGATTGTACTTATGGGAGATTTTACATTTGACGATCAAAAAAATGTCCAAGCATGTTTCGCGACTTGGTAGAGAACTTGGCGAAACTCGGGAGAGGTTGACACGTGTCGAATCCGATGACAGTGAAGAAGAAAGCGATGGGGGCACTGGCACCTCAAAACGGAAAGAAGACAAACCGACTGAAGAAATTGTTGAAAGAATGGAAGAAAAATTAGAGGTTGCTCAGGCGGACCAGAAAAATTTGTTCCTTATTATTTTCCAAGTAAGTGCAAGATTTATTTTGATGGCTCATAGTTTTTTCGTCCAAAAAACATTCACAAGAGTTGCTTTTGGGAAAAATTAGGTGTTTTGATGTAATCGAGTTTTAGACTGAAATGCATACCATGTCCTGTGAAGGAATGTTGTTTAATCGTACCGTCACATCGTTCTTCTTATAAGAAAGTAAGTCAGGTACAACTTGTAAGTGTCCATTCCCAGTCTAGTGTAAGAGCTCAATTTTCTTTTGAAAATGTAGGAGAAACAGGTTAAAAATTACCCGCTATCCAGAAATCGAAATTGAGAAAGAAGAATGAATTCTATAATTGAAGGATTAACTCATAGGTTTCATCAATTGAAGCAAATATTTATGTAAAAAATCGTCTGAAACACATTGTAAAAATCTTCCTTAGTATGGATCTTACCGTAACACAAATGAAGAAAGTATGATGGAATTTCAAGGATCTTGTATTTTATTTGTATCAATTTTATTGACCTTTTTTACTCATTTTTCTTGTTTGCTGTGTGAATAATGTATTTTATGTTCCTTTAATAGAGATTTATCATGATCTTGTCCGAACACCTTGTGCGGTGTGATACGGATGGCATTGATTTTAACACGTACTGGTACAAGTGGACCATAGGCAGACTACAACAAGTATTTTTGACGGTGAGTATCTCATTTAGCCATTATTTTTTTTTTTTCAAGTCTTCAATTAATATCATGATCTTTTAATATTTTTTAATTTGAAAAAAACCTTAAAGAATAATCATAAATTTTCTTTGTGTTTTTCATGTTTCTTGATAAAACTTTTTGAAAATAGAAAATCTTATTAGATCATCAGATTTCTCATAAGAGCTTTCATTACATTCAACTGAAAGTTGAAATTTAAGTCTCTGATGTAAAATACTCTTTTAGATCCCAAGGAATAAGTTGCTAGTGATTCGATTAATTTTTGTACCAATAAATGGCAATAAATTACATTTTGATCAGTTCTGAACTTGGTAACTATAAAACTAAAATATTGTCGGTGCATACCCATAGCTCGCATCAATTTTCCGATTTTCCGCAGGATTTTTCTTCTTATCATTCGCGCATGTTTTTTAGCCGCAGACCAAATTCAGGACGCAAGTAGTCTATGGACTCACACAGTAGCTCCTTCTTGAAACTTCATTTTTGAACTATGAAAGTCGAACTGTTATAACTCAGGCTTGGTTTGAAACTCATAAGCATTTTCTCTAAAGTGATATATTGTAAAATACCCCTTTAAGCAACGGTGCTATTATCTCAACTCTGAGTCTTCTGACACTAAAGTTCCTCTACTGTAGTGAATTACAGTAAGTGAAGGCCATTTGTTTTTAAATGCCACATTGAAATCTGTTGTTTAATGCACATATTTTGTGACTTCTCTTGTAGTTTTAAAATTTATTTTTTGCAATTTTTACTATTTCTAGCACCATGAGCAAGTTCAGCGATACAGTAACACTCTGGAAACACTTCTCTTTACGCAAGATCTTGACCCGCATATCCTGGATGTTTTCCACCAGTTCATCTCTCTACGAGCATAAAAGGTATTTTAGCCCATATTTGATTCAGAATGATCGTTATCAGAATATTCAACTGGTAATAATCATATTTTTTATATTCAAGGAACCCACTTGACCATAGTATATGACGTATTGGTCTTTTAAAGACATATATCAAAGGCAACTTTCACTTTCCTTAAGGATTGAAACACAACTCTGTCAGCTCAAATTCTTTCACTTACTGAAAATTCCAATCATGTGTTCAGACTGCTCTTATGATTTTAATATGCAAATTGCCGTAGGCGACTTGAGAAAGTTTGTGCCACTGTCACTCTTTCAAGCAGCAGTGCCAACAAGACCACAACATTGGCGCTCTTCAGCAAAGATGCATAAGAATTCATAGTTCTGCAAACATTTTTGCAAGTAGCATGCAAAGGAACTGCCAGATAGAGTAGGGCCTCAAAGAACTAGAACACATGTTTTCTCATCATAATGTCAAATAAAACATGAGTGACTTATTGAATGTTTAAAATTTAATTGAGGAGTTATAAATTAGAAAATTAAGTTTCGGGTAATTCAAACCTCTTGCTTGCATAAAAACCAAAGGCCACTTGAGTCAAATCGATCTCTGAATCAATTTCAGCTTGCTTTACAGTAAAATAATTTTGTACCGAGTTTTGATTTTTACTAACAATAAGTTGAGAAACTTCAAGCATCAAAGAAGAGAGGATGGATATGCATCAATTCATTCATTTGTCCATCCATTATTATACAACCTTTTATTTATTTTCTATTTTATAAAAGGTAGGAATCGTCGCAAATTAAGTTGTTAATTTTTTTGGCGACTGAGTCAGCTGCATAGCATGATCACACAACATGTTAATGAAAATTTGTTTTAATTTTACTGTTTTATCTTGGTTTTTCCAATCCATTAAATCTTACTTTATCTTTTCATTCGTTTCGCCAGTTATGTTTTTTCCTCTAATTTCTTTCAATTTCCACAATATCAAAGTGTATATATGTGTATTTTCTATCAATTTTTGAGAATTTTTTGCATGGAAGGCTCTATGCAAGGATCCTCAAGGAATAATAGTATTTCTTACAATTGAAAATTCTTGAATAAAATATAAAATTGCAGTATCATATCTTTCCATTTTCAATTTCGAAAGTTATTGAGCAATAAAATTACATCTTTTTACATCTTGAGTCCGAGCTATTTTTTGCAGAGTTTTTGAGTCCTATTAGAATCCCATTTTGTCCCATTAAGTTTTAAGTTATGAAGTGTTTAAACAATATTGCATCATTTGACATGATTTGCTCATAACTACTTTTTTTATCGGCCATTCCCGCCCTTTCAAGGTTTGAACATTGTTTTTTTTTTTTGCTATTTTTATTTTTGTGGTCAATGTACATTTAGCTAGAATTTATCTCAACTGTTTAAATAATATGGTTGAACTGCGTTTTTACTTTAGTTTTACATAAAAAATGTTATGCCCTGTATAATATCTGTAAAGGTAATGAATTACGTCCATCCTTTTCTTGTAAGCTGAATGTAACATGCTAAGTCTGCTTAAAGAGCTTGGTAGGATATTTTTTGCTCTGGGATTTTTCGTACTCAGCTTTGTAAGATTTTAGTCTTTATCTTAGTCTCGTTTCGTAAGAATTATCCATGAATATGGTCCATTCAGATGTTGCACCGGTTGACTAAAAACATATAGTTTTGCAGCAAAATTTCCATGCTTGAATTTCATGTTTTCCCAGTTGATCCGAAAATAATCCATCCAAAGAGTCAGATCTTACCCTATCAAAAGCAAAGATGTTAAATTTAGTGAGAAATTATCCTTTTCTAACCTTTCGAGGATAAGTTGAGTAAAAGTTGATATTCTACCAATGGAGCCCCCAGACTTTCCTGATACGTCAGAATCATGAAACCAGGCTCTGCTCATTTTCTTCTTTTGGTCAGTATGTAACGGTATACTTTGTTCCGTAAGTCTCTACTGTGATAACCTTTCAGCATCGCTGAGAGGAATCGTGCGATTTTGAATTACTTTGGTGTATAGCTATTCATTTCAAAGCACGGCCCTAATAATTAAATTTCAAGTTTGTTATGATCATTTAAATGACTATGTTAATTTATGTACTAACTAATGATGTATGTAGTTATTATAAGGACTGTAAGGCTCTCAAATTTTCAGTTTTTGGCTAAATTTCATATTAAACCAGAGGCATCTTTCAATCAGTTTTTTTCTTTTCTTATTTCCCTAATTTTTCCATCACTCTAGTCAATTTTCAAGTATGGAAGCTTTTCTCTTGTCAACTTGAAAGGTTTTACCTCTTAAAATTTACAGCTTCAAACTTTGAAGTATTTTCTGGCAGATTTCAGTTTTCTTTTATCTACCCCAATAAACCGTCTTCAAAACTGAAAGCTGGTCTCAAAAAACCAAACAAACACCAACAAAAGATTACAAATCAAGTAAGAACAAGATTTAATCCTTTCACTCCTCATTATTTTTTTGGTCGGTTTGCTCAGCTTTACAAGTTAGTTTGCTCAAAATTGAAAACTATTGATACCTTTTCTTAGATACTTTTATGCAAAAATTCTGCCTACTCAGTCAGCCTATCGTAGGTTACACTGTATTGTAGGTCCATTGTTGTGGAAGTATGTCCAGAAAGTCTCAAACTTGTCAAGTAGCTTTAATTGCAAATATTCATATGCTGTGTCACAAAATCAAATAATAACAGCCTATAACATGCCGTAATATTGTTAATTTTTGGTTGTTAAAATTGCAAAATCGGGGGGGGGGAACCTAGATTGAATTACAATATTTTATTTAAGCACAATATAACCAAATTATCTTGAAAGAGGGAGTAACTTTAGTACTTAAATGTGTTCAGTTGGTTGTACTTACATCTCACAGCAGTAAAGGGAAGTAACGCAAAGCATGCCTTCTATCAGAATATGACTTATTAAAAAAAAACAGTGATGTCAAGTAGCATGACCAGACGGATGAGTCATCCCAGATTCTGCCTTGTGTAGCTATAATATACTTATGTAACTCATCAAATCAAGGGACTGTTTTAAGACAGAGAGGAGGATGTAATGATCTAAATTCAAAATTTACGAAAGAGTATAAATTATTTTATTTTCAATAAATTACATGCAAACTTGCATTTTCTTTGGCTTTAACGACTAATTTTGAACAGGAACTATAAAATAAAACTTTTGATTAATTGTAACAACTCTGTGACATCTTCTTTGGAGCCCAAGAAGACAGGGGTTCGTTGATGAATGGATGTTGGTTGAATATCAAGAATGTCAATGTCCCCGTTGGAAGCTATTCCTCCTGCCTCATGCAGAACGTAGGCCATCGGGTTACCCTCATACATCAGTCTCAACTGAAAGCAGTGTAAAAAAAATTAGCTGATTGCAACTAATTATATCATTGTCTCTCAGATCAACGATATACAATGGGTATAGCATCATTTATCCAATCAAGGATTTATATTGAATAATAATTTTGTAGTGTATGACCATAGGGCCACTGCAACAGGGGATGAACAGGGGAACATTTTCTAGCACTTTTTATCGGGTAGGTTTGAAAAATTAAAATTTTTTCTACTGGAAAGCACTTCATATTGTTTCTGAAGGTCAATTGAATCTACTCCAAGCTGAGTATATTGCAAGCAGTCTTCAATCTTCAAAAGGGCTTGAGAACAGGATTATCCGAAACAAGTTCTAATACATTTACAAGTAGATTTAAGCTAAATTCACCTGGTTAATAGAAAGGGGCTTTTTGAAAAAGCCCAATTTAGATGTGCCCTGTATGCTCAGCTCAGTAAAATTATGTAATTACAATCCATCAGTCACTTTAGTGAGTAATTTTCTTCTTGATTTTAAACATATTCTGCTTTTTAACAAATTACAACTTCATTTTTGTGGTTTACCTTGCCGTTCGGAGCATCCTTGGTTGCTGGGTACATGAAAATTCCTCCGTACTTCAGAGTTCTATGGACATCAGCAACCATCGATCCTACATACCTCGCTCCGTAAGGTTTACCATGCTGAAATCATTTTTGTAAAGAAAGAAAATCATGAGTTTCAGTCTTGTGTTAATATTTTAATCTAAATCTTCAAAGACGTGGAACTAATACTTTCCACAATTTATTTGAACAACTACTTCCCTGTCAGAGATATACCTCAATACGTTTGCAATTATGTTGCACAAAGTTACAACTTTCCTTCAATATGTCGTCAATTTTTTTCCGATTTGAAAGTATTTGTATTTAAGTATCACACTTGTCTCTGGTCCCGTAAAGTAGGAAAGATAGGCAACCTGCAGTACAACGGAAATGTGCAACTTTATTGAAACAAGTCATGATAATTTCAGTTCCTTGGTATAGGATTTCATGCCGAGCTGCGAGTTGCAACAATCAAACCATTTCATTGCAACTTGAACTACCTGGACGTTGAGAACTTGATAGCAGTATCGTGAATCAGGAGATAGATGGAGTTTTTGGCTCAAATTTTTTTGCCTCTCAGCATATGTATAATTATTCATTGTCCACTAAAATTGAGGAAAAATCATTTTCTTTTCACCCAATCATTTGAGTAATTTTTGTGCTATTTTGGCCGTAAAATCTTCTATAACCTGAGTAAATTGGTATAAAATGCTCACCTTGGGGTCCTTTTTTCGCCGGATATATTCTGCAATCGGTGGGTCCCACAAATATGAATAACCTTCATTAATACTGTATATTTTTCCTCTCTTGGGTATCCGAATATTGGGGTCTGTTAGAATGAACTCGCCAATAGCCTAAAACATAAAAAAGTACCATTAATAGGATTGAACTGCGAACACCCTCATTTTAGCATTATTAACCTTGAGCCTCGTGTTAGTGTTAGTTAGAGTTGAAAAAAATGTTTTCCTTACCGGGTCTAACATGAAACCATTGACTCCACTACCAGCCCCTAGTGCTAAAACCATCATTGTGGCACTACCATAGAGTGCATAACCAGCTGCTACAATTTGGTTCCCTCTAACCAAAGCGTCTTTCTCTGTTACCTTCTCTTTAGGAGTTTCTGACCTGTAACAGAAAATATTGCTGTTAAATGTCAGGTTGCCGGCTTGAGGCCAAGTCTTCCTCTTCTCTTCAAGCAGATTATTACGCCTTCCTCTTTTCTAAAATAAATATTTTCCCTCACTATGTTGAATTCTTACCTCCGTAGGTGGTGCGCTACTTTAATTCATGTTCTTTAATAATAATTGAAGATAGGTTTATTACTTTTGCATTCTTATCCCTCCCTGAAAAATTAAACACATCAAATTATAGCATCTCTTTTTTTTAAATCATACCTGTTCCTTTCTTTTCTGAATGAACTATAATTGATCTCGGTATAAACAGAACAGGTAATCACGAAGATATTTCAGCTGAATAATGAAACCCCGACCAAATATAGCGTATCCTTGATCTCTTCCAATTTTTTTTATGAAGTTCGAAAAAAATTTCCAATTGTACAGAGATTGAAAGAAATATAGGTCTTACTTGTAAATTGCAAAAATAGAACCAATTGACACTAAACAATCAATGTTTGAGGAACCATCCAAGGGATCAAAGCAAACGATGTATTTTCCTCTTTTATCCATCTCAACCTGAAATCACAAATATGTTTTATTAAACTTATGAATGCAATTTTCACTGTGGTTGTGGTTGAATCTTCTTCAAAATATTGAGTCAACCATCCTTTTGGCTTCGTTTCCTCTCTTCTTCACATATTTGAGGATTATGACTGGAGGCGCTAATTATTTAGCAATTTTTGTTTTTATGGTGCAGAATTTTTAAACCACAACATCAATCACCTTGCATAGCTTATAACCCCGATCCATAGAATATATATTTATGTTACGGGCTCACTCCTATTTTCAGTCCATTACGAATTTCCTTAGCTATTTACAATTTTTCAGGACCGATCTGGATAAGCTCATGTTTCGAGACCCGCTTGTAATTTGCCCAGGCCACTTTCAATCAATTCATGGTAAATTTGCATACGACCAATTTGTTTACTAATTGAAATATAAGCAGGTTATATAATTTTTACCTAAATTTTAGGTATTTCTTGAAGCAAGAGGATGATCGGTAGCATTTTGGAGAGCAAAGCAATCCTTTCCTCTTTCAAAATTTTAAGCTGATCTAATTTCTTTCAGTTAGTAGTTTATTTCTTTAACTGAGCCTCTATGCTCTTGATAGCAGTTAGCAAGTGCTTACCTCGATTGCTGTTGGATTTTCTTCACTGACTAGCAAACAGGATGTGAAAGATGATTCTATCATATTGATAAACAGCTCATTGGACAAAATGTCCAGTTTTTTAACTTCTTCACCTTGTACATTTGTAGAGCCGGCAAATCCATGCCTGAAATACAAAGAAATATTCAGGGGCATTGAAAGAGATGAATCGTATTATTGTTAGGCAAGTCATTTTGCACTCTTTGAGAGACTGCAGCCATCCACTCAAGATCAATTCTAAAATCTTTATTGAACATTATTATTATAATTCTACGTCCTTTTTTTCCGTCCGGATGCGGCATGCCGCGTTCATTTTTGGCTAAATGCATCAAAATCAGACTATTGGTGGGAGTCGTGTGACCATCTTCTAAAATAAATTGTTCTAAGTTTTCATAAACGCAGCTTCATATCTCATGAAAATTCGTGAAATACGAGTATTTCAATTTTTCCTGCCTTCTGATCAACGAGAGTGTCGCCAATCGCGCATTGTTAATTTGCCGATCAATTCCTGCGCTCAACGCTGATTGGCAGTAGGACTGAGCGCAGTTCCCGCTTTAGAGAGCGCGCCAAATTCGAATCGACGCTTCGTCGCCACTTGTGCGTCAATAATTCTTTTCTCTCCATATCATACTCGTCTACACCCAGTCAGATACAAATATAAGTTAACAGATAAAGTATCATGGTTACAAATTGTTTCCATTCATTGTTTTAATCAGTTATTGGCCAATTATAAGAATTATTAAAAGAAGAAACCAGGTTATTTGGATCGATTTCAACATTATTGTTACATTAATCATAGTTTCAATAAACTATCGAATTAGACCCAAGTAATTACCAAGCCTCTTTCCAACACTCCGAAAGGTGTTTGTTAACTCAAAGCTATAGCCCTCCTGGTATTCTATCGTGCTAAGGAAGAACGCCGTATGAACATTCGAGAGTTGCCAAATTTCCTATGTTAAAATGTTCAGTTTTGAGGAAAGTTATGGATACTTTTCCTTGAAATTTTCAAGACCTTTCGGTGAAATTGCGAACAACATTGTCTGAAAAATTGGACGAAGAATATTCATAAGTTTACCCGGAAATTCGTGTTTTATCAATCGTAATTTGGCAACGCCTGAAGGTTCATACGGCGTTTTTCCATAGCACGGCAGTATTGTGATGACATTATGCGTTACTTCTAAATCAGTCCAGAACCCCGCCCCCTTTCTTTTGAACATTGTGGATCGCGTCCAAACAGTTAGGTATGTTTTACCTCGTTTAGAGTAGGGCTCAGGCCAAAAAATTTCCAAGCAACTGTGAACTTTTTTTTCATTTTAATGACTCATTGTCAGGTGTCGGGATCTCTTAACAATTTTCAATGAGTCACTTAACAAAACGGATGCTCTAAAAAAATGACTCATGTTCTCTTCATAAAACTGCATCTGACCCTTGTGAAAGTGGGCCGCACTGCTCCATGAAACGAATCACTTTGAAGTTAGCCTGATATCAGTTTGTTGTCAGCACACATACCTACAGCAAGTATGAAATCTGATGGCTTGGTTGAACTTAGCGAATAAAAATTTCTTTTTTGAAATAATTGAATCAGGTTGATCATTCTGACGTCAGCCTTTACTTTAGGATTACTTTATTGGGCAGAGTTTTACTCGGTCGTAGGGGGGGGGGGGGGGGNGCGTAAGCATTCTAAGGAGGAAACGCCCCCCCCCCTCCACCTTCCGCTCTACGCCTCCTACCAAAGGACGGCTCTAAAAAAAGCTCATAGGTGAGTCATTTATATGCTATCACATTGAAAACTCTTTCGCTGACAGCTCTGTTTATTACTGAAAAATGCCCTCTGTACCTTATACCTCACAGCAATTTTCAAACAAAAATATAGGTTAAAGCAAAAATTTTGACTCCATAGTTCTCGGAAAATTTCCGTTTTACCAGAAAGCCATACTCACAGAATTTTATCATATAAAACCATTAATCATGTATCAAATCTGGGCTAGCCGGAAGTAACGGACGCTCGATTTTTAAAATCAATAGATTAGGTAGTTGACTTATTGTCATGTGCAGTTTTGGTCTTTACACAGGAATTGCGAGAATCAAACAATCGGAAAGAACAAAAGTGGTATTTTAACCATTAGGCAAGTGCAGGATGCACGCTGCAATTATTTCAAGTTCATTATACTTGGAAAGGGTGGCCTAAAAATATGCCTTCCTCCTTCCACAAACTTCGAAGATCTACGATTTATTTGGGGGAAGTTCCACGCTGACCTTTCACTGCCTCCCTCATTCCTGCTATCACTATCACTATCAGGTCCTCGCCATCTCCATCAAATATTTTTTCGTGCGTGTCTTATCAGAGCTGATTGTGAGAATACCTTTCCGTTTATGCGACCGACGCGCGCGGAAAATAACCTTAAACTTGAAGCCGATTGTTCTATAAACTTTGCTCTTGGCAGAATTCCAAACTTAAGTTTGTTAACTTCCTCTGTGCCTCATCGGTCATCACACTGCATGCCGGGTCAACCAATTTCATTACAGCGACTGCTAATTTTTTATAAAAAAAACTCGTAAATTTTAAAAGGACAACTCTTAAAAAACTGTTAAATTGTTCGTTTTAGCTGAAACCCTTTTGGGGTTTTTTTTCAAGTATTTACAGGACGTAAAATTTAATTTAATATTTACGAGAGATACAATTTCTTCAACTTTTTTTATTCTCTGTTAGAAAACCATTGCACCTCCCTCTCTTGTGAGTTCTTACGTACCCGTAACATGCGTTAGGAATGCGGAACCCATTTTTCGGCACCCTTCTGCGACGGCAATGTTTTCGTTTCGCCTTCAATTTTTGATAATACGTCACTATCACGACTTGAGTGTTGAAATTGTTATCTAACGATAAAATCTGAATTGTTTTGAGTAGGTACTATGAATATTTTCGCCATAGTCAGGATCGTAGGAATATCATATTATTTCTGAAACCCGCCGTGCCACCTCTTCTCTTTCGTTTTCCCCCGTTTTTTCCAATTTGTTATAAAAGTAGGCACCCATCTAAGAACATCGTTTGAACGGTTGTAACCTTAATTTTATCTTCAATTAGCCCTTATTTTTATTGATTTCTGTTACTTTCTGCCTCCTTCCCCCTTTTTTTATTTTAAAGTGTGAAATAGTAATCTAGAAAACATGACCTGGTTTTGTCATAAATTACTTCATACTAGCCTCTAAAAGGATATTATTCTTAGGAGGTATTGCGGTGGTGCCCTTTCAGTTACCCTTTCTGTAAGTATTGCTTGATGCCAGTATTGTTAAAGGTATACGTATTTCCATTTTCCAAAGAATGTTGACACAGTGTTGCCTAGGCAATGCAAGAGGCAATATTACCGAAAAAAAATTGACCAATGAGAAGTGATGAAAGTGATTGAAACTCAGAGGCGAAATTAAAATGCAGACCGAAAAAAGCACCGACTACAGCACTGGTTTTCGTCATTGATCTGCAATGATAAAATAGCTCCTCTATAGGCAGGGTTGTTTTTTATCTCATAAGCAACCCAAGGAGCTCAATAAGCACAGCAGCAAAAATATTGAAATGGTGTTGCAATTTATGCCCAAAAATTGTACTTTTTTAACAAGACACTGCAATGTTTTTACATCATTTGGTCAATGAATGCCGATTTGAAAGGTCGATAAGGAGTTCCACGTACCAGTAAGATGAGAAAATTGCAATGCTAAGAATAATTTATATTTTATTTCCAGTAACAATGAGAAATGTACCTTCCTTTAGGAGGTAAGAAACATACACAACACGCCACTGCAGTGGCAAACTTCATAACATGTATTCTCAATTTATTGCAATTTTTACAACTCGGGTATGTTTGTCTCGTTGTTGCCACAACATCGCCCCTACCAATGTCACTAGGATTCGGATGATATTGGAGCAACATCGAGGCAACATTTTTATGCAGAGTGGGATGTTGAAAATTTTGTACTTAGTTACTACTCTCATACGGCAACTGCAGGGTTACTGGCAGTCTGGGAAACCGGGAAAGTCTGGGAGCTTGCGACAACCGATAAAAACCAGGAAAAGTCAGGATTTTCGTGGAAATAGTCAGGGAAATTTTTACCCCATCTACCAATCACTAAAACACACATGCATCTCTTTACCCTCCAATTTTTTACCCGTTTTGGTAAATATTAAGGCGCGTCATCTTTCAATCAGCTACTGAATGCCTTTTTTCGTAATGTAATAATGTATAAACGAAGACATTTCGACGGTGTAAGTCGGCGATCACGTAACTCGGTTTGCGACGTCGCAAACTTCCTGCCATACTTTATTTTTTTAACGGGAAACTACTCAACGGCAACTCTTGAAAAGTGCCGTGATTTTTCTTCTCTGTGCAAAGAAAATTCTGCATAAACTTCAAGGAATGATGTCGATTTGTTCTCCTTTAAAATATAACATAGATGCGAAGATTTTCAAACACCGCAAACGAGATACCGACGGCGTAAGTCCGCAATCACATACCTATCTCGTTTGCGGTGTCTGAAAATCTCCGCATCTATGTTATTTTTTTAAAGGAGAACAAATTGACATCATTCCATGAAGTTTTTGCAGAATTTTCGCGGAGCGCCGGAGCGCGACGCATTGGCGCCTACAAACCTAACAGGGATACTTCACGCATTGCGCGGCGACGCACTGGCGCCTACAAACCTAACAGGGATACTTCACGCATTGCGCGGCGACGCACTGGCGCCTACAAACCTAACAGGGATACTTCACGCATTGCGCAATGCGCGTTTCGCGCCCTCTGCCAGCCTGCCGCGCCGCAGCGTGCCACGGCGTCCGAAGCAACTATTTCACACCAGAGGTATTGCACAGTATCATAAGAAATTTAAGGCGCTCCAACATATTAAGAATAACAGGCATCCTTCAAAAGTACGGAGCTTTCCTCGCAAAATAAATCAAGAAACTACGGCACAAAACGAGAGCGGTAGTCCAAAAACTAACTAAGTCCTAGTATCCGTATTTAGTAACGTTTAGCGTAAACTTTATCGTCTGGCTGATGTTGCTTAATCGCCATCGGCTATAAAAGGCTATAAGAAATTGTAAAGCCGGCTATAGGTCTATAGTATTTTGGAACACACATTCTACTGCCAATTTTTACCAGGGCTGGGTAAAACGGGATCGTGAAGATGTGGGTGAGTACTTACAAGTGTGCAATGCCGGCCTTACGCACGGCAGAGCTGACGGCCTTTACGGCTGTTTGGATGCTGGTCAAAAGCTGCGTGAGATCCCCGGAGGCATGCGGAACACTCTTCTGTTTGGCCAACACAAAACGCGTAAGCGTCATGCAGTTGGAATCGAACACATCCGTTTGAGCACCGGCCATGATGAGGCTGACAAGAGAAACGCACGCTAACTGACACGGCTTGTTTTCATCCCGATCGCGACCATCGACGTCTGCCTTCGCTCTCGCGATAACAGTGATATAACTTTATTTGTGTTCGTTCGTCACAATGCGCTCCGTTGCATTGCTCACGCTTTTCATCATTTTACGATCCATTAACGAGCTGTCTTTACGTGGAAAAATTATCGCGCAACCATTCTGAGTTAAGGATTCAACCACTGGGACTGTCTCAAATTTCCAGTTTCATCTCTTTTTCCTAAAAGCTTGGACGGAGGGAGGGGCAGGAGTATTTTTCAAAGAGTCTATTGGTCTGGAGCAGCCACACACTGGAAAAAAGTATGCAAAATACCATAAATATGGTAAACTATAGGGGGTCTACCCCCGGGGCGCTACGCGCCCCCAAAGGCCGCTCCGTGGCCAGCGAAATCGTCCGTTGGCGGTTCAGCTAATCATTTTAATTGAATAACAAAACGATGTTTCAAAGAGAAATTCCCCACCAAACAATATTCTTAATGACTTTCTCCTTACTCTGAATTTTGATTCCTGTTTTTGAAGTCGACCGAGATAGGGCCACACATATGTGTCCATGACTAAACAAAGGCCTCTGAAAGTAAAGACTCACTCTTTTAAAACTCTGACCCTCGAACTCCCCTTCCTCATTCCTGCCCATTGAGCATCTTAAAAATTATTTTATTAGAATAGAGAGGATTCTATCATTAGTCAACCCAATGTTTAACACAGCGACACTGTAAAATTACCAGACGTCTGGTAACATTTACTATACTTCTAATGAATGCGATTGGACTCACGTTCTTTATTGCTACCGTACAGTAGTGATTACTATACTCGCATATCTCTGTCGCTCAAACCATCCCGTTTTCAGTGTATGCGGTCATTTTTTTTTATATTTTAGAGGGACCGTGGGAATGAGGATGGGGAGGAGGGGGAATGGACAAACCCCCCTTCCCCGGCCCCACCTCATACGTCCATGAAGAGGGGTGCGATCGCTTCTTCCCGTTCACCTATAAAGCAGAAGGCAATGCTATCTTTGTATTAAACCTACATCAGGGAGCATTGCCCCCTTAAAAACGTTTTGAGTGATTTTTTTTTATTTTTTCATTTTTTTTTATTATTTTTTTCATTTTTTTCCATCATAATAATTATAATCTATCACACGGAAAAAAATGAAATTGCTGATTGAACAATTTTGTAATCAAAAAAATTGTCCGACATGTTTCAATCTAGACTTTACAACAAAAAAATGCTAACCACCCCCGCGGTAAAATTAGCATTCCACTATTGTAAAATGTACGCTTGAAACATGTCTGACATTTTTCAACAATTTAATTGTTAAGTCAGCAATCCATTTTTTTCCGTGCACTTACCACGTGCTCACGCTGAAAACGAAAGCTGCAAATGGGAGCTATCGATGCTACGTCGAGAGGCTGTCTGAAATTTGTTTGGGTCACGCAATTTTCAGCGGATGGAGATCGAAGACGCAGCCGTCAAAAAAAAAAAAAAATATCACAATTTTTTTTTGCTTCATGTTCAATATTTTGTGCAGCATGGCAACACAGCCGCGGTGCCTACTTATAGTTAGTTCGAGCGTTTACTTCGACTTTGTCTTCAGATAAATCGTTGTGAACAGGTGTGTAATTCACGGCAGTGAAGTAAACAATGCATTATCTAGATATTTGACTGTAGTTTGAACTTTCCTTCGCTCGTCTCATCCTCCCCTCCCCCGCTCTACTTGCCCTTTCCGTTTTATTTTTTAAAATTCTATTCGTACTTCCTCCGTAATCTCCATTTTTTTAAAACCTGCCACTCATTCACCGCCTATCATCGATGATAGTGAACTAATGCCGTATCTAACGGAAACTTCATTATCTGGTTTTCCCTTTTACATCGAATATTAGTGGTGAATCCAGGAAAACGGATATCTGCATTCTCAGTGGAGTTTTCAGAATTTTTCATTTGGGGGAGGAGCAGTAGGAGGTTTCCTGTCAAAAATTCCTATGGGGTATTTGCAGGATGAAATACGCCTGGAAATTGCTGAATCCCTATAATTCATTTCATTTTCTTTCGAATTTTGCATGTTTCAGTCAAATTGTTTTCAGTTCATTTCAGTTACTTTCCATGTCGAGTAAGGACAAGCCGGGAATTACGCTAGAAACGATTAGTTAATTTCGTACATTAATGCAAGCAAGCCAGGAAAAAATCGCATTCCTATGAATAGAAGAAATGAGCTTGTATTGCGCACAAGGAACGTGTAGCGACAGGATAAAATCGCACAGTGTAGATGGGAAGGTAGTTAGTTAGTGCTTGGAAATTTCCAAAAGAATTCGCCCCTCCCCTCCCCTCCCCCAAGTGATTCGCATGAGAGGGAACTACTATCCTTGTATAATGTACCGAGGACCGAGGGCCACGATAAGATGTGGTGAGGGGATATGTTTTTAACAAAGCTATTTATTACCTCTTTACATTCGAGTGCCCATTCCTCTACAGAATCTTCTCCTCTAAACGTTCTTCGTCATGAAGTGTAATGAAAGGTAGGCACAAAAATAGAAGAGAAAGTAAAATTAAGTTTGACCTTAAGTAATGGTCGATACCCTCCGCCCTCTACCTTGATAGCCAGTGGCGAGGCGTGCGTGGATAATCGATTATCGATATTTCCCCATTTGAAGCTGTGGTAAAGAATCGATTATTGAGGTGTCCGTTGCGGACACCCTGTTCATCGATCCTTTCCCACTGGTTTAAATGGCAGATCAATCGATTTATCGCAAAGCACGCCACGCCACTGTTGATAGCTGATTGTGGGAGAAGAGCTACGTATGCATCTATGGACGAAATCCTTATTGAATCGAAATATGGTACGAAAACTATTCTGTCCTCTGCTCCTTAACTGTATGTGTGTGCAAAAAGCTTCATAAATGTATCTTATTTGTGAATAATAAGGGAAAATTTAGCCTCGATTAAAAAAAAAAAAAAATCAACGCTAAATTTTCCCTTATTATTTACTTATGCATATAATTGAACGAGAGAAATATTAGAGATGCGATTTATTGTGAGCGGAAGGTATAACCAGGGGAGGTTTCAGTGCGAATGACTAAAAATTAAAAGCTTCGACCAAAAACTATATCAATAAAATCATTTTATTTAAGTAAACACTAGCAAATTTTTTTAGCACTTCGGCTGCAGACCTACCTAACAAGTTCAATTAAGTGCTACTGCAATATGTTACAAATCAACAAAAATTAAGAATTTGGCATGAATGGCTACGGAGAGTATTTCACAATTATTCATTATTGGCACACAAAAAAAAAAAAAAAAAAAAAAAAAAATCGAAAAGAGTAAACTAAGGATTACTGGCCGCGGTTTCAGGAAAAACGAAGTTCTGAAAAAAGCTAATTCAAGTTACGATGTGCAATTTTGAGGTTCAAAATCGTCCGATTTTAAAGCAAACTGCCGCCTTTTATCATAAAAGGTGGCCATAAAAATTTTATGGACTAAAAAATAAACGACACCACCTCTGCTTTGGATACTAAGCAGGGTGTTTTTTGTCAAAAAAAAGTTCCAAATTTTTGACACGACGGAAAACGTTCTTCGTTTTTCCTCCCGCGTCTGAACGTCATGGTTTTCTGGTTGTACTTTTATAAATCAGTTAAGGGTTTCTTTTTTTTAAAAAAAAAAAACAAAAAGAAAATACTCCAAAAATAGGCGTTAGACTGGGCACTGTGAAGATGTAGGCGATGTAGCCACCGTGTATATTGAATCCGCCAGAAATAATTGTTCTCAGGAGGCAGGTGGCCTAACGGTAAATGAATCCTGAAATTATTAATAGTGGCTTTAGTTTAAGAAAAAATTTCAGGTCAGATAACCCACAACTGTCCTTCCTCTCCTTAGACTTACATGTATCTTTCATTCCGACGAACGAATGGAGCAATCTTTTGGTATAAGTATATTATCCAGGTTAAAATCACAGACTACTACTAAACCTTAGAATACATAATGAAAAAAAATTATTTTACTTCGTGGAGAACGGTGATTAATGCTTTTCGCGATCACCATAACTGCGACAGGCGCTCCTTGATGACATGGCCCGTCAATTTAAAAATCCCGCGGACACGTTCCCGCCAATTTTTTGCTGAGTGCATTAACCAATCAGCAGCTGTTGTTTCAAACCTTGTTCGCATCAACCAATCAAAAAACATAGCTCTCACTTTGTTGCCGCTCTTATAACAATCTGAAGCTGAAGCATACGTTTTACATATATACATGCACTGTTTACTACTACATTATTCATAATAATTATATTAATGAGTATTATTTAATGCAGTATGTAGTTCCTGTATTACCACTATCATACGCATCATATATTATTATTGTTATTTTATCCTGAAAACTTGGCAACATACAGTAAAATGTCAACAAAACTATTGTAGGTTAGTTTTTGTCGGTGTCGTGGTCTTCGGACTGGAGGCCGCAGAAATTTTGAATTGTGATCTTATTGAAACGCTAAATAATTCAGGAAGTATAGGAAACCCCCAAATTTTTAAGACACAGCATCTGAACAGTTTTATTTCGATTGCCACAGAAAATAAAATTCTCATTAGCACCCTGTAACTCTGACCAAAGCGACAGCAATCCCAGTGTTGTGTTTTTTGTTTCGCTTGAGAAAATTAATACTTCCCTACCGTAATTCTTATCTCTATTCATGGTAAATAATGGCAGTTGTGAAAGAGGAAAAACCTGAAGTCTTTTTCGAAGAAAATGAAACCGACATCTTTGAGGATGATGACATTGTTAGTGAATTGATAGGTTGCTCCGGAGAGGAATCAACATCCAGTACTGTTCTGAAGTACATTCTCAATATAAATGAGGCCTTCAACCTGTCTTCTGAAGACATCGATCTACTGAAGCGTATTAAAAACCGATTAGATGACACTTGTGTACCTTTAGATGCCCAAGAGGTAAGTCTCTTGTTTTTAATCTGTATAATGCCATGGATCCGGTTATTTGCGTTCCAAGTGATTCGGCTTGAAGTTAGGATTGCACGTACATAACTGCTCAAAACTCACCTTGGGAGCAGGAGCCAAAGGTTCCACTGGATCACATGAAACAGGCTAAACCGCAACAATAGACTGGGAAATAGAGCCGACATACTTATTTCACCTCGGTCCTCTGTGGTTCAGATCAAAATCTCGCAGGAAGGCCTTGTGAACCTCAAATTTATAGAAACTGGACATGAGCACCCATGAAAGGGGGTGCTCCAATTCATTTGCAGGGAACACATTTGACCAAAAAATATCCAAAGACTGGTCACCTCTCACGTGATCTTGTATTCACACCAGCTTCTAACTTTCTTATTGCAGGTGTTATTATGCTCTAATTAATGTATACGATTATTGAAATAACTGTCCAATGAAATTCTTAATGAATTGAACGATCCCATCTCCCTAGCTTGGCCAGCAATTCAGTATTGAGTCAGCCATTTGCTGCTAAGGCTGAAATACTGACTGATACAAGACTGAAAGTAGGCTGAAGGGTCAAATTATTTTTAATATGCAAATATCCTAAGAAACTATGAAGCATCATTGGTGAAAAAGGAACTTAGCTCGCTCATATATGCTTAATCCTATTGTACCTATATATATGTATGGTCTAGTCTGATCTATGGATGTATATTCTTGTCTGAAATATGGATGAAAGACAAAAATATCCAGCCTCCGCATTTGCATGTTTTGTAGTACATACTGTAAACATTATAAAGTGTTTACAAAATTACAAAATGTCTGAGATAGTCTTAAACAATGGATATAAGGAGGTGTATCTAGTTTTGTTGCTCTTTAGTACCCAGTATGTTTTTTCTCTCTTTTTTTTGTAGCGCTTGACCAGGATTAACATTAAAATCGACTGGACTGTTCCTGTGCAGCACACATTGGAGTCAAATATCTCTGGTGAGGTATCAAATCCTCGCAATCTACTGAAAGAGTTGAAAAAAATGAACTTGGATGTTGAAATGGATACTAATCGGTTCACAGAAGAAGAAGATAGATCAATAGAGGCACGTTGGACGCTTTTTAGCACGGTGAGGACCTATATCTCTTCATCAGATCTTTTCCTGTTATTTCCTCTGTTCTCTTGCCATGTAGTTATGTACTGATGGAACTGTAAGAGTTTATTATCACAGCAGTAGCAAAAAGTAATTGGCCCTCACGTCAGTGGAGACTAGAATTTCTATCATTCAATCATTATTCACTCCATGACTTGGTCTAAGTTGAGTGATGCTGACATTCAGTGGAATTTTTAACCTAAAAGAGTCAAGGCAGTTGAATCAACAAAACTCAGAATAAAATAGGGAATGTAAATAATGCAATTTGCAGAGAATAAGTTGGAAAGAAAACGGCTCCCTTCTACGTAGAGTTGAATTTTTCTGGCCAAGTTCACAGTGCTCTTTAGACATAGTTACACGATCTTTTCATTTTTCGTGTTAGGAACATCAATCAGAATTATTGTGCTCAAAGTTTATCAAGAAGACTGAAATCAAGTCTTTTAAATTTAGATTTTTGAGGTCATGGGCAAAAATCGCTCCTTTTTTTTGCATGTCAGTAGATTGTTTATCTTACATTGCACACCATTTTTTCTTCTGTAGCCTTTTTTAAAGTAAAAAAAGATTGCTCTCATATTTTTCCAGGAATACAATTTTCCAGACCCAGGCTGCTTTATTGCGTTTACAAGGTTTGGAGGCTGTCTGCCGAAACACGAAAGAGTGAAATTTGCTCAATATTTAGGCAAGGACCTTCCCAATAGATTCCTTTGCTCAATACTCCACCGATTTTCCCAGTTGTATGGGAAATGGATTCAAAGAAAGTAGGTGTCTTAGTAACATTTTTGCGCAGTCTCTTTGGATTTGCGTGGTTTTTTTTGGCTTTGCTTTTTTTGGCCACCATGCCTGCTTTTCTCTGTAGATAATTTACTTTTTGGTCAGGGTCTATGCAAAATTCCTCTAGATTTTGAAGTTCTAAATAACTGTTTCTCATATTTTATTGGGTGGTCGAGTATCTTTCTATGCCCCCTCCACTATCGTAAAATAAAAGTTCAATATCTTCTTTTTAATTCTGAAGACCAGATTAACTTTGAAGATGTCAGTGCCAACCCTTGCCGCCACATTTTAATTTCATATTATTTTCAGTCGAAGATTGGGTGTCAAACTAGATACTGATCAGAGCAAAAAGAATATGATATCTTATCAGTAATTCTGTAAAGAAACGAATTAAAGTTAGAAAGAACGAATTATACTACCTATTACATTTTTCTACCCATGAAATTTATTTTTCTTTTTAGGTATAGCAAAGAAGAAGATCAACTTTTACTGCACATTAAAGAGAAAAATTTCATTAAGTATAAAAGTATTGTTTCGTCTTTAATGTTGAATAGAACTTCAAATTCCGTCATTACCAGGACTTACAAACTAAGTACTCCGAAAGAAATTCTCTACGGTGAGTATAAATTACACTCTTTAAGTAAATTTTCTCCTTATTTTTCTAATTTGCAAAAATTGCATCAAACTCAAAATCCTATTTTAGAAGTGAATGAAATTGAGTCTGTACGCCATCTCTGTGGAAAAAACTGATCATCCCAGGCTGCACCAAAGCTCAAAAAGGCCTCCTAAATAAATTTGATCTGTTTTATAGTTTTATTTTTATTATTTATAACTTGAAAATCCAAGCCATGGTACAATCAGAGCTCTGGGTTGAGAACAGGATGTTTCTACCAAAAAGAATTTTATTTGTATTCATACAGGAACTCATTACTGTATTAATTGCCATGCATTTTGAATGGACCTCTCCCATCTTATTTCTTTAAATTTTGTATTTTTTCTTTTATTCTCTTCTCACTTTTTGCTTCAATGAATATTTGAACCCATATGCTAAAATCTTCGTCTTTTTTTGGCCTAAAATTCCGAATTCACCCAGACACTTTGCCTCTAATTGACGTATTATAATGAATGCCAGCTCAGTTGAAAGTGCACTGCAGCAGAACACTTTTGGAAGCCTCCTTTGAAAAGACAGTTTTAAGAAAGAAAGATTTTTCCATAATGAGTCATTACGTCGGGCACTAACTACCTTCAAACAAAGCTTCTTAGACTGGAATATGAGCCACTCAGCTGTTTTTTTTTTAAAATTAGAAGGTATGAATAAAATCAGGATTTATTTTACACTGATCGCAGGTAAAGAAAGGCGTAAATGGCGGGGATTCAGAGACGACGAACGTCTTATCATGTATTTAATGCGTAAAACTGGTTCAAAAACATTAGCCGATCTGGAGACTAAGACCATTCAAATAACTCATTTCACTGGCGCAGCGAGAAAATTGCACTGTCATATTCTAACTGCCCTCAGCCGATGGAAGTTCCGTTTGAGCACTCAGCTTTTTGCGTCAGCTCCGCTCTACAAATATGAACTCTGCATCAAGTTAATCAAATGGTATGTTTTTGCTCTGATATAACAAGGTGGTAAAATAATACTGGGTCAACGCTATTTGCAGGGAAATTAAGGCCAAAAAGTTCACAAATTTCAATTAGAGTCGAAAATTTTGAGCTCTAACGAGTAAAATCGCAAAATAATGTGGACCCAGCACTTCTTTATTAGCTTGTTACACACAGTTAAGGCCTTGTTTCTTAGTGTTTTTTTCTTGTTTGCTCTGATATTGGGTACCTTTTACAATAATGCTTATGTTTGGTTATGATTATGTTATGATTATGTTGATTGCCTTTCTTAATACACAGTTTCGGGGAGTGGAAGATTTTTGGCTTATGAAACCCCTTTTTAATTCACTGGAATGCATGCATACACTGTAATATTCCTCTCTATCAAAGTTCATGCCAAAAAAGTTGACCAACTTTTAGAGTGGGATCGAAGATCTATCATTTTGATTATTGAATTTAGCTCCAATGCAAAAATGACGGGAGTTCCCTGTGTCTTTCTTAATCAGCCAACCTATCTATCGGGCACTGTAAGAGGAAAGAAATGCCAAAAGCACACAAATTAAAATTAGGGTCACAGAATTAAACCTCTAAACGTTTTTCATTTCACTCCCCCAACCAGACGTTGTGGATTCTACACTATTCTAACATCCTAATCCATCAATGATAAATATCCAAGTACTTTGTTTAAAAAAAAAAAAAACTGTTCGAATTCCTCATAGTCCTCTAGAAATGCAATTAAAACCTGAATCTTAAGAGAAATGAATTGATTCTTTATTTCATTTACTGAGGTTTAATTTTTATCCAGGTTAAAAGAGAAAAACTACGGAGACTGGAATGACATTGACTGGCCAGAACTCTGCAGCGACCTACATAACTGCCAGAAAAACTTTTTAGCCGCTCTTTTCCGAAGTATCATCACGAAATTTGATGCCTATTATCGCAGTTACCGTTATGATTTCAGAAGTAAGTTTACTAAATCTTACTGATAAATTTGATTCCTGGAAAATTCCAATCAGAAGGAATTTAATGTTTGTCATGAAGTAATGTGACGGAGGGCTGACCTATAGAAAAATAAATAATTTTCAATGCTTAGTTTCTTTAAGTCTTTGAAGAAGCGCATAAATGTCATAGGGGTCCTGGAGCTCTCTCATTTCTCCTTAAATGAGTGGTTTCATCATGCAATTGACAATGAGTCAATATTAGACCTGTGTGATTATGGATTTTTCAATTCAATTACGATTCGATCACAATTAACGAAATTAATCGCGATTACGATCACGATTATGATATTAATTGGGAAAAAACTGAAAAAGTAAAATAGCGTGCGATACCTGATTTTTTCATTATATTTTTTGTGACTAAAAACGAAGTTTTTTTTCAAAGTCAAAAAAGTTATTTTTTGACGATATTTTTTTAAAAATTGTGAAAGCTGATAAGTTTCCTCCAATATTTTTTTTCGTCTTTCACTTGAGGTTGACTCATTGTATATTTTTCTAAGAGATCCTTTCAACCCAAAATCGAAGAACCTTATCATCGATGTGAAATCGCGGCACAAGCCCGATGCGGGGATATTTTCGCGGGGTTATCACTATTTTCAGTGCGAGTTTTTACCGGTAGGAGTTAGCAGTGCGGCAGGAATTTCAAATTCAAAATGAGGCGCAAAACTGGACTTTTTGTAAAGTCAAATTAATTGAATCAAGCACGATTAATTTCTCAAACCGATTACGATAACAGTGAAAGAAAATTAATCATGATTACGATTAACGTTCGATGAATCGCACAGATTTAGTCAATATTTTGATGAAAAACCGTTAGATTCATCCAACAGGCTAAGATTCTAAGATCTAATCATTGAATACCTGTCATAGAAATTTTGTCATCACATTATTGTAATATCTACTTATTATGATACTAATATTGTATTATAATAACTACAGATCGTTCATGGAAAACTCTAGTTCATGGAGATAAGTTTTTCCCAAGAGCAATTTTCAACAAGTCTTGTCGAAAAATGAAAATCTAACATGCTAACAGAACACTCCGTAGACTCTCAAAAAATAAATCAGAGTGCCCTAGTCAATTTTTTAGCTGATAAGGAGCGAAAATTTGTCCTTCAATTTGACAAATTCTAGTCTGAACGTCTTCAGACCAGCCTATCAATTCAATGCCCTATAAGTAGCTGTTTAAAAATGGATACCCATAGTTTACAGACTGTTGTGGACTTCCATGTTGACTCTTTACTGATCCAATTTTTTTCATGCTTGTTTCAGAGTGTATTAATTATCTTTATGAAACGGCATTACCCTATTTTGAAGATAAACTCTCAAGTGATATTAACATCAACAGGTATCGCCTAAATAGAGTTGGATACTTGGTTGCTGTTCGGTGAAATTGTGTCTTGTGTGAAGAGACTTTCAACTCTGCCTGTTTGAAATAGCAGTAATGATGGTCAAAAACAAGATTATGACGTGTTGCTGTATGCAAGTTATGTTTTTACTTTGGTTCAAATAAGAAAGACCTTTGTTGACTTCAGAGAGAGAATTACACATCCACAAGAACAGTTTTCTAATTTGTTTCAATTTTCTTCAAGAAAAATACTAGAAGGGATGAATCTGTTTTGTTTTTTGAAATTTCATTTTAGATATTATAATCTCCAATACGCTTTACATTTCAGCATGGAAAATTTTAACTTTAGAACTACTTTGAGAGATTTTTCAACAGCTGAACATCCTATAATTTCAAATTGTTTTGCTAGAAGCTCAGGACTTTTGGAAGTTTTTTTTTTTTTTTTTCTGTCAGGGCTGTTGCATAACTCTTATCTTTATTAAGGACTAACTGTCTTGTGTAAGAGTTTGTTTAAAAAGTTACGAATCAATGATTACTGCACAATTTGCCATAACTAGATCTTTTATTTTCCTTAATATATTTGACTTCTTGGTGTTTTTTTTACGAACACCCGATCATGTAAAATTCGTCTGTCCGGTTTCTTTTTGTTGTTCATTGTTTACTTTCCTGTAATTGTTACTTTCTTAATTTATTCTGAGTACAAAAACATTTTTACAAACAAGATAACATCTTTTCAATAACATGCTTATTGCTCATTGGATGGATTACTTTGATAAATCTTCTAAGGAAATAAAGTTAATTCACTCTTTTCCATCATACTGAAACCCAAATGAACTGTTTATTTACCAAAGGGCCCAAGCGCCAATAATGGGGTATCACAGAAACATAGATAAGTGTTTAATTTGAAATGTTGTGAATCTTCTAGTTCATCACAATAAATACATGTGTATAAATCAAATTGGATCGATCATGGCAGTTTTGAAAATTTCTGTGCAGTTTTAAATTGAGGAAGGAGAAAAAACTATTTGGTGCCCGGGTCTTTTTGTAAATAAGCGGACAAATATTGGATTTTTACTGCTATCTAAGGCAATTTTTTTATTCCTTTCACCGAAAACAGAAATGAACACTATGCAAATGCATAATAGGTACTGTAACAATACTGAGTAAACCTGCTTAGTAAACTGATAATTTTGAAAGGTCAGAGATCACCTGCAAAAGTTTTCTCGATCATGAGTCAAATTTTTTCCCCCATAAGTTGAAAATACATAGTTGCAGAGATCATATAACTGATTCAAGAAGAAATCAGAATTATTGGGGTGTCATCTCTTAATCCTTTTTCCTTTTTCCTTACACGACACCACAAAGGATGTCATGGAGGACTAGATTTTCTCACTCACCTGGGAACCAAACTTTCTTTGCAAAAATTTCAAGAAAAAGGGTGTGGAATGTGACATTTCTCTGATATTTATACTTTACTGCCCAAGAAGGTTTTTTAATGGTTTAGTGCAAGTGCTCCTCATTTATGCTTGTAAAATATGGTTTTTGCACAGGCCACCCTGCCCAGTGACGTATACCTATATAAACAGATGACATTAAACTGTCTCTACCTCAGTTTTCAATTTTTTTTAGGGGGTGGACCAAGGACTGACTGGTCTCAAGGACGTCACTGAAGGAGGGCTCTGGAGGGACCCTTCTAATGAGCTCAGAAAAACTGAAGTTGAATATTGATTCTCTACCTTTGGGAAGATCATTATGACATAGTGGGTGGAAGGGAGCATAGACCTGTGTTTCGGATAGCCGGAAGAGGGAGGGAGGGTATAAAAAATCCAACTTTTCTTGAATTTGATGTATGGCAGAAAACAATTCCTCTTTTTAGCTAGGTAGTGTAACAACTTAACACTAACCTAGGTACTTAAATCTCCAATTGCGCACATACAACTTCCCAATCAGTGATCGAGTCTCTACTTGCACAGAATTTCTGGATAGTGCAGCAAAATTGCATCACTTTCAGTATCTTTCAGCCTTACTTAAATTCACTGTGCAGCAACTGTTATTTCAGAAATTTTGTTTGTGCTCATTTCAAGCAAGTGCTCGTTGATGAGGATGTTTTATAAATGGTAAAGAATCGCACTCTGTTGGAGTTGTGAGCAATCATGTGGAAAATGTCGAAGTTTGTCAAAACTCCAACAACAAAGGGCGTTTATAGACCGCGTAAAATAAGATGATATGTCTTCAACGAGAAAGGGATGTAACTCCTTATAGTTTATTTCAAAAGTGCACAACTTTCCTATAGCAACAGTTGCCGCCTAGAAAATTGAAGGCGCATCCAAAGATTCGTCGGTCAGCATCAATATCTAGATTTCCAGATCGGAAATCAATACGGAAGTCACTTGCAAGGTGTCATATATACCGTTAGGCGTGAGATTAATTCAACATTTACAATAGCAAACACGCAAATAGTCCAAAAAAGTAAAATATGGGCAGTTTTCCACCCCTCATTTTTTACAGGTAATATTTATTACACTTAGCAACAGTGTGATGGAAGCCATCTTTATAACAACAGCACTCGTTTATGGTTTTCACTGCATCTTCGAACTAACCGCCAAGATTTCGGGAGCTGCCACTGAAATATATAACTGGCTTCAATTTCGGGATCGTTTAAGTTTTACTACACACGCTGTAAGTAGTTAAAACGAGTTAATTCTATTCTACCTAACATTGCCGTTGATCTGTCCCGCTTGTGACCAAATTTGTGGTTAGAATCTACATTTTCAAGACTATTTTGCATGGTGATTCCATCCTTGAAGTCACAACCGACCAACTTGAAATGACAGAGTGAGTTGTTTTCGAACAGCGATCACTCCCAGCCTTTAGCTATCTGTGTAAGTCAATCACTGTTCATCAAATGTATCAGCTAATGAAGCCAGCCTGCCGAGGGGGCATGAGTTACCCGATAACCATTCTGATTCTGATGGAGTCCCAAAATCTGAGCTTCGCATGATTGTTTTCCATGGTCAGTAATCAGGTTCAAGACCAATCCACACGGATCAGTTATTTCTGTGAACGAGTATTGAGATACTTCGGTACAGCAACAGCAAGAGGTGAAAACGCAGTGTATTCCTTACAGGATTAAGTACTTTGCATCGCGGCATGAGCTGATTCTATGTAGTATGAGTATGAGCTATGGTCAGCTGGTAGGGAACTGAGTTGGTGAAAGACGTGCTGAGATTGACCTGCATGGATTGGGCTTGATTGGGTGTTAGACTGGACCGTGACCAGTCCCGTTAAAATCGCAAGTATCCTGTAACTATGTTGGCTGCCTTTAACAGAAAGGGCTTACTTTATTTACATTCTGTTCAGATAGCTTAAAGCTCGCGCATCGTATGTTGAGACAAAAATTAAAGTAATGTTTATGTCACCACTTATCAGTGGTGCCATCTGACTGCATGTATTATCCTGTTGAGTGGTGCCAATTCAGAGCTAATCAGAGATTGACGTTTGTCTCAACATAAGATACGCTAGCTCTATTGGCGTTTCATGCCTGCTGAGCTGAATTGATAACTTTACTTGAAAATTGTGTGACTAAGACATGTCAGCCCCTCCACTTTGAGTCTTGCTTTACAGTGAAATTCATGTCGACGGTGTAAGTCGGCATTCACACAACTCGGTTTGCGACGTCGCAGACTTCCTGTCATACTTTATTTTTAAACGGTAACTTTTCCAAAACAATTCTTTAAACCGCCGCGATTTTTCTTCTCTGTGCGAAGAAAATTCTGCATAAACTTCAAGAAATTACATTAATTTTTTCTCCTTTAAAAAGATAACTTAGAGGCGGAAATTTTCAGACACGATGAATGAGATGTGTGATTGTGGACTTACGCTGTTGATGTGTACCTACCTAAGCCTTGCAAAGTAGTCATGGAAAGAAACTTTCTCTAGTTCCGTCACATATCTGTGATCACAACTCTCATTCTCAAATCAAACATTGGTGAGAAGAGTTGAGAAGCAAATTATATTTGCATTGTTCAAGGAGCAAAGAAGTGAAAGTTTACATGATGCATTTTGAGACCTACTCATTGGTGCCCGAATAGGGAGAGTGCGGGCTTAAGGACGGAAATCTGTTGGAATTGACTCCATAAGGTATAGCCGATTTGTGCTTTGCTTGCTTTTATTAAGAAGTTAATTGTTCATTACAAGGTTGAAAAACATTTAAATTTAATAGACAGTGGGTATCCTGAAAGAGAGGTGACCTAGTCCTCTAGAAATTTTTACTTTGTGCTGAACAAGCAAAGGGAGAAAGTGAGGAAATTTTCAAGAAATTACATCCATTAGACTCCCAATTACAAAATGAAGTATAACGGGAAGTCTGCTACTAGTTATTTCAGAGTTTAAAATGAGAGTATTAAAAATCTTGCTATTTATTGAGCATTTGTGGATTAACTGCTACAACTATTTTTCGCTGAATAACTGTGTTTGGTCTCTGATGTTCATTTAGGTACACACTTCAAGGTGCAAATTTGCTTCATTTTCCCTGCATGCTTTCAGATGCTAGCATTTGATATTTTTTTCTCTGTCACTCTAGCTCCTTTTAATTTTTATTATCGTAAGAAAGGAAATGGAAACATATGTTTAAATTTTTTATCAGCTTGTTCTGTTTCAAGCAATTCACTTTCGATTTTTCTTTTTCGAATAACGGTGCACCAAAGTCTCAACGAGAGAAAGTAGAAAGCTTCGAATGCACTCAAGAAGCTGAAGCCCATGAAAAGTCCAAGTAAACCTCCTGTGTTAGCTGCAACAATAGAAACAATAATACTTGTCACTCATTTCATATTATTTATGAAGGAAGTGCGTATTAAATCATTTTGAGAAAGTGCATTAGTATTGAGTGTTGCAATGCCGAGCATAGTTTTGGATCTTCAAAAGCTCCTGACCATCTAACTCTTTTATTTGAACATTGCGTCAGACTCAAAAAGTGGTCTTGAACAGCATGGCAAATGCTCAGAATACCTGGGAGATCAAGTGAAGGTTGAAGGCTCTTTTCATGTGTGAGTCAAAGGAAAATTTTTTGTTTGACGTGAATTTTTCAGCCCAATTTTCCTGCGTTTCATTTGTTTGACTCTTCTGAATGGTAATACCCATTATATAAATTAACTATTGATTAATTTAAAAAAAATCCTCAACTCTCTCTCTCCCCCCCCCTAAAAATGATCTTCAACTTACACAAAAACTCAGTGAATCCAAATAATTCTCCTTTCATGAAACCGGTGAACTGGGTATCTTGGAAAAACAAATGAAGTACAGCTATGTTTCGTCTGAAATCATTAATCATAATCAATCATTAGATTTTTTTTCCCTCCAGCCTTTTTATCAAGAATTTGAGTAAATTTCATTGATTTGGATTGTCCCTGGGATAAGGAACTAAAAACATGAAAACTGAGTTAGAGACTGTCAAGAAGCACTCTTTATGAATTTTTTTTGAACTAAGAAGTCCAGAACTGTCAAATCAAACTGATATTGCGATGGTTGAAAGTTTGCAGTTCCAAAAAGATAAGTTTTGATAAAATATTATCCAAAAATCTTACCTAAGTAGGTACTATTTTTGGGTTTGTTTTCAGCTTTATATTATAATGTAACTTTCAGTACCAAAATGAGGATGCAAAGAAAGAAATGAACCTTTAGTCAAGGAGAAAATTAAAATAATGGCTTCGCAGTAGGTTCTCCTCATAAGTAGAATTCTTTTCCCTTTTAAGTGTGCACTTATTGAAATTTTAACCCAAACGAAAATGAAGTCCTGTTTTCTCAATTTCATTTAAAGTACTAAATACTTAACTCAAAATACTGAGGATCCTTATTTCCCAACAGTTCGGGTTTTATTTTAAGTTTGCCTGAAAGTAAACTTGCTGATTGAGTTTTTGTGTAGCTGAGTCCGTAACATCCAGGAAGACAGCCACATTTAGGCCTGTTTGTTCCGTTCACAATCTTTGTTATGTTTGTCAGAGAGTCACTTAGTCGCATTTCCATCGCAACTGCAAGGAAGGAAAGGTAGTCAACTTTGGGATTTTTTAAGTGACTTCGGAATTAAACACCAGTCTGATAGTGATAGCTTGATTCAAACCCAACTGAAGTATTAAAAAAAAAAAAAAAAAAAAAAAAAAAAAAAAAAAAAAAAAAAAAAAAAAATGCAGCATGCCAACTTCCTTTTTTTTGTTTTGTATAGAAAAAAGGCACACCTTTAGTAGTTTTCAGTTTTCCATGACCATTCCAAAATAGCATTGCTTAGCAGAGAACTGAATTTTAAAAGTAGCAGGGCAGGATACAAATGTTTTACTCTGACTTGTCTGTTTCTCACATCAGTTTCTACTCTAAAATTCCAAGTATTTTCAGATTTTTTCCTTCGTTGGACATCATTTCTGTATGTAGTTTTTCAAATATAAATTGCAGAGGGAAAAAAATGTGATCACTTACGCTTTGCCCGATTAGCACATTCCAAGTCTCGTTTCCCGCAAATTCTCGAGAATCTGTCCTCTGAAAAAAGCCAATCAACGTCCTAATCATGTAGTTCCCCGAACTTTTTGATGCAAAGTTATGGCTGATATGATTTGTTTTTTGTTTCATTGTTTTGCGTAGTGTTCTTCTGTATGGTTGAACCACTATAGATGTACGGCTGAGCATTCTCCCTTTGCATTCTTTTCCATGCCATATGATAGGTGTCAAGTCTCACCAATGAACTCAAGACATGAATCAATAACGTGCAGTATGAACATATTGTGCACTGCCTGTTAAATTTTTTTTGTGTCTTCTGATCGTGGCACATAAATTTTGAACTCTTTAGCAATTAGTTTATTTACTTTTTTGTCTCCAGATTCATTTGTTCAGTTTAAGCAATATGTTGTGGACAAGATTGAAGATTGATCGTTCAAGATATTTCATCGTCACAAATAAGAAATGCTAAGGAGGACTATGAGTGGGCCTAAGAATCGGAGAATTGCCTCATTACTATTTTACCTCATCTGCTGTCGGCCATCACTTCTCTGAGTCATCTGTCACCTAAGGTAAGTGTTATTTCTATATTAGAAGCTTCCTGGAAGACCTTCTAAAAGCAAGATTGATACCTTTGGCTAGAGGTTGGTTTTGCTCGTCAAAGAATCAGGATTTTATAATTTAATTAGACAAGAAAGAATGAGATCCGTCCTTTACTTAATCCCATGAAAGCCAAGAAGCCAGGGGTTCATGAAGTTCTTTTCTTCCATTGAAAGCTGCTGGCTTTCGCATGAATTGAAAAGTTATTTCCAAGTTAATACCTGCCTGCAAGGTAGAGCACTGTTCTGACCTTCAGAACTCTCTAAACTACTTTTTACAAAGTTTCTGCCTGGTTTGAAAATTGACAAATTGATCATTTTAACTTACTTTCACTAAATGCAACTCTCTAATTCCTAATTCAAATTAATCTGAGATTTTCTTTGGCTTAGAACACCACAAAAAAATTCATTATTGATAAACCAGGAAAAAATAATTCATATCTCATTTGAGCGGATTCAACCTGACTCCCAAAAAAATGTAGGTGGCACCCAAATACTAGGCATTTTGGCGTAATAGCTGCAAAAATGTTGGGGTGAAGTTTGAGCTTTGATCTGCATTGGTAGATGGATCTTCTAATGATTTTTAGTCTGACTTCACTCACTTGGCATATAGTACATGACACACTCGCAAAAACTGAGAGTGAAGTTTGCTTCACATTCTAAAATGCAGTTGTGTTGAGTGTAGGTCCTGTAAAAACGTAGTCTTCGTTCATTTGAGAAGACACATTGTCGTTTATCCTCTGCCACTCCCTCGATACTTTGTGTGGCAATATTTATGATCGGTTGTATAACATATTGAGTTTGCTCCCCAGGCGATATAAATGTTCCAAATGTAGCTATCTTTGGTGTTTCAACAGGATTATGTAGCACAATCTGAAATTTCAACCAATATTATTGCTTTAATTATGATGAAATATTTTATTTTACTTCATCCACCATTGTGACGCAATGAAAACAATGTTCAATCTCAGCACAGCTTTCAGATTCCTGTTTTATTTCTCAAAGTTTGAGAGAAACTCAATGAATCTACCTCTATGTTAACCGATTATTATCAATGAAAGTTAGGAACAATTAGAACATATAGGTATTTGCTGTTTATAATTTGTAAGCAGTTCATAGCGTAGAAAATTTGAGTACCAATGGACTGTTTGTACTGGTTTTTTGGGACTCAAATAGGTTTACATTTGTAGTAATTTAGCCAACAGTTCTTGTTTGACTAATGTACAAAATTATTGCCTTATCAGCGAATTATTACTGTTATGTAGGGGAAATCCGCTGCATTTCAGTGGTGTCTCTAAAATCAGATAGATCACATCCTGAAAATGCCAGAATGGTCTTGGAACTTTGGGCCAAATTTTGGTGAAAGTGAAGTCAGGAAACGTAATTTAAGTTGCATTTACAAATTGATGTCAGGCAATCTTAAAGATAGGTAGGCATGTTGCTCAGTTTTTAAAAACATTTAAGCTGTTAGCGTGTACTTGAATTATCAGTCATTTTACTGCGTCAAGTATTACGAGTAATTGTATGAATGATTCGATTAGCTTAAATCCTTAACTCTGGATTCTCTCGGGTTTCATGGCACAATGTGCTTTGATTGGAATTACCAGAGTTGGAGGAGCTATTTTGCTGGCACAGTATCTCTTAGGTACTACCTTAAAGCCAGTGCTGGCCTCTGATGAGCAGTAGTACTCATCTAGCTCAGAGTCCATGACAATTGTCAGACCAAGATGAGTGCCAGCACCCCATGGCCGCCATGGTAAAAAATGAACTGGTGTGCCAGGCGGGTATCCTGTTTCTGGAGTCCAGTCGACAGAAGGGTGGGGTAAAGTCACATTCAAATCTGATATTTCATGCCTGAAAAGCAGCACAGAATTTTGCTTAAAAACTGCTCTAAAACAAATGAAGATTTTCCTACAGTAAAAACAAACTTCTGTTGAACATCAGTCAAGCAAGTTAAATCTTAGTATTAATTACTTAGCGCCGTGCAAACTTTCTAATGGCTGGAATCAGATTCTGGTAAAATCCTAGTTTGGAAATCACTGACTTTTTTGTAGAATTTCGTGCGAATCATTGTGTACTCATAAACAAATAGTTTTCATATAATATCGCTGTGTCAGTTGCTGCACTGTATCTTATAAAAGGTTTAGAGTAAAGATACAGTATTCCGGGGACCCTAGAAGATACGGATTTTCGGTCTAGTGACCAGGAAAAGTGGTAAAGTCAGGAAAATGAAATTTTTCAGGTAGAGAAAATGTTCTGAGAACTGTTGCAAACTTCCCTGCAAGATTGTGATTTCTTGCGTAGCTTTACAGTGCTTCGACACTAAGCTTCTCAGCGCTCTCTTCTGTTCTGTTGTGAATTTTTCCCTCGGAAAGAGCTTCTACTAATCCACTCTGGTGTCAAGACCAATCTACACAGGTCGGTCATCTCCTTGAACATGTTTTAAGACCCTCTGTGCATTGCAGCGGGAAATTTTAATACAATACATTTTTTATGAAACAGCCAATGTGACATCACACTGAGTGCTGTCGAGTAAGGGCTGAGCAGGGGAGTGTACTCCAAAAAGATGAGCAATGACTGACCTGTGAGGATTGGCCTTGACTGATGCTTGGAGCTGAGTTTAGTTTATTTTTGGTATTTTTTTATTTAGAAGAAAGAGGCGGGAGAAGTAGAGAAACTCAGGGAGACTGAAAATCCAAAAATCAGGGAAAACCTGGATAGTCAGAAGGAAGGCAAAAATGTTTTTTTTCCCTAGACACCCTGTCCTATATATATTTTAAATTCATATCAAGAATCAAATACTTGACTGCTGTAGGCAACTGCATAACTGTGCCTCATCTTTGTTCTACTATTCTCAGCAACACCATCATGCAAAAATTTCTCCGGTAAAAAATATAAATACCCTTTTGTTCTAGGATTGCACATTTTTAATGATTGCAAGCTTTTTTCCATGAGTAATTAACCATTTCATCTCTCATAATACTGCTAAATTAAAGTGCTTATCTGCCTCAACGGATGCATGAAAAGTTAATCCTTGTAATATCAAGGCTATGAATCAAGATCGATTGCTTTGATTATAGAAGAGATTTGCAGTGAAATATTGAATGTTGTGAAAACTGACTTGTCCTTTCTTAGTTTTGTAATTCATGAAAAACTAAATAGCCTTGTGAAGAAAGTTCACCTGAATCAATTATACTATCAAGCAATGGTAGGTCTGTAACAATTTTTTGATTCCTCGAGTATTGAATGCTCTATCAAGTTTCAGCTGAATCGCAAAAACTGACAAAGTATTCTTTTATGAAGATTACTTCAAGTAAATTAATATCTTTCAGAAACAAGAAATTCTTTGTAAATTCAACTTGTGTGAAGTGAAAAGTGAATAAAAACTTGAGAGTTTTTATTTTTGAGGGTCTTGAGGGTTTTTTCATACACGATGAACTGTAAGACCCAAAACGAATTAATGGAAATCTTGGAGCAGAGCCTCCTTGCTCATACCCAAAATGACACCAAAAATGCCAAGAAGCGAGAACTGGCTAGACTGGGGAAAGTGTTTACTAGGAAAGATGGGCCAAATAAACAAGAAAGGCTGAATCAGGAAGAGTACACAGTCCTTAATGGGAAAAAGCAGAAAGAAGAAGATTATGTCAGTATGCCCAGCAAAAAATCCAAAAACAAGAAAAAAGAGGTTAAAAAATCAAAAAGGACACCAGTGGATGTATTTGCTTTGCCTGCTCCAAGCACAGTTTTAACATCCTCCAAATTTTTGCCAGAGAGGGGAGCACAGCATACTTCAGTTTCGTGCGCTCCCATGCCATCAGTAAATCGGTGGGTGGAAAAAAGTGGTGCAGATTTATTCGTAAATCCGAAGACCAGACGTTCTCCCTTGGCTCTGAATTTTGAAAATGAGCTAGCAACTGTATTTGCAGAAAGTATGAGGTCAGCAGCAAGAGAAGATAGACTTCGGACTATGCATCATCAGCAGAGCCTAGTGTTCCAGAACTGTATTCTGGATCAGCAACTGAAGTCGAACTGTGAAGCTCCACCTGAAGGTGTGCCATTCAGTAGCAGTAATACTTTCTTCGACCATCATAATTACTTCCTCATGAGGCATCATGAGAACCATCTAGACAATCAGGATAGTGATGAGAGTGGCATTGAATGGCAGCTAGAAGTAAGTGACCCCTCTATTGATGACAGTTGTGTGGAGTGGCAAACGAAATCAAGTAAGCCTTCCATTGATGACAGTTGTGTTGAATGGCGACCAAAATCAAATAAGCCTTCTATTGATGACAGTTGTGTTGAGTGGCAACGGAAATTGAATAAGACCTCTAATGGTGACAGTTGGGTGGAATGGCAGCTGGCATTAGATGAGACCTCCAGTTTAAATGAAAGTGTTAAATGGTAGCCTTTATTTAATAAGGCCTCTAGTGATGGTAGAAGTGTCAAGTAGTGGCCAGTATTACTGAGTGGTAAGGGGAGTGTTAAATGGTATCGTTTATTAAATAGCATTAAAGATAGAGGTCTGAAATTTCACAATGGAGTCTTTCCAAAATATTCGATCAGATGAAGATGAAACGAAGCAAGCAGTAGCTGTCATTGTAAAATCAGAACTCACAAACCTTCCTAAAATACTGAAAAAGTAGGCATGAAAAACAACCAGTGATACCTTTTTTACTTTTTCCTCATTAGAAAGCAGTCTCTTCAATTATTAAATCCATACTTGCATCACAATTTTTCAAAAGTTCTTTATGCCTGATGGCTCGTTAGAATTCTGGTAATATTATGGACTTTCAGTGCAATTTTCAAAACTTTTCTACAGTTTTTTTCCCCTGAAAGAAAATGTGTGTGTTGCTATCACACATTAGGTCCTTAAAGTATGAAATGTTTTTAAGATTTTAAAATTTACTTACAAATTCCGGAATATGTAATTTGCTTTCACCCGATTGAATGAGCAACACATACCCTCATCAGTTAATGAGGGGTTGAACAATTCATAACAGTTGTAACTTTCCCCATGCCACAAACATGATACCATCATTTCATGGCATGGCTGTGACACCTGATATAAAAAAAAAAACTTCATAAATAATCTCTTATGTATTCATAAAAATTGTTCTGTAACTATTGTTTCACTCTGTCTGAAACTTTTCTTTTTTTCATTGCACTTACTGAAAACAAATTACCTGACCGTTTATGTGCAACCGTCAACCTTTAGAATTGTAACTTGATGAGGCGAAGGAGGTTCCTCCCTCTTCCCCTTTATATTTTTAATAGTGAATGGTTTGCGGACAAAGAATCCATATCTTTTGCAACCCTAAATTTTCTCTCAATACTTCCTTTCTAAACCTGAAAAATCGTAGGTACTGATTTATTTAAGATTCTGAGGTCGTCTGAGTATTAAACAGCAACATTGAAAACAGTTTTGAATCCTTAGGATAGGTGTAGTTAGACTGCCTCATTTTTTCTTGAAATCGTGCTCCTATAAAAAAATGTAAATACATTTTCAGTGTCTTTTTTCTTCTATATCCTATTAATTTGTGGTAATCAAAGCAAAGCTAGTAAATCGATAAGAATCATATATTTTGGAATTATCAATCAAATGTTGTCAACAGTATATGGAAAATTCTGTATAGCTGATAGAGATATTAAAAGAAAACAAAATTTTGCATCAGATGAAACTTACTTTTATCATGAATTTTTTAACAAATTCCCAGTCACCAGTTCGATTGTCTTGAAAAATTTCATCCTTGAGTGGAGATTCTTCATCACAAAAGTCGCTCAAAAGTTTCCGCTCATTGACGTTCAATTCATCTGAACTGATTTAGTCATTTAATTTAATTATCACAATAGAGTCATAATTGTCCAGAAATGTATTTTATTCTTTGTTAAACATCCTTTCATTTTTTTTTCAACTGAGTTTTATTGTGATACTCATTCCCAAAGCAGGTAACCATCTAAAATGTTTAAATGTGAGGAGCCTGGAAATGATGAAAATCCGAGACAAGAGCAATTTTTAAAAGGTATCTGAGGTTGAGTCACCTTTGCTGATTCCTTCAGGTAAATTTTAATGCGATGATTGTTAGAAGCTTTGATCTTATCTGATCCTCTCTGAAGTGCCTCATGCTTTTTGGTCCAATTAATTTTTTAGATTCTTCTCTGAATACACCAGAAATTATTAAAATTACATGGAAAAGCTGTCTTAACACAGCTTGTTAAACTTCTTTTTCTTCCATCTTTTTTTCTGTCACTAATCAGTTTCAGCAAGACTCTCTCTTAACAAGGAAAATTATATTCACAAAAATTGCACTCTAATATCGAACCCAAGATTACAGAATACTATTTCTTTTGTAACTTTTTTCCTGCTAGCAAACCTAGAAAATCAATCTAAAACAACTCTAACAATTTTTTATTTCGACTTTTGGGAATTTTTTGGAGCTCCTGTTGATCTATGAATCCATATTCAGTAGCCAACAGTAATTCAGGATTACCTCTTTGATCAAAGAAGTTTACTAAACCTCAAAGTTTCAGAGGTCACAGAGACCCTCGTTAAATCAATTTTAAAACTGCACGCGCAAAAGTAAAACTATTGAAATCATTAAGCAGAAAAAAAAAACTAGATAAGCAACCAGAAACTTCTTTGATCAAGGGTTTACAAATTTCATAATCTCCAATTAAACGTCTTTAAAGTGAAAAAAAACAACTATATGTACCGGGTATGGCACACTGCTCCTTTTAGCATAATTAGGCTCACAATCAGTTACTGAAGGTATGACAAATAATTCTGAATTCCATGGAATTCTAGCAAGCAATTTAAAAAAATGTCAATCGTCAGTTATGATTTCATCGATAAGATCTGTCTAAAATCACCAAAATTAATCTCACCCTTTTAATATTTCTTCAGCAACAGATTTGCGAACATTATTCATGTTACAAACTGTGACAGCAGGAAACGGGATTGATGTCAAAGGTGTTGAAGTTGGTGACAGAGATACTATGACTGGCATTTCGTTCCATTTTGTCACCAAATTTGTTATGAAGTATGCTGCTGTTATAACAGCCAAGAGAAATGACACTATCCAAAAAAGTCTGGAAAAATGATACTACAAATTAAAGGAAGATGGGAATTTAATTATCTACCAAACAGGGTTCAGTTAATTTCCTGCATGCCCTGTCAGTGTAATTTCAGGAAGCAAAAATAAGATTTCATATAAATGTGCAGGGTTATTAATAATTTCGGGGGATTGACAGGTGGAACTGTTTTTTGCCTCCATCAATCTCGGAAAGGAGCTATTATTTTAGAATTTTCCTCCCCTCTGTACCCTCTCCCTCTTTTGCTCAAATGGAAAATTTCTGGCTAAGCCACCGCAATTAACATTCAAAACAGACCAAGTGTAGCCAAAAATAATCAATTTTACAGACACAGTTGTCAAACCATCCTTCAGAGTGGGAAAATTACTAGCAGTTTTGTTGTTTTTAAATTACACAAGCCTAAAATTTTGTTCCCACCTTCCAAACTCAGTCTATAAAGTCTTTACTAACGGCTAACTCACTATCGCAAGATGTGAAATACTCGCGTAGCACCCTTGCACTCAGAGACAAGAGACCTTTGATAGGTGGAAATTAGGTACTACCTTTCAGAGCTGTACCACTCGACCCTTGATATTAGATTTTTGTTGTTCTCAGCAAGTCGTTGAGCAATTGTATATTAGGTAAAAACATTTTTTCTGCACATTTTTCAAGCCAAAGCTCAACAAGCAACAAAGAGGTAAGATGATTGGCGATATGGAAACCGTGCGTCGAATTGTCGAAGGGTTTCCAACGATCTGGAAAACTTGGAAAATACATGCAATTTCCCCAAACTGTGCAAAAAGTCAGGGAATTTTTTGCAGTCTTAGAATCGAAAGAAAAAACCAAATCTATCATGTCAATTTTCGTATTTTTTTTTGCATTTCCTGCTGTTGCCACCGAATGCGAAACCGATGGATCTTGGCAAAAGTTTTAAAAAGTGCATGCTGCAAGTAATATTTGGTGACGTGTATTAAATTTTTCTGAGAAATATAAGCCTGAGGAAAATTTCAATAAAGTCTAGCAAATCTGGAAAATGCTAGGCAATTTTTTTTCCAAATTTACTTGAATTCCCGTTCAAGTCTCCATCATCAATGGAATACACGTGGAAGGTCTTTCTCGTCTCCGGCGTTGCGGCGTCATACCCAGGGTGTCCACCGGTCCCCGAAAGTCCCCAATTTTCTTATTCAGATCCCCTATAAATGTGACAAAAATCGTCCTAAACACCGGCATTTTCAAATTTTCCCGCCAGCCGCGGCGCCGCGGTGTAACCAGGAATAAAAAAACTGAAGTGTTGCTTGGTTTATTGTATGTTCTCATCGATTCAACATGACTTGTCAAATCAGTCGCATAAATTACGCCTTTTAACGCTCTTCCTCTTACTATTTCGGGAAGAAAAGTCCATGACTTTCTTGCGAAAACTCCCAGAAAGTCCCCAATTTTGGTTTTTTATAACTGATAGACACCCTGATAACTACCTTTCGGTGAAGTGGAGATCGGTGCTGCCCATGTAGCGCAAGCCGTGGAGACTGCTATTCTGGGTGTACTCGAGGGCCATCTGCTTCCAGTCGCTGGACTTCATCTGGAAGGCGTACTTCATCTGCTGCCGCAGCAGTTTCCGCGAGACGGTGTCTTTCTGCCGCTTCCCCCCCGTCGACTCGGCGTTGGTCAACTTGGGCCAGACCGCGTTCACGTCGCCCGAAGCCCAGATCCGCTGCCGCATCTTCCCGCCTCTCAGCCGCACCGGCTGCATCCTCTCCGCCCCTCTTCTCAGCGCCCCTGCAACAACCCCACTTTCCAATCTAGAATGGAGATGTTGCATGTGTGAGGGATTTGCGATTTGACTGTTGTTTCTTACGTAAAATTTCGCGAGAAACACGATGGTGCCACTGGTTTTCTCTGAAATCATCTCCCAAGCTCAAAAAAAGCTCTCAAGTTGAGGCCAAAATGGAGGGGATATCCCACTCTACCCTGAGAGTCCACGTCTACATCAAAACAAACTCTCCATGCAAAGATAGGGAGCAAATACATTGATAGGGCTGCGTTTTCATTTGGGGACTCTAAAACTGAAAGCACGGCATCCTTGCTAATGCATTCGCTCCCCATCTTTGCATGGAGAGTTTGTCTTGATGTAGAGGAGCAAGGATGCCGTGCTTTCAGTTTTAGAGTCCCCAAATGAAGTGGCAGCCCTGTCAATGTATTTGCTCCCTATCTTTGCATGGAGAGTTCGTCTTGATGTAGAGATGGACTCGCGGGATAGCGAGGGATATCCCCTCCATTTTGGCCTCAACTTGAGAGCTTTTTATGAGCTAGGGAGTTGATTTCAGAGAAAACCAATGGCACCATCCTGTTTCTCGCGAAATTCTACATAAGAATCAATGGTCAAATCGCAAATTTTTCACACACGCAACATCTTCATTAGAGAGATCGGACATGAAATTGTTCACAAAAACTGGGAATTTTTATGTTTATTTCGTCGTTTTTGCACCCCTGCCTGACCTTACCTCAAAGAGGATTTGTGGCCCCCTCCCCACTCTCGATTCCAAAGGAGGGTTCGGGGATTCCCCTAGCTTCAAATGAAGGTTCGAGGGGCCTTCCCGAAAAGTTTTCGTGAAAATGAATCATCTTAGGATCAACTTAAAACTACTCGCACCAGGATATCTTGATCGAATTACAGTTTCAAAGATGGAAGATAAACCATGTATTGAAAATTTTTGGAAAGTTCCAATCGAGATACGAATTTCTCAAGTTTCATCATCGACAACACGTCATGATGTAGGTGTATGTACGCAGGGTGTCTAGCATCAGTATTTTCCCGATTCTATCAGGATTTGAGTTCAATCAGGATTTAATCCCGATTTCATCAGGATTTGAGAAAAAATCGGTCGTAAAATCAGGATTTGAGAAAAGTCGACCGTCCGATCGGATTTTTCTATCGAGCTATTTTTGTGAAGTTTTATTTTTTCCCGCAAAAAATCAGGATTTGGAAAAATCACGAAATCAGGATTTGGCAGTCAAAATCAGGATTTCGTCAGGATTTCCCAAAACGGAAAAAAACTGGACACCCTACGTACTAATCAATGCTATTGTACGGCACTAACCAGGAAACAACTTAAAACTCCGTCAAGTTCTTGCCGAAAACTTGGTCTCGAAAACTTCTAAGTCATCTGATTTCTGCACAAAGCCGCGTATAAAACATCCGAAAGGAGGACAAGGAGAGGCGGCGAGAAGTACGATGGGCACTCGTTTGATTTCAGCTGAGCTAGGGGTCTTTGAGGTGGTAGACGATGTATTCAATTTCATTAATTTGTTTGCGCGATGTGTTTCAGCTCCTGATCTTTAGCCAAAGTATTTTTACGCCCGTATCTTTAATTTCAGCCCGTCTCCCGCTGAAAATGTTTTCATTTCGTCAATTTGTGTGTTTTCCTCTTCCGGACGTGTTGACAGGAGCGTGGAACTAAACCCCCCTCCCCCCGGCCACGCGACCCTACCGCGAAGGCACTCAAATATCTTGAATCGTTTTCTCTCGATTTTTTTTTTATTTTATTATTTTTCACTTCCATCCTACCTTTAACGCACCGGAAAGGCAAAGGATGTCAGAGCAATTTGGGAGTCTTCAATTTATTTATTCTACCGACGACCTCTTTTTCTCTAAGCTTCCCATTTAGTCTAAAGTTTCTTTGTCGCTTACACCCCCCCTTCCCCCTCNTTTTTTTTTTTTTTTTTTTTTTTTTTTTTTTTTTTTTTTTTTTTTTTTTTTTTTTTTTTTTTTTTTTTTGCAAAATTTTTATGGGTAGGTAGATTGGCTTGAAATTAATGCTCGTGGAACTAATTTGTCTGCTAGGGCTCTCCGCCCTGTGCAGAAAGCCTCCCCATGTTCATCAATTTTTCTACAAAATTTAACCCTGGAGTCCTCGCCGCCTGATAATCTACAGTAATATGTTTTAAATTTAGATCTTTATACAGTGCAGGGTTTCAGTCCTATTTTCCTTCCTTCAAATTTTTTATGAAAGTCCCAGTCCTAACGAGCGCAGCTCGACAAATTAGTTCCACGAGCTGGGGGTCCCAGGAACAAGAATTTGAAGCTGATCTACCTACCCATGAAAAAACTTTCCACGGAAGGCTTGGTTTTTTAACTTCTAGTCCTTAATTTGAGGCAAGGTCTCAGCGTAGTATTACGCCAAGTGCTTCTGAAGAACAAAGAATCAAGTCTATCATTAGCATAAGTAGATTCTGTTTCATTATGTACAATGAGCCTCCACTGCTCCTTAAAACGTCCTTTTGACCATGCACCCATACCCACATACTTCCATAAAATACAGGGTGCCTTGATGTAACTGGAGCTGTGAAGCTGTTCTGCCATCCCATAGGCATCATTACACCCCACCCACCCCATTACATTTAGGCGCTGAGGCGATGCTTATCCTGCAACTTAGCAGTGCATATATATTGTTATCTGTGAATGAAAAGTACTGAAGAACCTCTTGCACTATTGTTTGATGCACTGTCAATATTATTTAGTCTGTCTCGTTTTCAAACGAAATTTTTTTAAAGGTAATTACTATCTTATGTTTTTAGAAAATGGAGTCTGAGAAGAGAGGTCGGAAATCCCTGGCCGTCCTACCAGACGCGGCTCTAGTAGGAAAAAACCCACAAGATATCGATGATCTGGTTCAGGGATTTAAGTAAGTTTATCCTTGTGTCTTTTTGAAGAGTTTTCAGTCAAAATCGGATGATTTTAGGCACGGTTGCAGAAAACTCTTAGCCATTTTTTGAACTGGCCTTTTGTATTTTGAAACTTCATTTTGCTTAACATTTTCGAAGCTATGACCCTTCTTTTGTTTTTCACTAAAATTTCAACAATTTTTTGATCACGATCGTGTGATCAGATGTTTCTGCACATGTATTTGATGAAAAATCGTGTGCAAAAATTATTAGAGTCAATCCAAATATTTGTATGCTCAGAGCTTCAAAAGAAGCATTTCTCTGCATTTAAATGATTGTAACGGCTGATCTCATCTGTGAAACTATTTTAAGTGTAAAATCTGAGCAGAATGGTGAAAAATCCTTTTAATATCCTTTTTCTATTATTTGAGAAGTTCCTATGGCGTACCAGCTGTCTCAGTATGCTTGTGAGATCAAATCTCGAATTGTGTTCCATCATAAAATATTATTTGTTGGATTAAATTATAAAAACTTAGGTTGGTTTCGTATTCCTTTCAAAAATTGTTGATTTTACCTTTCTTAAAAGTAATAATTGCTTCTGATTCATAGGAAAAGAAATGTTTTAAAAATTGGAAATCAAATATGTAACTTGGGTAAAAATCACTATTTCTGTCGCTTAATATTTGCAACAATTGCTTTTTAAATTTAAGAAAACTTACAACTAGAATTGAGTTATTCACTATTGTATGTCTTCTTTTTCAGACTTTTATGTCGATTAACAATAGAATGTGTTATTTTTGCCCCCTTAGGATTCTACAGAAACTGCTCAGTGCTCGAAATATTGATCCGTTTCTTGATCGCCCTAATGAAAATGAAAGTGACATCATGGCAAACTACTATGAAGTCATTGATGAACCCATGTGGTTCCATGAAGGTATCAATATTTTCTCTTTGTTACTTACAATCTTTTTCTTTTTGATTTAATACCCTCCAAATCAAAGTTAGAAAAATGTTTTTTTTTTTCATTGCTAGAGTTTCTCTTGGACAATTCAGATCTTAGATCCTCAAAAATTCCTTGTTGACAGTAAAATTCATTAAATGGTCACTCAAGTGCAAGATAAAAATGAAAGAATATCTTTTGAATCTGTTTGCTAAAAATCCTTCGTAATTTTGTTTGTTGTTTCATTGGCTTGTATTTTTATCATGGCTTTCTCTCCTGTTAGTTGTGCCTAGATCACATGGTTTATGCAATTACATATTTTAAAAATAATTAAATATACTACATATATTTGTTTGCCAAACTTTTTTTTGAGCTGAATACATTTGATTTCTGAAGAGTCACTGAAATGACATATTCAATTACATATGTGTATTTGAGTTTTGTGTCGGAATGAGTTGAGTCTTTCTTGGAAGTTTAGACTGAAATTGAAAAGTTTCTCAATTTGTATAGTTTTCATTTATGAAAAGCGGATGTGGAGCATGAATGAATCCAGATGCTGAGGGGTGCTGCCTACTGTTTTTTTTTAATGACACTCTTAATCAATTTCATTAAAAATCTGATCAGTATTTACTCACTTTCAATTTTAAAGAGGTACTTAAAAATACTTTGGGGGCGAGGGAAAACCTTAGTGTATAAAACAATATTTGAAAATTGATTGATTAAAGTTGTACTCGGATATTCTTGAATTTTGCTTTTCAAGCATTGACGAACTGTTTGTTTACTTTTATCATATTTCTGTGTTTTAGTGAAAGAAAAGTATGTGAGTGGAGCCTATTCTACAATCCCAGAATTTGTTCTGGATGTTCGACAAATTTTTGCAAATTGTTTTCGGTTTTGGGGTCCAAAAAATCCACTCACCAAAGTTGCCTTGAGGTTGGAGACTCTGTTTGAGCAAGAACTTTTGACATTACCAGCTGATACGCAGGCTGTTTGCTCCTTAGAAGCAACCCATGGATTTAAAGAAGAAGATCTTGTTTACAAAAAAGAGGGAGTCACGTCCCGGCTTTTGCAGTGGGTCATAAACGAGCAATCAGAAAAAGAGATGGCAGAAACGGAAGAGCTGCCTTTAATTGAACGGAAGGAACAGCAGGAAAATTTGGAGAAGGGAGTTGTCTCTTGGGAAAATGGAATCTTGTATGCTGATGAAGGCATTCAAGATCTCATAAAGACAATGTTTGAGGTTAGTATGTATGTGGAATCAAGTTGCCTGTGTCCAGTATGTTATCAAAATAAAATGTGATTCATCTGATTATTAATAGTTATAATAATCAATTGCGACCATCAACAGATATTGCTTTACAGTTTGCGTGAAAGTCAAACTTTAGTCATTGTTGCCTCTTCTTGGATAAATTTTTAAAAAACAGTTTGGCAGGAAGAACACCCAAAAACATACAACTAAACTGGAGCTATGCTGGTTTAAAATTGGTGGTTCAAAAAATGTGGTTTTGAAAAAAGACTACTCAAAGTTTAAATCTGCTGTGTTCTGTGATCAAAATCTACCATGTCAAGTCACATTTTTTAGTTTTGACTAATTAATCATATTTCTTCCCTTTGCAGTTACCACAAATTGGACTATTTTTATGCCATGTAGTGCCTACATTTAATTTAGAACAGCTGAGTCAGTATGAAGTTGAACGTATGTTACTAGTTCCACAGTTCTCAAAAAGTTTAGCAGCCCTAATGACTTCACTACTCTCGTAAGTTCACTTTCTATCCACGTTTTTTCGTATTTTAGTATTATTATCTGATCATTATTCATGCTTTTTGAATCAGCACATAAAGGAATAAATATAATAATAGGAAATAGTAAAAATAGGAAATAATAAATAAAGGAAGAGTAAACAGCACATAAGGTGTAAATATTTGTGACAGTTTATCTAATAATGACTTAGACTTGATAGTTGGGCATTAAGCCAAAGTGTCAAAAAGTGTGCAAGCATTAACTTACTTTAAAAATGCTTTATTAAATTATAACTTTTATCAAAATCTATTGAGATCTAGCTTTCTGACTCTAAAAGTCCTGACGATTGCAATAGTGACAAAAAGATTACACCAAAAATTATAATTCAATGAAACATTTTTTATGTAAGTTGATTCTTGCACATTTTTTAGCACTTAGGTTACATACCCACCTATCAACTATGTAAGTAAAAGTTACTACCAATATGTTACAAGTTAATAACTTACAGCAGTCATCAACAAAAGGTTAGGATTATATTATGTTCTCGGAAGTTTCTTGTTGAGAGAAGGAAGAATAACACATTTCATGCTGAAGAGTTTTTCTGTCATTCTTGAACTATTGTGGTGGAGAATTATTTGCTATGTTAATAAAACTTTGAATGAAAATTAATGAAATTATTAAGAAGTTCGTTAATCAGTTTCTTTCACCGAAGATCATTGTTTTTTTAACCCTCTTTTGATGAAGGAAGATATTGCAATCCTTTTATAGTTATGTAAACTCTTCAAATTGTTAAACTCTTGAAAGAAGATTGTTTTCCAGTTGTCCGTATTGAGATTAATTTGTGTGATTCTCGTTATTATTAGATAAGACACTACTAGAACTTTTTCTTGCTAAATGTATGCTGTTTTTAGCTAAATGATATTACAAAAAATTTTGGAAATTGGATCAATGCTTTATTAAAGGTGTTGAAAAGAAGTCTCTTGAATGATTGTGTTTAATCAGAACCTTTTGTCGGAAGTATTATAATCCTCGGCAATATTGATTTCTGTACATTTCCTTCACTTTGCACCCAGCTTGCTAGGATGCATATCGACGGTGCAAGTCGGCAATCACATAACTCGGTTTGCGACGTCGCAGACTTCCTGTCATTCTTTATTTTTTAAACGGAAAACTATTCAACGGCAATTCTTTAAAACTGCCATGATTTTTCTTCATTGTGCGAAGAAAATTCTGCAAAAACTTCAAGGAATGATCTCAATTAGTTCTCCTTTAAAAAAATAACATCGAGGCGGAGATTTTCAGACACCGCAAACGAGTTATGTGATTGCCGACTTGCACCGTCGATATACTAGTGTTGGATGCCAAGAGCAAGCAAAAAACAACAGTAGTTAAGCGACAGGCCCTAAAATATGGAGCTGGCCTATAAGTCACTTTGTCGGCTGTTTGGCTTGACACTTTAACAAAGTTGGTTATGCACTCTTTCGTCTCCAAAATGCGACCTGAAAAATGGCTCTTATGTTCTGTAGTAATTGTGTAAAAACCATTGTATTCTTTTTGTTTTTCTTGCTGCAGGAGTAGGAAAGACAAATCAAAAGTTTTATATGGTCCTCCTATGCCCTATGAAGTTTGGTCTGCAAGACTGAATAACAGGGTGGCAACTTGGTACAAAACATATCACACCAAGAAAAATAAATTTCATGAGGTATGTAATTGTTTAGTTATTTTAGTGGATTCAATTAATTTACTAATGATTGCTCAATTGAGACTTCGTTGAGAGGTGAAATTCTAAATTATGATGAGAAAGTACCTCATAATCATCTCTTCTCTAAATCTCTAAGTTTAGTTGATCTACCAAACTTTAGTCAGATCAGTCAGAATTATGCTCTGAAACTTAATTATTGCAGGATAATAATTAATATTATTTAGACAAAATGTCTTGAATTTACTATGAGAAACCTAAAAGGGCTGATTAAACAAAACTTCTGTCTGGGCGTAACAACCTTCCTCAACAACCCATTCCCATACTTTCATTTTTGGCTAAAATTAGTAAATGTGGACACCTCCAAATAATCCTTAAATTCATTAAATGGAGCTGCAATTAGAGATTCTCAGCATTTGCATTACGCTCAGTTAGGAAACAGTAAAAACAACTGTAAAGATGCTTTGATTTTCTTAATCTACCAGTCTGAACATAATGCAAAATGCAAAATCACAATTGAGGGAAAATTGTAAAAGCAGCCAAAATCATAAGGGAAAAGGAAAAAGAAAATAAGTGTAGTCAGGTGAACAGTCAACATAAAAGACTCAACAATAGGCAGGAAAATCTTGATCTGATAATGCTTCGTTGGATGAGAATACTTTGTAGAGACTTTTCCTTCAATGCCCTTCGGTTTTAATTTTTTTTCAGATCCTCTCGGCAACTGGCATCGAACACATGTTCTGGTTAGTAATGGGTGAACCCAATCCTTTGGAAAGGTTCCAATTCCATGAATTACATTTCCAAAAAAGAGTTTGGATTTTGAAGACACTGCTTGATACCCTAGTAGTAAGTACCTTTTTTAAAAATCGTAAATTTAGCTTCGTCTTATGTGTAAAGCTGTGCAATAAGGATTTTCGAAATTGATTAAGTTTCAATGACGATTCAAGAAATTACCTGGGTTTACAATTTCGATTAAAATTTGAACGAAATAAATAATGGTAAAGTTGTGTCATCTTCATCTCATTGTGGCTTTTGTGACCAAAAGTGAAGTCAAAGTAGATTTATAAATTTTTAAAGAATTTTTCTAAAGACTTTGAAAACTGATAATGGGCCTGCTGCAAACTTCAGCCAGAGTGAAAAGAAGAGTTGATTCTTTTAGAAAATGACTCAAAAATCAAGATAAACGCATTGGGAAATTCTGAAATACTCTCCTATCCTCTCAATCTGCGTAGGAAGTATGCATTTTTTTTAAGTTTCCCTCTTCAAAATTGGCACAATACTACGGCGCAGGTGAACGTTTCGTAAAAGGAATCGTTCTATCCAAACTCTTGTGCACCAGGATGCTACACAATATTAAACAACGCTTCTGCGAGCAACGTTTAAGAAAGCACCATGGTCTTTATCAACGTAAGGAAAATGTAAACATAAACACGCTGGTTGCTAAAATCCTGTCTTGTCCCATGTGTTTTGGCAGGTTGATGTGAGCCATGCTACATATTGTGAAACATCTCAGTTTGCAAGGATTGAATAGAACGACTCCTGTTACGAAATGCTCTCATTTGCCGTAGTATCGTTCTGAAGTAGGATACTTAAGAAAACGCTTATTTCTCACGCAGATTGTGAAGTTATGAATGTATTTCAGTCTTTCCTGATGCACTCATCGTGATTTTTTAACCATTTTCTACAGGAGATCTCTCTTTGTCTTGCACCAGCTAACGTTCGTAATAGGTCCATTTTCCTCCAATTTTTTTTTTTTTTTTTGATTTATTGTCTTTTTCTAAAAAATCTCTGCCCCCTTAAATGAATCGTTACTCATCATTGTTTAAAAAACTCAGTGCTCTGCTTCAAAGATGAGCCTTTATCAGGCAAAAACAAGCTCTCTGCAACTTTTCCCAATTTTCAAATATTTTTTTTCGCAGTAATCCATTTCTTTAGTTTGTCTCATTACTGTAACAGGTTATTAGCATCATGCTATTAAAATGATAGACCCATTTGAGCATCTCTCTCTAAACTGTGCAGTTTATTTGCTGTTTCAATCATTTTTCTGACCATTAATAACAGTAGGACAAGGATGATGATGAAATAACATGCCAATGCTAACATTTTAGCGTTCTGGTTCAACCGTTTTTATAATTAAGACTCAATCAGCAATTTTAAATCGTTTCGATGCTACAATCAGCAATTTTTATTTTCCTAACTCTGGGCAACAGAACCTGACCGAAACTGTTTGGTTTTTTCAGCATAGCCACAAAACAGTGTATGACCTCCTAAGTGATCGCTTGTCAATCGTCCCACCAGAAGTACTGGGAGAAGACAAGAAAGGATTTAGTTACCTGTATTTCCCTGCTTTTACGGACTTGAGAGTCTACAGACAGTCAAAAAGCACTTACTCAAAGTTCAACATTAACAGATGGGAGAAAATAGTTCGAGTACCCGTGGCGAATGGTGATACAGATTGTCCTCCAAGCAAGTGTGTTCTGCCCTCAAAAAATGACTTCGAGTTGTTGGCCACCTCTATTAGCGAGTTAAGAAATGTATATAGTAATTTAGTTGAGACTGAATTTTCCTCCAAAAGCAACTGTGATAATAAGAGTTCTCCGCTTCTGGAAAACATTGATAGGCTGTTGAAAGACTGGTCCTCTCTCGAGTCGAAGCATTCGATTAATCTGAGTCACATCAGGCAGAAGATGTATAGGGAATGGAAAACTTTGTATGATAGGTAAGTTTTGTTGATCTCATCTCCTCTTGATTTTTTTATTTACTTTTGCCTTGAGTGTGATAGGAATGTTGAAGTATCATTCAGTTTGCTCATCACTACACTGGTTGATATTAGCAATGCTATTCAGCTGTGAGTATTCAGCCGTGGTAGGGATGTTATCCCAGAGTTTATGAAAGATCTCAATGTTAAGTACGTAGTCTTTATAAAAGTAACCAAGGTAAATGTATTGTGCTGTTAAAATTATCCATCAAAATAAGAGATGCGCAATGGAAAATTTATAGGTTCTGTAACAAAACAAAAACTAGCAAAGAAAGGTGAAACATTTTCTCATCTCCATTTTTTATGGTTCTTGCAACCAAAAAACAGTTGAGAGACAAGAATCTATTGAAGAGTTTTTCAGAAGTTGATAATTTTACTCCGGTACTTTTTTTATCTTAAACTTTCGAGGCATATCCTTTTTATCTATAAAATCTTTTTTACCCCAAAACCAGCCTTTTTCTTGACTTTAACCATGTCTTCGGCTGGAGAGAAAAATGAAGATCTTCTTAAGATGACCTTCGTAATTCACCTGAGGAGAAAACGGCCCTCAGCCCTCAGATACAAACCCAAAATCGTATATTTCACAAAAAAAGAATAATTTTTGTTTTCCTCTCATGTAATGTTTTATGGGGCAAAATCAATCTGCAGCCCTTGACATATAGTTCTGTTTATGTTTTTTGACAAATAAGTTCTTTATTTAGTTCTTCTCCTTTGGTTTTTTTGATTTCCCCTCTAAACCCCACCCTTGATACAATTTCAAACCTTCTGTTTTTTAAGATGATGTTCAACAATCAAGAGTTCGATGTTCAAAACAAGAGAGAAATGTCTCTCCCCAGTTTCCTTTTCTAAATGGGTTAAAATTTTTCTAGAGTGCCTTCTTCAATGGAAAATTTTTCTTTTGCATTTCACTTTCGTTAAATTTTGTAATTCAGTCTTAAAATTTCTCAATTTTCATCACCCAATGTGTGAAAAATGGGCTCTGCTGGGCATGCATTTTACAATCAGACGCTTTCATTTTCGCAGGTCATTGGAATCTACAACTGCAGATATTGCCTACTGGGAGAAAGACGGTAACAACAGGAAACCTGCTGAAGAAGAAGAGGAAGAAGAAGATAGCAATGACCGTATTATTGATAAGACTGAATCCGCAGTGGAAAAGCCCCACCTAGGTATGGTTTACCTGTCATTTTTGTCAGGACAGTCAACTCCTGTTAAATGAGAATGCTTTCAGACCGGGTGTTTGTATTTCTTTAAGGGACTTCTTAATCAAAATACCTACAATAATTTATTTCCTGTGTAATCCCATTGCAGAATGGAATCTTTCGAGTCTCTGGCCCGTATTCAAACTTTCGAAAAATGACGACACTGTTAATGAAGCGGCTGAATTTTTGGATACAACCGTCTTTGATTTTTCAATCTCTTCCTAAAATCAGATGGATACATCATCATGTGCTTTGCAAATTTTGAAGGAGAACTTAAAGAAAAAAACATTCGGAAAGTTACTCAATATGAAGACAGGAAGCAACTGATTTTTTCAGTGAAGTTCTGTCGCATGAGAAACAAAGAAACACAGCTCTTATGGAGGTTCTAGAATGAATCATGGTAAAAAGAAGAGAAAAAAATTCAATATCAAAAAAATCATCCAATTGTCAATGGAATGCAGTCAGAGCAAAAATATTGAATCACGTAGACCGTGCATCCTGTGTTACGGAGGGCAAGACAACTTTTAAAAATTCGCATGCCGATGAATGGTGGCATTGACCCGCATCGATAAGTTCGTGTGTCCCAGTTATGCACATCTGCGCATGCGCAGTATCGGCTCCAGTGAATTTTTGTCGGATTGAGAGGCTTTTTTCCTCAGTTAATAATTAATTCAAAAAAATGAAACAATGCTATTCAGGTGTAAAATTACGTGTTCTAAAACTTTTCTTCCTAGGAATTTTGTCTGAAAATGGACTCTAAACGAGATATTTGTGAAAAACCGAGCGCCAGAATGAATTCTCTATTGCCTCTCTGCAGTCTCTTCGAGTGCTTGGGACACACGCTCTCTCTCTCCCCTTCCCCGCCGGCCCATCATGGGGCTCCGAGACACTTGCTTCGCTCCGCCTGTACTAAACCGAGCCGGACGCACGGTCTACGTGATTCAATGTCTTTAAATCGGAGCTTTTCTTATTTTAGTTAATAACTAAATGAAACTATGTATTTTCTTGATGGGCAACATTTTCTGAACAATGTAGGTGGTCCTATTCTGACCAAATGCTTATGTACTTAGTATGCATTTACATAATGTGAAAATCAGAATGAAGTGTGCATTCACAAATGCTACTTGCTCAGAATTGTGAGGAAGGCCAACATTCATGCACTGGGAAAAAATCATATCTTCTTATCCCTTTGAGTAATTAACATGAAACTCAATTGGTATCTAATGCCGGTGACAAAAGTTCTTTTCCGCAGATTTCTGAATTAACAGTACAAGTACATTTGTACAATTTGCTCAGAAAAGTTTTCATTTGTTCTGTTTTCTTATTTATGATTTGTTTTATGTATGTTTGCACAGATGAACCTCAGAATACCACCACTCGGGAAATAAACTTACGAGAAAGGAAGTCAAAAACAGACTCAAATTTGAGCATGACCATGATGGCTTTGAATGAAGTCAGAGGTGAGTCAGACACAAGCGATGAAGATGAGGATTTATTCGACGATTCAGAAGAAGAGTGGGTCGCTGAAGGATCCAAAAAAAGAGTAAAACAACCATCTTCAAGACGGAAAAAGAGGTGTCCATCCAAAAACTCCGAGGCTGACGCCGTTCAAGAAGCTGTGGACAAAAACATAAAAATGAATGAGGAGTTAGAGAAACAAAAGAAAGATGAAAAAGCACAAAGACTGAATATGAATTCGAACACCATCTTATGCGACAGTGACAAGTTTGTCGTCCAAGAACCACAACGGAATCTAATTAGGTGCAAAGACCCAACAAAACTGCTTCAAAGCTTGGCAGACATCAAGAGTGAATCCATCAAGGTGATTCGAGATCTTGTAGCTCCTGCCCAAATAAAAGCTGAAGGTACAAAGCCTCCATCGCCGGAAACCATCAGTATCGACGATGATGATGAAGTTCCGGGTGATGAAGCAAGTTCCACAACAAGTTCAATCAATGTTGCTAACAAAACTCCTGAGAATGGAAATGTACATATGATCAATATGAACTTACGAGTAGACCAGTCTCCTATTAGATCTCCAGCAATTGTCACTCCATCCACTGTAACTGACTTGCCTGCAGATGTAGATGACGATGTACAAATCTTGCAAACTAGTGTGGTGTCCAAGCCTGGAGCGCAATCGATCCCAAGCCCAGCCCTCAATCCGATGCACAACTTGAATCGTATGGTGTCGCCTCAAAACGTCAGATTGGTAGGTCCTAATGTTTCAAGAATGCCATTTACCAAAGCTAGCTTTCAAACTGCGCTGCCAGGGAATAATTTAACGCCTATTAAAAAGACATTCCCAGTTGTAAAGAACGGTCCGGTTGCAAGACTGCGGGGGAGTATCCCTCGGGTTAGAAATGGAATGATGCAACAAACGTTCCGAGGGATGGCTCCTCGAATGACCTCATCAATACGCCAGCCAAACCAGAGCATTCTCCGACAGAAGTTCCGAAATCCTGTCGCTTACAATGCGTATAGAACCCCTGTGCAACAAAGAATCACAAGTTCCTCTGCGTCGACTCCAAGGAGACAGTCAGCACCTTATACACCTCCTCTGTCGAATTCATTGAATTCTAGGCTTAATAATCTTCCTAACAGTGCACCATCTAAAGCTATCTCCAATATTCTCAGCTCAGTGGAAGTGGCCAACTCCTTATCGTCTGGTAAAAGAAAAAGTAGCCTGCTGAACTCTATCACCATAACACCCATTAATAATAGTGCAGTCACGATAACGCCAGTTTTACAAACGAACCAAGTAAAAAAAGTCTCAAGAAATTTAAATTTCTCTTCACCATCAAAATCCAGCTCCAGGTTAGTCTATATCAAAGGTAGAGTGATCTTGGATCCTGTCGATCTATGCTACTCGGTTCAAATTGCCAATGGGCGCAAGTACAAACTAACCCCCCAACAACTGGACGAGTGCAGGCGGAACAATGGCGGCGTCATGCCCCCCACCATATCAATTCCAGTTCCTGAGGATGTTGCGAATCTTCTAGAGCCAGAAGTTGTGGAGATAGATTAGGATGTGGTTAGCTCCTGTGAATCATTGCATTCTCAAATTGTTTTTGTTTCTGAATTTTAAGACAAATTCCTGATTGATTTTGCCACTTGCCATGTACTTGGTTGTTCTCAGTTTGTTTGAGAAAAACTTGTAGGGAGAACAATGAAGCAAAGTTCGCATCTTGTCAATGAATCACTGGTTGGACAGCAATTGAATTGATCTCTTGTTGAGAGGCATAATGCTGGTTAAACTTCAGATGCATGAGTTTTGAAGCGCATTGGTGTAAACCTTCCAGCATTTTTCATTATTTAAAAGAAAATCAATTCGTGTTCTTCCATAAAATTTCTCCTAATCTATTTCAGCTTTAGAGAGAATATGCGTTTGATTTTCTTTGAAAAAGTGAAAGTTCTTATGTACAAAATAATATTAATGCTTAAAGGAAAAGAGAAAAATTCTTTGGACTCACTAGAGTTGCACTGAATCTAATCCTTTTAATTTTTTTATTGCAAAGATAAAGCAGATTAATAGACTTTCGCCTTTTTGCAAGGAACTGATGCTATAAAAAAAATCATTTCAAGTTTTCAGTCCTTTATTGATAATTTTCCTTTATTTATCCTCAACGCTTCTACCCTATTTTTTTCTCAATAAAACCTCAATCTAAAGTACTTTCATTAGATTCTGAGGTTAAGCTTATCATGTATGTAAATCTTACAGTGGCTTATTGTTTACAACTAGAAATTGCAGAATAAGTTGTATTTTTCAACCACACTAAATATGAGGAATGTTTTTATTTAGTATGTAATCAAATCAGTTCCATATTTTCTGTTGATAACAGTAAGTTTTTATTTTCTTATTGTTTTGTAGGACCAGCCTTGCGCATCAAATTCATTTTGCAACTCTTGAAATTTAATCCTATTGAATCTTTCTGAAAATGGAATAAAAACCAACAATGAACAGTTATCACTCACTCAATTTTTTTCGAACTTGTTTGCGTGTTAAGGCCTTTATTTACTCATTTTATTCAAACTTTTTACAACTTGATCATATATCAAGGCATTTATGTACACTGCATACTAAACCTCAGATCCTCTGAACCAATGTAGCAGTCAATTAAATTAGTGAATCCATCATTCAAAGAAAACTTTTGGAAATCATTTCATAGAATTTATTTGTTTTGCTTACCAACACATGGATATCATACCAAGTTCAATAAAAAGATGAATAACTTGAACTCCAGTCTAGATCAGTCTAAATTACGATTATGTATGATTGATCTCCCAATAACTTTAATTGTGATCAATCCACAAATAATTTAATTTTTTTTTTTTTTTTTAATTTAAATGCTTTAGTACAAAAATATGGTCAGTTGGATAACAGTCAGTTTGAATGATCCGTAGGTCATTACTGGCAAATTCCTTTTGGCTTTATTCATCTTTCAAACAATATGGAATGTCTTCTAACCATCAAATATGTCCTGTGTGATACCAGGAAAATCCTAGTTTTCGGGAACATAAGAAGAAGCAGACAATAGGAGGGGGGTCAGAACTGTGGTCCTGCCATGTTTGCCAATAGGAAACGAGCAAGGTAGTGAAGAAAGAAAAATAATTCTCCCAAAAATAAGTTAGAATGATGTGGAGCTCAAATGAAAGGAGTTCTAATGATCTGGGGTTTATTGTAGTCTCATTTTTAATTTTTTTCTCAGTTCGAAATTTGAGTCATATGTATCATGGAAAAATGTATGACCTGTTGGATTCATAGGAATCAAGAAGAAAAGTTAATTCTAGTAATATTTTCCATCTTAAGTTGGATCTCATTAAAGATATGTGTCATGTACCGGCTAGTTGTTATATATAATGTCCTAAAAGTCTGAAATCACTGTCGTAGCTTCAGAAAATAATTCCTTGCAACTGTCAATCAAAATTATGATGAATTTTTTATTAACCACTACATATTTTGTTATGATAGAATCAATACTGAGAGTGCTAATAGGGGTCATGCAATTTAAATTGTCAGGTTGCAGTGTATCTTCATAATATTTCATGTAGAGAGTAAATACTGGCTGTCAATCTTTTTGCCGTTTTTGTGGTGGAAGATCCTTTTTTTTGGGGGGGGGGGGGTAAAGATTACAGATGATCAATTTGCTTCCAATGTTAAACCAGGGTTTCTATTAGGCTAATAAGAAGGAAAAAAATATTTTGCCGAAATCGGGGATTTGGGTGCAAAAAGGACACTGTTTTCTTGGTTTTAATATTTCCATATACGTTTTTTACTCTTAGAAGGAGAAAGAAATTATTTTATCTGAATATTCCTCATAATTTAATGATTTATGAAGTACAAATCTGAAATTAATGATGCAGTAGTTTTCTCATAATGACAGAAATTGTCGGTGCTGATTCTATAATGGTAACGGAGAAGTGTCCTTTTCGCCTTCAATTCCTTAATCGGCAGAAAAGTCCAAGACAATTTTGGGAATATTTGAAATAGATTGTATTAAAAAATCTTTGTATTTTTCCCCCTCAGAAATGCACAATTTTGAAAGAAAACTCATAACTTTAAAGACAGATTACAATTAGGTATTGTCAGTGGAAACAGTTGAAAAACTTTTTTTGCGAAGTTTGTCATCATCCTGATTTCCATGACACCCAAGTAGCTAGATTAGTAGCTAAAGTTACCTTTAGAAGCATTTTTTCCCTGTGAGGTCTAGTCGCAGTGCCGAGGTTATAGCAATTTAAGGGAACATTAATGGTCACTATTGAGCCAAGATGTCTTCCTTTGGTAGCTCCTTTATTTTATCGCCATTGCAAGTATCATCAATGTTCATACATTTAGAGGTGTTTAAAGAGTTGTATATCTAATCATGTCCATTAGTGTCTTCTCCTTGTTCGCACCTAATCAAAATCATTCAAATGATGGTGCATGTATTTTTAATGTTTTCTGTACATCCAGATTCTTTTGAGCTGTCCCATGTCCTTCTAAATCTTATAATCTTAATTTTCAGTAGGTCTAAATTTTCTTTTTTAGAAAATATGGATGTTGTGTTTCAACTTAAATTGTTCCTTATTTCAGGTCTGTTTCTAAGGCTAGTAAAATGATATATCAGAAGCATCTGACTTAGTGTTAATGAAACATACACCAGATTGTAAGCGTGTAGTTAACTTGAGTCATTTATTGCGGTCGCTTAGATTACTCAGCCTGCCTTGTATTTAATTTTCTGACTGAATGCTCATGTATACAAGAAATATTACCCTCTGCATTAATAATGATTTGCGTATGGCATGAGCACATGTATGCATGTTCATTGGTTGTTTTAGTAAAAATAAAAATATTCAGCAGCTTGAACTTAACCATATGTGACTGATTATCTCCACCAAATACACTTTGAACATTTGACATGAAATCTTAACTTCCCATTACTCAGTTAATCTTTTACTTTCTTCTTTATTTATTTTTTTTCTTTCTTTTTTATGAAGTATTGATTAAGTACCCCTCTCAAAAGTGTATTCTTTGTAGGTATGTAATGTACTCTTATATGTCCTTTTCATCTCCACAACTCAGTAAAATTGTTGGTTGTCAAATGTACTCTTTGATCGCGATAGTATGCAAGTGTATTTTTATAAAATTCCTGTTTTGTAAAATTTTAACAATTTTTACCTTTTCGTTTTTTGTTTTAAACTCTTATAATAAATCTATTTGATGAATTTTTAACTTTAGCTTGCAATTTTTTTTTCCCTGTCTCCATGCGAGGATATGTGTAACCAAACCTAAAAGTCAGTTGGAAGTTATCAGTTCAACAGAATTTGCACAAGTTGATAATTCTGAAAAAGATTAATTTATAAACCAAGAATATTGTCATAACTAAGTATAAAGTTGCGTGATTTACCTTTTTTAATAATTAGACTGTCATTTCGACAGAAGCGACACTATGACTCCTCAGGAATTTTCCCTGAATCTTTTGATTTTACGCCACCATATTCAAAAAAAAACATATTTAGATTTCAAACTATATGTACTGTATAACCGGTATAATTTTTGACATAATTACATCAAAAAGATTCATTGGAATACTAGGTTCAAACTCACGATCTCTGATTGGATTGAAAGTTTTCTCCCTGACATAACAAACACCTGACAAATTTCCAGTCCAAGGTCATGAAAAGGAGGGAAACATTTTTATTAGAAAAGAAATAACACTTTACACTGGAATTATATTTCTTATCCCTTTTATTTAACACAATATACACACAACTTAACAAATTGCACTAAGTAATAAAAATGAGAGGATCAGATTGAAAATCAATTACTGTAAAAATGTGGACATGGACAATAATATGTTCTACAGCGTCACAGGCACAGGGTCTCAGAGTAATAGCTTCTAAATGAGAAACTGGATGCTAGGCAACCTGCAACACACCACTCAGAATTGAAAATACAGAAACTGACAGGATTTATATATAAAAATGGTACCAAAATGAAAAAAGTACATTAGTAAAGTTAAATATATATACAATTTTGGCGAATTAAATTGAAGAGAAAATATTTCACTGATGGACTTACAAAATTAATGATTTTGAAGAAGTCGTGAATTTCTTTCTTATGACAAGGTGCACTTCAAGAAACACACCAGACAATATTCTCAGTGTTAAAATGCAAGGGAGTAAGCTTTTTTGGAAGTCACTCAAATTGAGATGATAAAAAAAAATTAAGAAGCAAGAAAAAGATGCATACACTTAGTGTGACTAAAAAATAAATTATAATTGGATCGCATTTAGCAAAAAGGTACCAGCTCTGTTACAGTGTTGTAAAAATGTTGTTTCTTCATAATTATCTAAAAAATCTCCCAGAGTAGCAAATAGTTTTTGCTTTCCACCAAAAAATTGTTTATTTTAAAGGAAAATAATTGCGTAAATTTTAATATCGTACTTATATTAAGTCATTTGAAAGGAAAGGAGAAGTCGCACGATTTTAAAAACACTGTAATCGCCCTGGTTCCTTTTTGCTAAATGCAAACCGATTAGTTCTCAGTATCTCAAAATGATTGGTGTGGAAGCCACATATGGTATAAAAATGTTGGATTTTTTTTACCTTCGTTTTAGTTACTGTAAAAATAATTTTTCTTGCATCATCTCAGAGAGGGAAGAAATAATAATGAACACAAATTTGAGAAAGTCTGATGAGCATTTAAGAAGGAAAACGCACAAAAAACGACACAAACGTTCGCCTACATATTCAAGTAACAATGAAATACTGATTTTTTTCTTTCCTTTTTTTATGAGACGGCGAAAGTAAGAACATTCATTAACAAAATACAATGCTACTTAATGTAGATAGACTAAGATTTTCAACACTTAAAAAAGAGGGAGAAAATAGAAAAATTGCACAAATACACATTGAAGAAAAATGATATCTATGGAAAAATTGAAAGGTACTTCCATCGCCCACCCAGGCATATGATGAAAAATTGATTATTCAAATAAATTAAACATTTTCTTATTTTGACAAAATCATTGTCGTTCAGGAGAAACCAAGCTGTTATTTTTGTGCTCAGGTTGCTTGGGGTGGCAATTTTCTTCTCCGAAATGAGAAAAATCGATTTGTAAAACAAAATCAATTATTCTTAACAGAAGGAGGGATATGATAATTATTGGACGATATTTTCAGGAATTCGTTTTTCTTTGTGGATAATTAATTCGATTGAATGACAGAAACCTGATGGTTTATAAAATATTCTGTGAAAAAACCAAAAAAAATTCGGAATTCCTCCAATTCTGCATAAAATGCTGGCAATACTCACAAAAAATGAAATATTCCGAAAAATATTTGGAGTTTCTTAAATATGGAGCTCATTGTAATCTATTTAGGTGGGGGAAAAATCCATGAAATTTGTTCATTTCATTCATCTAAAAAATCGATTTTCCGGGATGCAATCATCGATTAAAATCTGATTTCTCTAAATAGAATCAACCTAATTGGGAAACAAAAATGTATTGATTAAATCGGAAAATTCGACGTTTTTAACTAATTACATTAACACTCCTGCTAAGCACATTTCTGCTCTTGGTGACTCGAATCGGTTCCAGGTGACTGCAATTTTGAAGTCTGACTCGTATTAAGTTTTAAACGATTCCAATACAAATTTTTAACTGTTTTCAAGGGATCAAATCCAGTTGAGAAAAATTACACTTAATTTTACAGGTCTAGTAGCTCCATTTATTTCATAAAAAAACAATTTTTCGTCCAGTTAAAACGGGCCTTCCTGCCTTCTGTGTTAGTGGTGATGCAAAGGAAACGACGCAAAGTTTAATTTTGCATATTCCCCTTAGAATTCCCCATGCCATTTTCGACAATGCTAAAATGAAAAAGAATGGAGCTAAGATATACGTATCCCGGTATCCGTGATAAAAATAAAATTATGTATAAAAAATAAGTCACATCTTGGTACGTCTGATTTTTTCTCTCATGTTTACTTTCATGAAACCTGCTCACAAAGATCAGAAAACAAAGCTATAACCTTGTCTCCTGAAAAACTTCTTCATGGGTAGAAAACAGCATCAAAAAATGTACCATAAGCCTTTCTGCGGGCTGACTGTTGAAACTACATATTCTTTACTATGTCGAAAAGATAGGACTCTTTACTATGTCGAAAAGATAGGACAAGATGTAGCCCCACTTATGCCATATAATAAATCGATTTTTAATTTTTTGTAATACGGACATGAGTTTTCTCTATCAGCTTGTTAGTGTTCTCGAATGACATTATCTTTTTAAATGCTGCTATATCCACCATTGTTGAAACTACTTGCAGACAATGTTTATATAATAAATGTGCTCTGAGTGATTGTAAAGGTGGCTCTTGTACCGCAGTTTTTCAGGCCTCGGAAAACATAGCTTCAGGGTTGTCCAATTTGCAAATGCAAAGAGTAAAAAGTTGGTTACAACCGTTTTAGACTATATTGTCTCTGAGCGGACTGACAGATTGGGTTTTAAATTTTTAATCTTAGAGATTCTTGAGATGATCTGTAACAATTCTCAATTTTGAATGTGCAGCACCGAGTAATACTACACTCTACCAGAAATTTTACAGAGATTCTCAACCTGGACCAATCACAAGCAAGAATTATATTCTCTCATACGAAAATAGCACTGCATTATTTCACATTTGCCTCTCTTCATACTTTCACTAAGTGACTGTTAATTCATTAAGCAAACAATCTTGAAAAAATGCAAAATACACTGCTTGATGACATTACAAAGTAGCATTTTTTATTTGAGCATGGGTTTTATACAGTAGCAAAGGAGCAACAAGCTCTTTTTTGAAGGGGTGAGGGGACTTTACCTGTGCCTCACTGCTTACACTCTTCATGGAAGGGGTCAAGGGAACGGAAATCTCTCCATGTTGGGGGCAAAGAGTTGTGAAGGTGGTTGCTGCAACGCCTGCATGGATCACTGAATAAAGTTATGTAACTATGAAACCATGTCTGCAACAATTGAATGAAAAGAGAATTAGGTATATACATGCATATTAGTCCTTTCTAGAGCTGTAGATTTGCCATTTAACAAAATATCCAACGATAAAATTATGTTGAAATACAATATTTCTGCTCTATTCATCTAAAATTGATTTTCACACACACAAAGGGTTCTCTGAGGCCTTAAAACCAATAGGGCTGTCCCGCATTTTTTAAAATTCATTTTTGGAGAATACGTCAAAAATGAGAATGCCTGCATTTTTCTGATTTCCAATTGATCGAATTTGAACTGAGAAAAACTAAGTCGCAAAATATGCAACCCCGTTTCTGAGGGAAAAATATAGAGCGAATGGATTACTTAACGTCACAAAGAGAGAACAAACTAGTTTTCTTTGAAATGCTCTGGAAATATTTTGTTTGGTACTTCATTTTGAATTTTATTGGTTGGGCTTCAGCCTTATCAATTGTTATGGATAAAAGTGAAATAGAAATTTACAAAAATAATGAATATTATTAAAAAATGAAATGGGCATGAGAGTGTTAAACAAACCATGAAAGACCGGACGGCAAGATCAGGCAGCGTTGGAGAGTAGAAGTGAAGCATGGCGGCGTGAGCATTCTCTGTGACTTTGCGGAACACTTTATGTCTTGATTCCGTCCATAGGTCCAATTGTTCCCCAAAACCTTTGATCATAACCCACTCAATCATTAATCCTTTGAAAGCAATAACAGCCTGTAGAACTCTACCAAGGGTGACCTGTGTATGAAATAGGAGGCAATTAC